TCTAAGCTAACAATCAGGTTAGGGAAATAAGCAGAAGATAAACACCTTGAACAATATGCAACAAGAATGGGAAATTCTACCCAAGAAAAGACCCAGCCTTTTTTTTTTTTTTTTAAAGAAACAAAGAGTATTAAGAAACCTGATGAGAGAACTCTTAATTATGGAAAGGAAGAAGTAAAACTGTCATTATTTGCAGATAACATGATACTGTGTACAGAGAACCCTAAAGATTCCACCAAAAAACTACTCGAACCGATAAATGAATTCAGTGAAGCAACAGGATACAAAATAAATATCCAGAAATGTTGCATTTTCATACACCAATGATGAACTATCAGCAAGGGAAATTAAGAAAACAATCCTATTCCCAATTGCTTCAAAAAGAATAAAATACCTAGGAATAAATTTAACCAAGATTGTAAAAGATCTGTACTTAGAATATTATAAGACACTGAAGGAGGAAATTGAAGAAGATACAACTAAATGGAAGTATATACCATGTTCATGGATAGGAAAAATTAACATCATTAAAAAGACCATACTACCCAAAGGCATGTATAAATTCAACATAATTCCCATTAAAATAACCAAAAGCATATATCACAGAAGAAGAACAAATATTTCAAAAATTTGTGTGGAATCATAAAAGACCCCAAAGGGCTGCAGCAATCTTGAGAAAGAAGAGCAAAGTCGAAGGAACTCCTGAGACTCCGGGGTACGTCAATGGTATAACCCTTGCCGCCCATGTGGGAGATTGGGGCCCCTTCCTGGGCTGTGTCCCAAGCTCTGTGTTGGCTTCCAGGGATCTCTTTTGATTTCTGCGCTGGAAGATAAGCCCCCAAGGCGCCAGGAACACTGATAAGAAGAGACAGCAGAGCTCGCTCTCCTTCCCCCTCCTCCCCTCCCCCGCCCCCGTGAGGAAACAGTGAGAAGGCAGCCAGGCAGAGCACTCTCACCAGAAACCAAAGCAGCCAAGACCTAACCTTGGACTTCCCAGCCTCCAGAACTGTGAGGGAGAATTTTCTGCTGTTTAAGGAACCTGGTCTATGACATTTTGATATTTTGTTAAAGAAATCCAAGTAGACTAAGGCATCTTTCAAAAAAAAAAAAAAAGGAATGCCTAGAAATAAATTCAACTACGGAGATTAAAGACTTATACCCTGGAAAATACAAAACATTGCTGAAAGAAACTAAAGAAAGCCTAAATAAATAGAAAGACATTATGTTCATGGATTAGAGGACTTAATGTTTCAAGATACCAATACTTGTCAAAGTGATCTACTGATTCAATGCAATCCTCACCCAAATCCCAGCGGGCTTCTTTTTTCTTTTTCTTTTTCTTTCTTTCTTTCTTTCTTTTTTTTTTTTGCAGATGGAAAAGCTGATCATCAAATTCACATAAAATTGCATCCAAAACAATATTGGGAGAAAAAAAAATGGGAGGACCTATCAACTTCAAAATTTATTACAAAGCTACAGTAATCAAAGCAGTATGGTAATGGATAAGATAACCATCTAGACCAATGAAATAGAATTAACAGCCCAGAAACAAACCCATACATTTATGACTTTCTGACAAGGAAGTCAAGACTATTCACTGGAACAGAGAACAGTCTCTTCAACAAACGGTTCTGGGGCAACGTGCAAAAGAATGAATGGGACCCCTACCACACAACGTATATGAAAATTAGCTGAAAATGGATCAATGACTTAAGTATAAGAACTAAAACCATAAAACTCTTAGAAATAAGCATAGGGGTATATACTGTACAACCAAAATTAAATTGGAGTCGCTTATATTGGGAACAAAATGGAGTTGGCCAAGACAGGCACATTGAAGAAAATGAAACTTAACCTTACCGACATAAGTTTCATGAATTTACCGCTCTTTTCATAAATCAGGATGCCAGCCAAACCCAACACCCAGGTCTGTTCATGCTGTCTTTGGACTTTCTGTTCTTTTGACTCAGCTGCCTTGACACCAATAAGGAAGAAGACTGCTGGGCAAACAATAAGCCGAAGAAGCCAAATAACTTGAGCATTTACTCATAAAAACATTCTGGTCTATGAGCATCTTGAAACACATTGTTCCCCTAGTCTTGATATTCTGGGCTTGTAGGTAGAACCTTGCAACGCATTCCTTTCTGCTGTGTTTTACTCAGTGAGCAGAGTTGGGTTTTTGACGAACTTGGATTTGGCAACGGATTCTTACGTATGGCACCACAAGCACCCACAAGAGGAAAAAAAACCAGATAAATTAGGCCATCAGAAATTTCAGTGTGTGCATCAAAAGGCATTTGCAAGAAAATGAAAGGACAACCTACAGAATTGGGGGAAATATTCGCAAGTGATCTATCTGATAAGGATCTGGTGTGCATACCATATAAAGAACTCATAACAAAAAGACAAACAGCCTAATGAAAAAATGGGCAAAGAACTTGGCTCAACAGTTCTTTAAAGGAGCTATCCGAGCGGCCAACCAGCCCATGCGAAGAGGCACAACATCGCTGGCCATTAGGGAATGCCAATCAAAACCACAATAAGACGCCATTTTATACCTGCTGGGACGGCTACAATGATAGTGATTTAAAAAGCACGTGTTGGGGAGGCTGTGGAGAAGTTGGAACCTCGGGACATTCTATTAGCATGTAAAATGTCTCAGCTACTGTGGAAACAGTGTATCGATTCTTGAAATTTTTAAGTATAGGATTTGCCATACGGCCCAGCAGTTTCATCCCTAGGTACGTATGGACCAGGAGTCTCTCCTTCACTAAACGTCAGCCAGGCCCCTGCGAGCCAGCAGGCGCCTTGTGGGCCTTGCATCAGCCAGGTGGAGCAAGAGTCCTGCTAAGGCACTGCGGAGAGAAGCCCTACTTCGATATGGGGTCACCCTTGCCCTCGGGTCAAATTGTTACCCCCCCGCCCCCCCGCCCGCCGGAATCCCATCGGCCTGATCTGCTCGGAGTCAGGAAGCTGTCAACCTTGTTTGGCCAGAACGGCCCCCTTGCCCCTGATAGTTCCCTTCCGAATTTTCTGCCCACTGACCCCACTCTGCTCTTTGGCTAATCGTTCCTTGTCCAAGCCTTGCGTGTGTGTGTGTGTGTGTGTGTGTTTTAATTGTCCCCTGCTGTCTTTGGAATTAAGTCCCATTCTATATTGAGGTCTCTTTTCCTCTCATTGCAATAGCTCCTGACTAAAGTAATAAAGTTCTCAGCACTAAAACGGCCGCCAGGCTCTGGTTTTCTGTAACAGTACACACTCTAAAGAACTGACTCACATACTTCCGCACAAGTAGCCATAGCAGCGCTATTCCCAACAGCTCAAAGGTGTCAACAATCCAGATGTCCTTCAGTGGGCGGGACGGATGGGTGAAACAGTGGTATGTACATATAGTGGAACGGAATATTAGCCATAAAAAGGAATGCAATTCCAATAGCTGCTACAAGGTGGGGTAGGCCTGGAAACCATGCTGAGTGAGTGAAAGGCAGACACAAAACGGTCACATATTTCATGTCTACAAATGCTCCAGCTTAGGTAAATCCATAGAGTCAGAAAGGTGTTGGTGTCTGCCAGGGCCTGGGGCAGGCAAGAAAGGACAGGAACTGCTTTCTGGGGTGAGAAAACTATTTTGGAACTAGGTGGACCTGCGGATTGTACAACACTGTGAATGCATTAAATACCACTGACCTGAACTGTTCAAAATGTTTATGTTCTGTGAATTTCACTGCAATAACATCTTTAAATTCATAACTCCACATACAGACAAAGTTGATTACGGGTGCAGAAGTGTTAGGGATGGGGAGAGAGCGAGAGACCCCAGAGTCAGGAGGCCCTTCTCGCCTGCCTTGGTTCTTGTCTCGCCACACAAGAGTAATTCAGACGAGAGGCAAACACGTACAATGGGTATGAAATAGTAAGTTCATTTATGAAACACATACAAGCGCCAAGCTGTAAGCAGGCACTTGGCTTATCTAAATGCCCCACACATAGAGGAAAGAAACTTGTGTTTGTTCTACACACTTGAGCCAAGGCTACAAGTGGGCACTTAGCTAATCTAAGTACCCTGACTATTGGGGTTCAGAGGTTATGCACTTCCCCTCGTTTCCAGGTACCCCTCCTCCTTCCCTTTGGGAATAATCTACCGCTACAAAGACTTTCTTTCTCAGTCAGTAAAAGCTCTTTGTCTTAATTAGTGAAATTGTTACAGAGGCCCCCCTTTTCCTACTCTGTAATTCTCACTTGTGATGTTCAGAGCATCAGGCAAGCTTGGTAACATTGTTACAGAAGCCCCTTCCTCAGCGCGGGCTCAAGGGCTCTCCCCTCTTCCTGCGCTACTTTTGCTTGCCTGGGACACCAGGCAATCTTATCAAACGGAGCTCAGGGCTGCTGAGTCCATCGGTGAGACACGTCTTCCTTCTTGCTTCCAGCCTCCTGTGTTAAGTTCTCTGCTAGACTGTAATGGCAAGGGCCCTGCATCTATTTCCCCTCTGGCCGCTCGTCCCTAGCTGCTGCCTAATAGAGTTACAGCCATTGCAATCCGTGCTGTCTATTCAATGTCTGAATTGTGAACGCCGTTCAGTGAGGGTTTTGTTGTTTCGGTTTTTTATTTTCCTAGGGGTTTTTGTTGTTGTTGTTGTTGTTTTGTTTGGTTTGGTTTGGTTTCTTGGCCACCATGAAATTCATTGGCACTTGATACACTATCAAAGGCTGCACGGCTTGGACCAGCAATGCAGGATTACGGTGTTCCCTTCCCATTGGGCAGGTGGGCCAGCAAAGAAAGGTAGCCCCAGGTTTCCTCCACCGTAAGTTCAGCAGGACCCCCTCCCTGCCCCTTAAACAGTCCCGCATCCTTCCTTGCATAGCAAGGACCTGGAACGCCGGGAGCAGTCCCGCGCGGGACGCCCCCTGGCGGCCGGGCCTCGCCTCTGCGCCCGGGCGCCCAGCTCCACCGCTTCCGCCCGCGGCCTCCGAGGCCCCGCCCAGCACGCCGGCCGGAAGTGCGGGCGGCGGTACGGGCCCCGGGGCCTCTGAGGCGCCGCGCCGGCGGTGGGCGTGCGGAGCGGGCGGCCGGTGGGTCTCGCCCGTCGCGACTAGGCCGGGTCCCCGGCGCTGTAACGGGTCCCGGCGGACCGGGTCAGAGGGGAAGGGCGGCTTCCCGAGTGGCGTTTCGCGCTTTCGGGAGCGCAGTGGGGAGGAAGACAGTATCCCCGGAGAGACGAGCTGGGCTCAGCCGACAGCCCCGGGCCGTCAGCTCCGTTGTCTGTCACGGTGCCGGGAGGCCCGCTTTCCGTTTCTGTGTTGGCTTCCGGGGCCCAGTCGCAGGTATTTGGAGACGCGCGCGAGTTTCGCGAATGCGTCTTCGGGGGAGCGGGTGTCTCGGGGTCCATGTTAAAGCGAGGCCGTTGGCCCGAGTGGTTTCCAAAGGGCGAGCAGTTGGAGGAAACGCCGGTCCGTCCGAGAAATCGGCGGCGTCGATTCCGACGGTAACCGGGATGGGTGACTGTTCGTCGCCATGGTGACAGGGGGGCTCGGCTGTGAGCCGGGGGGCGGGTCCCGCGTAGGACTCGGTCCGCGGCGGGCAGCGGGGTGTTCTCCGGTAGATTCAGGACAGCGCGGCGGCTGACAACCGTGATGCAAGCGGATATCCGAACTCAGGAAAGATGTACATTCATATGAGCAGAAGCGCGTCTTTATTTTAAATGCCTCGCTTTGAACAATGTAAATAGCGGCGCTGGATTGATTGGTCTGAAGGTTGTAGGATTCCGCAGGAAGAGTCTGAGATTAAAAATGGATAGAGAGGCGTCTTCCCGTCGAGCGCGGTCCGAGGGCCCCGTGCCCGAACGACGGGAGGGTGCGGCGGGTGCCCCGCACTTCCGGCGCAGCCTGCGCTCCGCCGGATGTTTGGGCGTCCGCGGCGGCCGCTGGATTCCGTCTGCGGCGCCGACCTCCGTGACGGTCGCCCAGCCTTCCTCACCCCGCCCCCGCCCCGCCCTCCCAGCTGGGTAGCCGGAGATGTCCTTTTGCACTTGAACTTGTCCAAAAAGCGGAGGGAGGCGGTCGGAGACCTCATTTCGAAGGCGGCCCATTCTACCTGTCTGCTGAGTGTCTTCAGCTTTCGATTCCCTGGTCAGAAAAGTCCCACCTTAACCTGAATTCGTGTGAACTCTCTTGTGAGGTCTTGCAGGATGAATGCCTTAATCATTTTCTTTTTTAAGATTGTTTCTGGTTTGGGTCTTTTTTTCCCCTCCTGTTTTCTCGGCCCCCCCCCCCTTTTATTTTAAGTAAAGCTGGCCGAATCTGAGCTTCGGGTTCACCAAACACCTTTTATATAGAAAATACTGTTTTCTGTCCCTTGAAGATGTGCTCTCAGCTCACCTGCATGGACAGACACGCAGGGCACAAGGAGTTAGGTAAAGAATTCGATTAAAAACAAGCCTTATGTAGCGTCTCTCAGCGCGAACAGGCGCCATCTCTGGGGGAGGCAGAGGGGGCACCCCGGTGGACCTCAGGGCAGGCAGCCGCTGGGGACCCGCCCGGACCAGCTCCTGAGCCCCTGGAGCGGGGCGGCCCCTGGTTGGCGCGGCAAGGTCCTGCGGTGTGTGCAGCCGGGGGGCGCGTCCCGGAACCGGGCTTTGCGGGGAGTGGGTCGGGCTGGTGGGAGGAGGGCGGGGCCTGCGCGGCTGCGCTGGGGACACGCGTCGCAGGTGCCAGCGGGTACAGTGAGCGCGTGGGGTCGGGCGGCGGGGACAGGGAGCCGGAGGAACCGGGGGGGGGACGTCGAACCCTTCGGCCTCTTCTCTCCCGGATGGCCTGGCCTGGCCGGCGTGTCTGGAGGAGGCGTGGCGGGGGCCGCCCCGGCACAGGCCTGCGCTGTTCCCCCAACCCAGGAGCTGCGCTTGTCCACGGCGAAGGCTGGGTCGTGGGACGTGGGTTTTGTGGCTGATCATTTAAAGATGTGTTAGAAAAACATCTACCTTAAATAGTTTTCCTCCTTAATTACTGAGTCATTCCGTTTCTTTTGAGAGCTTTAGGTTAATGTGGAGGGTTTTGCTTTTGTTTTCGACAGTGCTGTGAAACCGCCATCGAAGGCATGGTTCTCGCCCTGCTTCATCGGCGCAGCTAGGCCCTCCTGTGGGCCCCTGGTCACCGCGCGATGGTAAGCAAGCTGAGCTCGGCGGCCGCGCTCGCGTTTTAGGGCGTTCGCTCCCTTCACCTCCACAGAAATACCCGTGTCACAGATACGGAGACGCTCTTGTAACCTGTTCAAGGTGCCGCACTGGGACATGACTGAGTAACCACTTGCAAAAGTTTATGCAGATAATCCACCTTTATCCCTGTGAAATACTTAAAAATGTGTACTTCTTCTTACCACAGTCCAAATCATTGGCAAGGAGGATGGTTATTAATAGAAATAGTGTGGGGTTTCCTCCTATATTCAAGTTCCTCTTATTGTAGATTTTTTAAGTTGTTTTCAACAATTGCGACATGCTTACCGCAAATGGCGTTTAGGAATGTCGACGTTAGCCGTCTAACGGCACGTGCCGGTTTTGGTCATGGAGTCCCGGTCACTGAACGTGCTTGGGGTTGTGCATTCGACTTTGGCCGTTACCAAAGTAAAGACAAGGGGGTGACCCCCTTGGTAAGACCTTAAAGCGGCGGCAGCGTTCGACCGGACGCGAGTAAGTGGCCACGGACACCCCCCTCCCACGTCGAATGCGCCTCAGGACATTTGTTTTCCTCCTCCTGGGGGCCGCCCCCGAGCCCGGCTGGAGAGGCAGGCGGGGCTGTGGCCGGGGGCGCGGCCTGGCCTTCGGCGGGGTGTCGGCGGGGCCGCGGCGCCTCCGGGCCGCGTCAGAAGCGGGCAGCGTGTGAGCTGCGCGCAGGGGCGGGCGCGGCCCGTGGGGCGTGGATAGCAGGAGTGAAGAGTTCCCTGGGTATTTTGGCTCCAATGGCTGTCCCAGAGAGTGTATGTGATTTCATTTCACTTTTTTATACACACTTTAAGGTTTTACGGCCAAAATAATTTTAAATCCTTAGGTATTTGTCAAGCGTATATATCATATATCCAGAGCTCAATTTTTGTGCTGGAAAATGCTCTATATTCAGGATTCTTATCTTGCCTCGCTTCATTGGGAGCCAGCTCCTCATGAGACTTTTTAATAAATTGGTACACATGTATTTTCACTGAATCTTTTGAGATGATGTACCTCAGATGTTTTCTCCTACGGCGTTCTTGAGGCCCGAGGGTGTGGGGTATTTCCTACTGCGGTCTGACTGCCCGGCGGCCGGGCTGGCCGGGACGTGGGGCCTCGATCGCCTGGGGGCCTGGCAGTGTTTAGACCCCCTTTCCCCTGGTGGGGCCCCGGTGGGTGCTGGGAGTTTTTACTCCATGCAACGTGGTAAGTGGAATTGTTGGAGTCGACAAAGTAAAACAGAAAAGTTTAGGTTCTTGGAAATAAAAAACTGAAAGTTCTGTGCCTGTCAATGGGATTAAAAATGCCTGCTATTGTAAGTGAAAACATACGCTAACTAGAAGGAGGAATCGGTGGTATATTTGCTTAACTTTGTTTAAAGCCTAGTACTTTTCTTTTTAGGTGTCATTACAAAAGAAGCTTTACAAATGAGGAAGGCAGAGATGACCTTCTCATTTCTCCTTCTTGCCTTAAAGTGAGGGTCTCCAAGTAGTGTATGAAAGATGAGAATCTACTAGTAGATCCTACGCCGTATGTGTAGTAGTAATACCGTATTTCAACTCTAAGGCGCGCCTCTTTTACAGTTTAATATTACTGAGTCAAGGATGAGTCTACAATCGGTGACATCTTACAGTTTTACCTGGTGGCACTTCTTTCATAATGTTGCCTCAATTAATGATGCTTGCTTATAGCTGTTCAATGTAATTTGCCATTTATTTTCTACTAGGCACTGACCTAAAAACATGAGGTTGAAATTTCCTGCATGAATGTACTAGTAATTTCTGCGCTGACGTTAGAGCCAGCACCGTAGCACTCCCAGTTTTCAGGGCTCCTAGCAGATTAAGGGGAGTCCTACCTTGCGTTACTTGACTTGCGTACTCGAGGCCCCATGGATAGCACTGAAGGGTACTATCTTGGAATGCTGAGGGGTTCACGCTTATGCCCTGGGAGCTGTCACCGCATCCAGCCCGTGGCCCTGTGCCGCCCCAAGTGCTGGCCAGAGAAGCCGCCGCAGCACTTAGCTGCACGGTGGTGTGACCGGGCTCCTGCGACCGCCCTTTTCTCCCCCGGTGGCCTGTATCGGGTGTGTGCCTGCAGGGGATGGGGGGCTGGAATCAAGGAAGATGCATTGGGCTCCTGTTAGATAGTTAAATGTGAACACTTATTTATGAATGTTACATGTATATTGAATTTTTTTGCGAAAATAATACCAAATATACGTACTTGTTTTTTACAGCAACAAGCTGTAGAATTAGCGCTGGACCGTGCAGAGGTAAGGCGGGACTAAGTTACATGTTGAATTGTGTGGGCTCTCACTGACGAAACTCAGTTGCCAGAGGTCTTTGTCTGATTGTCAGAGGGGTACGTTAACATTATTTTAGGGCAAGTATGCAAATAATTTTGCTGTGAATATATAAAAATACCAGGTGATGTTTGAATCATCTGTTACTTGAAATCCTCAGATAATAATGCTATGGAATATAAGTTAAGTAATGCTGCAGAGTAAATATTATTTAAACAAGGACATAGAATTTCTAAAATCACGTTTCCCTGTTTTGGCAAGTTTGCTAAATGCTGAATTACAGAGACAAATAGCTGAACAATATATAGAGTCCTTGTAATTGGATATGCCATGCATATTCTGAACAACCATAAAACATACTGAGAATATCTGACCTGTGAAATCACACGTATAAAGCTATATGACTTTGCTTATATCATAGCAATGAAATACTGCTAAATTCCAGTGCAGTTTAAATTTCACTTATTTATAATATATTTAGCACTTAAGTAGTTTTTCTATGAAGTATCATCTAGTATGAATCAGACTGAGGAGCCCTTTTAGCCCTCTCTGTATTTTAACTGTATTCAGTGTGGGTTCGCTACGCAACAGGCCGGCTGTCTCACGAAGATTTCTTTTCCAGTACATCATCGAAAGTGCCCGACAGAGACCTCCCAAAAGGAAATACCTGTCTAGTGGAAGGTATGAGTACGTCGGACCCGCTGGCCCCTCAGACCCGCTGAGAGCCGCCTCCGCCGGGTCCTAGACGGGCTCCCTGCCCGCACTGTCGGGTCTCAGCGGCCCTGCGCGCGTTGGAATCGGCTCAGTCGATGTTGGTCACCATGTCCCGTTCACCCCTCATCTTTGGGAAATTGGGGAAAAATTCTGGGAAAAATTCAATAACATATATTTTACAATGGCTTTTGTAGTCACATTATTTTGTATATTGTCTTTGTTTTAACTTTTAGAAAATCTATATTTCAAAAGCTCTACGACTTATACATTGAAGAATGTGAAAAAGAGCCTGAGGTTAAGGTAAGGATACATTTTTTTATACTGTTACAGCTCTTGAAGTGTAGAGGAGGAAAGAAACTTGACTAGTCACATTTGAAGCGGACACCAATTTATATTTCTGTGCGTGCACCAGCATCTCTCCCAGGTTCTGCCCGCTGCACAGCTGGCCCAGAGCTCTGGCTGCGAGGCGCGTGCTCGGGTGGGGGGTGGGGCACAGTGCCCCCGAGGCGCCGAGCGAGGCCTCTGTGTGCGCAGGCTGGCCCTGAGGTCCGCCGTGCGAGTCCGTCCTGCCGCGGCGACTCCGACTAGACACGCGCACAGCTGGGGACCTGCTGTGCCCCACGCATATACCCTTGTTTCCTCTCCCTCCTGGCAAATGACTTGCAGACTGAAGACAGGAGAGAGTTGCCCTGTTTCCTCGCGGTGGTTTGCCCTGGAAAGCGAAAGCTCCCACAGGGCATGCGGGGAAAGGGGCGTTGCGATAAACGGTGGGCTGGGTCACGAAAGGCGGTTCATGGCCGGGTGAGAGTCGTTCACTTTTATTTAGCATAAAAGTATGGACAGTCAAAATGTAATAGAAGGTGATTTCTTGATATTTGTTGTACCCTTGGGTTGTAGGGGTCTTGAAGGACTCCGTGAGCTCCTGTCATCTCTCTTTAAGTTTGAAATGAATGTCACTTGAGCTCTGGCCAGGTGGCTCTGTTGGTTGAAGCATCATCTCATGCACTGAGAGGGTGCAGGTTTCACACCTACTCAGGGCACGTAACAGACGGCACCTGGGCGATGCTTCTCTCCCTCTTCCCCCCGCCATCCCTTTCTCTGTAAAAATCAGTAAGCAGGTCCTCAAGTGAGGATTAAAAAAAGAATCATTTTACCTTTTAGGTAAAAAAAAAATCAGTGAAATTCCAGTAGTATTTAACTTCTGAAATCTTTACATTAGTAGAAAAATGGTTGTTAAACTATAAATGAACCTTACAGTATGTCTTGTAGAAGTTTTATTGAGGTATAACTGACATATAATAAACTTCACATTAATAAAATAATAAAAGTACACATTTATAAGTTTTTACATGTACACACTCGAGAAACTACCACTGTAATCAGTATAATGAACACATTCTTCAGCTCAAAGACAGAGCGGAGAGAGGAGAGAGCCAGCGATGAAGCCTGTCCGTCGGCTCAGAGGCCCACGTGCGCCGGCCGCGTGGGGCCCCGCGCCCGCTGGGCTGGCAGGGCAGGGCTGGCAGGGCAGTGTTGGCGTGCAGCAGCGCCGCCGGCTTACTGCACAGCAGGCGCCTTCCCTGTGCCGCGCATTCTGGGGTGACACAGGCCCTGCGGCCCACGAGCCTGGATGCTGATTGGTCCCTGAGGGACTCTGTCCTCTGCCCTGTGTGCCCCAGAACAGGGGGCAGGCGGCGCACAGCTGGGGGAGCGCCCCTGCAGTCGGGCGGCCTGCTCCGTCTCCCGCGGGGCCTGCGGGCTTCCCTGCACTCGCCGAGGCTTGAAAACTGTAGTCTCTTCACTAGTGTTTCGGGTTTTTTAAATATCAGAGTGGTTACATGTTTTGCCACGTTTTTAAATATGGCAATGTAGTGTTGTGATCCTTGGCGGCAGTAGGTTAGAATTGATCATTTCTCTCTGCACATAACTGTATTCATATTTAGTGTAAGATACTCAAAACATGGTTTTGAGTTCATGCAAAAAATATTCTTTTGATATCTTTTTGCAAATAAGATTTCATGACAGGAATTGTTATATCTATAATTGAGTTTTATTTTAAATCATACATTTCTAAAGTAGTGGATTTTAATGTATATGTATTATATATTCTGATGGATTTTTTAACACTGGTTTCTAAGGAATAGTTAAATGGAATTTACAGAAAATTGCTTAAATTGCCCACTTCCTCTTAACTATGAGATATTTTTGAGTTTAACATTTCAGCGATTTCGAGCTGTTGAACTCTTTTGAATCTAATTTAGGCCATAAAATATTTAAGAAACATGCACCTGTAACAGTCCAGCCAAAGCAAACACCCCAGAGCCCTCCGTGCTATGGAGCCGCTTCGCTCTCCTTACTGTGTCATGGCTCAGTGGCGCTCCTTTGTGATAGGAGTCAACTGGCGTGCAGAGCGGCAGCAGCAGTCACTCGGTTCACGGGGATGGCGCGCGCTTGGTGGCCGCGTTGCTGCCGGTCCCTCCGCGCTCAGAGTTGCGACATGGTAGGGGCACCGGGCGGGCGATTCCGGGCCGCCTCTGTGCGGCCTGGGGCGGTGTGTTGGTCGGGGTGCGCCAGGTCGTTCCTGTGACCTCTGCCTCTTTTTAAAGCAGAAATTAAGAAGAAATGTGAACTTGCTGGAGAAGCTTGTTATGCAGGAGACATTGTCATGTTTAGTGGTCAACCTGTACCCAGGAAATGAGGGATATTCTTTGATGCTCAGGGGAAAGAATGGATCAGGTAAGAACCGCGAGGGCGGCTGCCCCAAGGCCCAGGCCGGTAGGGTGGGCTCTCTCCCGGGCGTGTCCTCGCCCGCTCAGGGGTCTGGCCTCGTCGGGGAAGGCTCGACGGCGGGCGCGGGTCCCAAACCTCCCCCCACGGGGTGTCCTGTTAGCCTGTCAGACCTCACCTCTAACGTGACCGGCCCTCCTGAAGTACGCACTTGAGAAGTGTTTTTGATTGAGACGGGTCGTTGTAGTTAAATTACAGAAGATGCAAGTTTTAAGTAACTGTCAAATTTTCCTTTATTGCCGTTAATATTTTAAGATAGCATAAGGTGTTTTATGGTATTGTTTTCTTCTACATTTTGAATATGCTCTGAGTCTGAAACATTCAAAATTAAGTAGACTTATTGCCTTTTGAGTAGTTTATATATATTAACACTTTATGAATGTGATCATGAAAATAAAGTTTTAAAATACAGTCTTAGATTTCACTAAAGAAGCATCTAAAAATTTGATATAGTTGATGTTATGAGTTCTACAAGGAACTCACCTCATGTTTTCTTCTGTGGATAATTAATCGTAGAATGTCACACCAAGAGAATTTGTTCTCTAAGTGACCGTTTTTCAGATGAGGCGTCAGATCGTCACTGATCTGCCTATCAGATCAGCTGTGAGCGGCTGGCAGTGTCTTTCCGCGTCCGGGCTGTTGCCGCCGGCTGTGATCCATGTCGTGACCCTCGGCCTAGACGTTTCCCGCTGCCCGACCGGCGGCTCCCTGCTTTCTGACCCGGACGCCTGCCCCGCTGGCCCGGGCTTCTGGCAGCGTGGGGTGACTGTCCATGAGACGCACACAAAGAAGGACTCTGGGAGCACCTCGGCTGCAGTTTTAGTTTTTTGTAAAGTCATTTAAATTATGCACCTAGGCTTTTCTGAGAGCCTCATAGTTTCAGAAACTTTCTATTTTTTTAATTAAGATTCAGAGACCATCCGACTGCCATATGAAGAAGGGGAGTTGCTTGAATACTTGGATGCCGAAGAATTACCTCCCATCTTGGTTGATCTCCTAGAAAAATCTCAGGTAAAGTTTTTTTCTCTTTAACATGCCCTTAGATTTGTCAACTGTACGTTGTTTAGTAACAAGTGATATTTGTATTCTCAACAGTGCTTAGGACAAGAAATGGGACATTATAAGAAGCTATATGGAAACTGGTTTATTGTGGGGTGTCATCCGGTTTTCAGGCTGCGCTGAAAGGCGTAGGTTTAGTTGATTCTTCCAAGGTCGCTGTGACAGTCAGCGTGCCTGCCGGACACCTGCGGTAGCGCGGCAGTCGGGGGGCCGCTGGGGGAGCCGCGCGCTCGCCGGCCACGCCGCCGCCTCCGCTGAGAGAAGCAGCTGCACGGCGGGCCGTCGTCCCCGCATCTCTGTGCCCGCTGGCCCGCCTGATCCGGGAGACGGAGTCTGCTGCTCCTGTACGGCGCCCCCCGCCCTCAGCGCCCTGCTGCTGTGGCCGCCCACCCCCCGTAGGGGCGGCAGGCGGGCACACTGCCATCTCCTACCACAAAACGCCCTCTCCTGCCCGTGTTTTCACTGGACTCTTGGCCAAGTTCAGTGCAAATGGCCAAGTCCCCTTGGAATGGCCTTTGGGCTCCTGAGACATCACACCTCTGTCCGCCCCACCTTGCTCTCTGATGCTGGGGACCTGTGCCGCCTGCCACCCCACCCCCGTGGGCGTGTTCGGGCTTGGGGCTCGTCCCCAGCGCGCTGTCCTCTAGGAATTCTCTCCCTGGACAGTTGCGCCCAGCTTCGTGAGATGTGAAATCACATCAGCCTCTCGTGCTCCCTCTCACAGCGACCACTCCAAACATGAGTTTACTAGGGTGCGGAACAAGTTGTTCAGCCTCACGGGACAAAACAGAGCTTTTTAGTGTCCCGCCCAAACTGGTTCTGTTACCGGCCGTTGGAGCCTGACGGATGCCCCCTCTCCCCGCGAATACTTGCCCCACTGGACTGCCCGCCGGGGCCCCGGGCCCCGGAACGGATTCCTCCAGAGGTCAGGCTTACAAAAGGGAAACAGGGCAGGCCCTGCCCGAAGCTCCTCCATGCCCTCTCGTACCCCAGGCCCGCCTGCCGGCGCGTCCTCCCGTCCTGGCTCTCCCCGCTCCAGCCGCGGGGGCCCAGGGCTCCGCCCGGGCCGCCTTCCGCAGAGGGCGCGCGGAGCGCACAGCCCGGATCAGCCCCTTTTTCCTTTCCTTCCTTTACGGCACTCGCCACCAACTAAACTTGCTGTGGTCATTGGTTCACACGTTCATTGCCCGTCTCCCTGCACCGAGAGCAAGCATGGCCTCACCGCCGTGCCACGGTGGTGGTCTGATAATGCCTGGCACGTGGGTCACGCCGCAGCCACTCGGGGGGTGTTCACTCGGAAGCATGGGCGTGGTGGCGGCCGATGCGGCGGCGGTCGGCGCGCCCACCGAAGGTCCCAGCACAGACCGGCGCTGGGGCGAGCGTGGCCAGTGGTAGTTCGCGAGACTTGAGCCGTGCAGGTTCTACTTTTGGACTTAGAAGAAGGACTAGGAGACACTTTTAACAGATTATTTGAATCTATAGTTGGCTTTCCTCCTCTTGTTAATAAAGACTATCCTTCAGAAGGATCAGCACGTAGTAGCAGCCCTGTCCCTCAGCTGAAACGGTGAGAGGGCTGACTGACAGTTTGTAAGTGACAGAGTGCGCGCAGTGTGGCCGCGAGCCAGTGAGAAGCACGTCCGGGGTGTGCAGCGTGACGCGTGGACGCGGGGGTCGGTCTGCCACAGGGACCCACTTCATACCGCTTCTTGGGTCAGAGCCGTGAACAGGAAGTGGCTGCTTTTCAGGGATTCTGCCCACAGGGGTGAATCCGCTGAGGGGCCCCGTCGGAGAGGGTCGGGGCGGCCAGGAGTGTCGCGCAGGCGTGTACGGAGCCCCACACGCTCAGTGTGAAGCCGCTTGCGCAGGTCCTTGGAGACGGTCATTGACTCGCGTGTTTTCACCTCCCACAGGCCAACATCTTCCACTGCGGGTGCGTCCTGGCGGAGGTCCGGGACTACAGGCAGTCCGGCCACACGAAGCCCCCCGGCTACCAGAGCAGGCACATCTTGCTGCGCCCCACGATGCAGGTGGGGTCGCCCTGGCCTTTATGCAGTGCCTTCCTGGGCTTGTGTGCCTATGCAGTAATGTGTTTTTTAAATTTTGATTTCTTCTAGACTTTAATCTGTGATGTGCATTCAATAACGAGTGATAACCATAAATGGACCCAGGTTAGTTCTGTTTTTTAACCCCAGACAGGCATAACATAGGATAAAACAGCAGTTGTCACTAAGTTAAGCAAAAGAGACTTTCTGCTTGTGATTGCGCTCACGTGTGGCATCTGGGGTGCAGGCCTCTGCAGGCGCGTTGCCCCTGAGGGAGCCGACCGCTTCGGGCCCGTAGCTGCAGGGTGTGGTGAGGTGGGTTAGGAGGGCCTGTCCTGCCCAGGGTTGACGGGGAGGCGCTTAGATTGTTACACCCTCTCAAAGGAGAGAAAGGGGTGCTGGTTGTCCCCTGATTTCCTGTCACCTGGGGCCCTAAAGCAGCCTTGCCTGCTGTCCTGGCCACCCAGGGAGCCCTCGTGCCCCCGAGAGCAGCAGGCAGGCCCGGGCGTGTGAGGTGCCCGCGCCCCGCAGCGTTCACCACCGACCCCCCCCCCCCCGCGGGCACGGAGAGGGGCGGCCGCCCCACCCACGGGAAGCCCCGTGGTTGCCCCTGTCTAACCTGCGAAGCGCGGTTCCGCTCATCAGTAGCTGTCACATGCTGTGCTCTAGCCTGGGGTCTAGCCCTCTGTTTAAAAGCACATTAAGAGCTGTTGGGAGATGTTCAGAAACAAGCTCCTCGGTCACCGTGGAGGTTGTCAGGGCGTCAGCGTCCGGCGCGGAGCCCGATAAATGCAGGGACGGGCTGCAGCCTTCAGTCCGCCGTTCCCAGAGCTGCGCAGCAGGCAGCCTGGGGGAAGCCAAAGGGAATGCTCTAGACAAGTTTCAGCTACCAGGTACAGAAGAAATGATGCACTTGAAAAACCATCACTGGGAAAGCTTAATGAATTAACGGGTTTAGACAGCTGACAATTGTAGGTTTGAAGGGCCATTCCGTTATAGCTCATGGGGATCTGTGTGGCGCAGAGAGCCAGCTACCCACTGGTCTCTCGTGCGACAGGGGAGGCCCCCAGTGGTGCCAGCGAACCAGGGTCTGAAAACAGAGCCTGTGTCCCACCAGGCCTCTGCCCCCAGCAGTGACAGAGAGTCAGGGACAAGGCGAGGAGCGGCCAGCCAGGCTCCGCTAAAAACTGCGCCCTGAGGCAGCAGGCGGGCAGATCTGACAAATCCGTGGCTAAAGGGAGAACAAAGGTGATCGTTACAGACCAAGGGAAAGGTGTGCAAGGAGAGGACACCCAAGTACAGTGTGTAGGGCTCGCTTGGGTTCAGAGTCAAACCCACCAGCCAAAGACACACTCGAGATAATGGGAAGACTATAGCCTGGCCGTGTGATGTCCTGACCCGTGGGCGACGTGCGCTGAGTATTTTCAGGTGAACCAGAACGGTGTTGGAGATGTATTTTAAGTTCCTCCCGCAAAGCCAATAAGCACAGACGAGGTCAGAGGGCCAGTCGTGGGATGGACGCGGTGTCGCCCCGTGGGTGGCCGCACACCTCTGCCTCTGCGTGTTTCTTTTACATCTCCGTGATTAACAGTGGAATGGAACTACCGAAAGAAGGGGGGGCGGGGGCGTTTCCACAAAAAATTTTATTCAACGATATTAACTGATTCATTTGATTTGAAAAAACTTAGAGCTATGAAAGCATTTCGCCGATGAGCAAAAACACCAGGGCCAGCAAAGCTGGCCGCGCGCCGGTGACAAGCCCGTGCACGCTTTGGGGCGGGGGCGGGCGCGGGCGGGTGTGCGCGGCGGTGGCGTGGCCGCCTTTATCGTGGTGAAAGGAGGCTGAGCAGAGAGTGGCCCTGAGCTCCTAGGTGCTGAGCAGGCTGTGCTCCATCTGAACCCTCTAAGCTTTGTGTGAGGAGAGCATTTTATCGGCTTTGTTGGCCGCTGTGCCCCAGCCGCTAGAACAGCGCCTAACACAGAGTAGGCACGCAGTTAGCGCCTGCCGGGTTAGGAAAGGCGTCCCTAGGAGCGGGCCGGCGCGCGCACCGCACCGACCCCAGGAGGTCCACTGTGCTGCCGGGTGTCCTCGCTCTGCCCACCGGACTGGCCCTTGAAATAGCCGTGTCACTCTAGTCCTTTGCCGAGCGTCAGGGGCGTTCTAGATGCAGGGGTACGCTTGATTCGGAGATCGGAAACTCGGGGCTCATGCACGTTTGTCTCATCTCAGGAAGACAAGCTCCTGCTGGAGAGCCAGCTGGTCCTGGCCACGGCGGAGCCGCTGTGCCTCGACCCGTCCATCTCTGTCGCGTGCACTGCGAACCGGCTGCTCTACCACAGGCAGAAGATGAACACGCGCCCGCTCAAACGGTAACTGGCATCCCCGGGACGGGGGGGGGGCGGGGCGCGGGCGGGGGGCGCCCCGGGCACGGCTGGAGCCCCGCCTGCTCTGTGCCCTTCCCCCGCAGGCCACATGCGGGTGCTCTGCCTTTTCAGTAGGGCCTTCAGGTACCTTGTGTTACTTTCTTCGTGTGTTATAATTTTTTAACATCTTACTCTGCTTTGTATTGAATTGTTGCATTCTTTGTATTCTTTTGAAGAAACAGACTTCCTGTAAGTTTAGTATCTATTCCCCGAAAACATAGAGACAAGTATGAACAGAAAGAATAATTTCTTCATTACATCCTGATATCCAGTAACTAGTGTAAACTTTGTTAATACTACTTTTAAAGAAACCATAAAAATTTTATTTTAAGATTTAGGAAAATATCACGGTTTTAGCAGTCAGGTTATAACTAAATGCCTTTTTATAGCATTGTAATTTGTCTTTAAATGTTTAGCTATGTTTTCCACTTACTGAAATAAAAAAACAAAAAACGCATGTAAATTTGGGCTGCAGTTATAGCTGGCTCATCAGCACGCTCTCTGCATAACTGTTTAAGTTGCCATCTTGGGTCTTCCCCGAGCTCGAAGGGGCTAACACGCCGGTCCAGGTTCTGATGCCTCAGCTGGCTGTTGCCGTGACTCAGCCGAGGAGGGGCAGCCCGGGAGCGGGCCCCGCAGGCCACGCCAGGGCCGTCGGTGGCCCCCAGCGGCCGCCTGTGCCCACGCCGCACCGCTGTCCGAGCCCCCCGGCTGCACTTGGCTCCCGCATCGAGTCCACTTCTGGGCCCCTCCAGCTCCGCCTTTGCCCCCTGCCCGGGCCTGTTCCGGGTGGCCCTGAAACCCCTGAGCAGAGCAGACCATGCCGGCGGGTCCCTAAACTTCCCAAAAGCATCGAGTGCCTTGCCCTTCCCGCTAAGTCTAAACACAACATCGTTGATCCGAAAAGCCTTGTCCTCTGGCCGCCTCCTACCTGTGGACCCTGGCGCTCGAGCCACACCCACCTCCTCTGTTTTCAGTGCAGACGGCGTTTCTGCCTCCACACCTTTAACAGTCTTACTCGGCGGCACACACTCGTCTCCTGGGCTTTCCGTAGCTGGGCCCTGCGTGTCATTCACGTGTCCTGTCACATGTGATTCCCTCGGAGCCCTTCCGTCCCCGACGTTGCCTCCCCGTCGCTCACCTCTCCCCTGCCCCTGCCCGCGCCGCTCTCGGCAGCGACCCCGCTGGCTGCCCCCACAGGGCCGGCCCTCATGGCCGCGGGGCTTCTGTGCGTGCCCCCGTCAGTAGCTCCCTGTGCCTGGGGCTTCGCTTGGCAGGGGCAGCAGCCTGCAAATACTCAGGAATTCGCTGCGTACTCGGTGCCTTCCTGTGGAAGCCCTTATGTATTCTGAACCTCCTTTATAAGCTTTGTTTAGTTCAAACCTCTTAACGTTTCAGGTGTTTCAAGAGGTATTCCCGGTCCTCGCTGAACCGGCAGCAGGACCTGTCCCATCGTCCACCACCCCCTCAGCTGGGGCTCCTGGATTTCCTGCAGAAAAGGAAGGAAAGGAAAGCAGGTCAGCATTACGACCTCAAAATTTCCAAAGCGGGAAATGTAAGTACACGTTTCTGAAGTGAAGTTTACTGTCACGCTACAGCCCCCCTGCCTTTGATTTTCTGCCCCTCGACACTGTTTTTGGTTTTCCAGTGTGTGGACATGTGGAAGCGCAGCCCCTGCAGCCTGGCCGTGCCCTCCGAAGTGGATGTGAGTTGGGGCGTGCGTGGCTCTTGCCCTCACACAGGGTCCTCAGTGCAGCTCGGAGGGGCTCCTGCGTCGGCCAGGGAGTCTCACTTCTTTAAAAAATGGCGGGGTGTTTCAGATCGGCGGCCCCACGGTAGGAGCCGTGCTCCTCTGTCCCGCGCACTGTGTGAGGCTGGCTGCCGGGCGCAGGTCTGTGTCCAGAGAGGGAGCAGTAACCACGGGGCGCCAGGCTGCAGGGAGCGGGGACGCGGAGGGGCGCCTGGAGCGCCCGGCCACCCCTCGGACCTGACAGCGGCAAGAATGGCTGGCGCAGGCGCCGGGGCAGCATCTCTGCCCGGTCGCAGCCCTTGCGACTGGAGGCAAGAATGGGGCCCCGGGAGGGGTGACCCTGGCCCTTTTATTTTCCTCTTTGTCCTGCATTCCTGGTTGTTAATTACTCAGCTCTTTATCATCAGTTAGAGGTTTGCTCTTCTTTGGCGTCCTTTTCAGGCTCACTCATGGACGATCTTACTGTCTGTGATTTTATTTTTTTAAAGTGTAAAAAGCACCAAGCCAAAGCCATCACAAGTAGACCACACGCGCAGCTCAAGAGAGCCAGCCGCCCGTCCTCGGTGGCTCGAGCAGCCTCCTCGGAGGCGGCCTGAGAAGCAGGGGGCCGGGCTGCCAGGGTCTGGGCCCTGCCGCCCGCGCTCTGAGTGGCGGGGCCCGGCGCAGAGCCACGCGGTCCGGCTTGCCCAGAAGAGCAGTCTAGGGCAGCGGTTAGACACGGCCTCAGGCCCCGGGTGGCACCTGCCCGCGCAGCCGGGTGCCCAGGGCAGGGACGCGGGCCCCCGGACCTGCGCCCGGTCCCAGGGAGCCTGGGCCCCCCCGAAGGCCCCGGTCGCCCGGAGGGTGAGCGCGTGTGCGTCTCGTGGTCTAGTGCGAAACAAACACAACGCAGGCCCGCAGCTGGGAGGCCTGCTCCGCGCAGTGGGCGGGGCCACCCCATGGGTGTGGTCGGGTGTCCGTTCGATTTGACCGTTCCGCCGAACATGTCCTGCGGTGCAGCTTGAGTGTGATAGTGTTGTGTGCAGGATCACATGCGTATGATTTGTAATGAAAAATGGGCGCTATTTCTGCCGGACCCTGTATAGGGCCTCCGTCTGACTAAAAACGAGAAGGTTCACACAAGCTCTGCCCACTTGAACTTCCCTAGTCTGCTTCCAGTTTTGTCCTGGCTGTTATGCGACGACCTCTGTTCATTAAAAACCCCGGCCCCAGCTGCTTCCCTGCCGTCCCGCGTGTCCTAAGGGACACCCGTGGCAGCCGTTCACGGGCTGGCAGGAAGGGGCGCTGTCAGAGGGTGGCGAACAGGGGTCTCATTCTGTGTCTTTTTAAAGCCAGTTGGTTGGACTCACTGTATCAGGAGAGTTTTGAACCACTTAAGATAAGCAGTTGGCGATATTAGTGATTCAAGGATTCTTGTCCTAAAACGTACACGATATGAAGTCACTCAGGTTCTTCCCTCGGGCCATAACCCTGATTCTGTTGTCTCATGTGTCTCCATGTGGCCGCTTAGGTGGAGAAACACGCGAAGGTGGAAATGTCCGTCAAGCCCGACGACTCGCAGCCCGCCGTCTGGCCGGCCCACGTGAGTGACCCTCGCCGGCCTCGCCTCTGAGGGCAGCGTCTGGGATCGGGGCTCGGGGCTGCCGACGCGTGAAGGGCACGGGCCTGCAGTTGTGTCTTGTTTGATAAAGGGCTTTCTGGGAGTTGTTGAATTAAAAGGAGAAACAACTGTTGAGTTTTGTTTTTCACCAAGTGTGGCTGCCAGTTCAAAAAGCAATTTCAATGCACAGCTACATTTTTACTTCTGTGTTGGTTGCAGATTGGTGGTTCTCCTGAGTTTAGATTCAAGCTGATAACTAGTAAATTATTTCAAGTATGTCTCTTAAGGGAACTGTTCTGGGTGCGTCTCCCTGTTTGCAATGATAACTTCGTAAAGGGAGAGGTAGATAGGCGTAACTTGTTAAATAAGGTGCGTCTAGAAGTGGAACGGTAAGATGCCTTGTGTGTGCGGCAGCGAACGGGCTGCTGACGCGCAGAGACAGGCCTGCCTCTGAGGGTGCGCTTGTTCCCGTGTCTACTGTTCGCACTCACATGTTCAGCCTGCGACAGCCTGCCAGGCTGCGCTCAGACTGCGCTGGTGGCCGACCCCAGGGGACGCCCCTTCCCGGGGGGCCTTGTGGCGCAGGGCCCTGGGCCTCCGCGTTCTCTGGGGTGGGCCCGGCGGCGCCGCGGCCCTCCTCGTGCTGGCGGGTCGCCGAGCCAGGTCTGCCTGGTGACTGCGCTTGCAGGGGAAGGCGTTTGTCTGGGGTCGAGCAAAGAAACCTTAACCCTAGAGAAGGGTTAAAAGAGCTAATCTGAGCAAGAGCGGGGGACCAGATCCGAAGGCAGATCTCAAAGGATCGAGAAGGCCTTTGTGTTTTATGTGTTTCCATCAGAGGAGGAGACCAGACACCAGAGAGGCGGGAGGAGGTGAAGCAGAGGAGCCTCTGGGGTTGGATAAAAAGTGAAATGGTGACACGTGTTTCCTCCGCCTTCCTAGCTGCAGGGCGGTTGGCACTTAGTGTTTACAGAGAACGAGAGACACGGGGCTGCCCCCGTCCCATCCCGGGTGTGGCTCTCCTGGGTCTGGGGAGGGGAGCCCTCTGACAAAAGCGGCGGGTGAGGTCTGCTGGGGGGCCAGGTTCGCGCAGCACACCGGTGTCGGGACGCGACTTCTGTGCACACCAGCTCGGCCGGGGGCTTCGGGGTCAGGACACCCTGTGTGGCTTGTCTGAGTGACTGCGCCCGTCCGGTCTCCCCGTGGTTCACCCCGGGACGCCCTGTCTTTCTCAGGACATGAAAGACGACTACGTGTTTGAATGCGAAGCCGGCACTCAGAGGACGAAGCTGACCATTCTGCAGTCGCTCGGTGACCCCCTGTACTACGGTAAAATCCAGCCTTGCAAAGACGACGAGGACACGGACGGCCAGATGTCCCCTCCCCAGTGAGTTTGCTCACGTGCTGACTGGCAGAACCAGCTGTCACAGCTTATTCAGCAGCTGCTGACAAACCGAGTAACGCTGTCCCCTTGGGGAGTCGCTGGCTGCTCACAGACCTCCATTCCACTTGGCGGCAGGCCCAAGTGAACTTAAACAGCAGTTACCATGTTGGCCAAGAACTACTGTAAAAACAGCAGTTGTTTTAAACCTATGGCATAATCACTTGGCTACTGGCTGTGAGGGATATGCTGTGATTCCCCTCTCGGTGCCTTCACGTGCTGCACGCCTGCCTCTGTCTCTCGGCGTGTGGCGCGCTCCCTGGGACCTCGGCGTGGGTGCGGGAGGGGCGGGGGCAGTCGGCACGCTCGCTGGCTCTGGAAATACGCCCGGTTGGTTTTCCTAAACTTAGGAACTGCACATATTTAGTACAAGGTACCAGTGTTTAGTTTTGCTTTTATTAGTTTTGTCTTTTAATCAAGTTGATGATGTTTGGAGAAATAACAGAGGAGCTCAGAGGAGGAAGCGGGGCCGGGTCTGCATTAAAGCCTTTGTAAAGTCTTTTACCCAAGCGAAGCGCGACCGCCCGCAGCAGAGGCGGGCCTCAGAGCCCAGCGGGCGCCCGCGGCTCCCTGCTTCCCAGGGGCGGGGCCGCCGCTGCAGACTGCGTAGGAAGAGGAGACATGTTGGTTGCCTGTATTTTCAAAAATCTCCACTTTAAAATACACGTCAGTCATTTTAAATGAATTTATTAACTTTTCTTGAACACAAGGGAGTAACATATATTCTCAGTTTTAAAAATCAGTTCAAAAAGCCAAGTGATTAGATTTGTTTAACAAGAACAAGAGTTTCTCGCCTTTGCACCCGGGAGGCACTGCAAAACTGCCCCATGGCTCCTCGCCTCCGGTCGCTGTCTGTGGTCATAAGGTGCCTGAGTTCAGGGCTGCAAGGTTGTGAGCTGACTAACCAGGTGTTCTCTTCTTTTACATGTGCATTTCAGCTCCTCCACTGATGATCATTCAAACTGGTAATTAAAAAATAAACTCACTATTTTAATCTGTTAAGAAATTGCGCAAATGGCAAACTCTTTAAAGGCGCTGTAGAGGCGTTCTCGGCCGGGCAGGAAGCCGCCCTCCGTGTCCAGCAGAGGCTCCGCGGCCCTGCCATGCGGACTGCGGGCGCGCGGCCGGGGCCCAGGGAGGGCGGCTGGGCCGTGCAGGCGGATGCGGGTGCATGGCCGCTGTCAGCCCAGGTCTTGTTCCGATGCTCAAGTTTTGTGCCAAAACTAATCTCCCTTAAATCAGCTAAATTAGTCACAAAATTATTTTATTGCATGTAAAACTTTTCCATTATTTCACAAGCTTAAATGCATTTTTAATTTCTTTCATATCTTGGTAGATTTTAATTTATAAAAGTGTTGTCAATGAAATATGGAAGCTTTCAAAAGTAATACCAGGGCTCTTTAAGAGAACTCTTATCTAATACTTTCTTTTTTAAATGTTTTAGGTTCATTATTGGATCAAAGACTGATGCTGAGAGGTATTTTATTAACATCTGTATTTTTTTTCTGGGTGGATGTGAAGGACATCCCTTTGAAGGGTGAGAGAGCACTTCAGTAGGACTGGAAGTCTGATTTTAGTTATGCCATATGGAGTACTGGGATTTTTAAAAATAGGCTTAAGAAAGTAACAACTGAAAGAATAATGTTTACAATACAGCTTTATTTTAAGTAAAAACCCAGCGTATTTGTGGTAAATAAGGAAGAGAGCTTCGGGGCAGCACTTTAATCAGAATGTTAAGTGAAAGTTAGTGGTAATTATTTGACTGTTTATTGGTTAAATAATCCCTATAATTTCTGCATTCAAAATAAAATATTGAAATATAGCGTAAGATTGTTAATATTTTGAGCATTGGCTTATCATTGAGAAGATTAGACAAGCGCACTTTGAACAGAGCGGCGCATTGTTGAGCTTTACTTCCTGTGCTGATTGTGGCGACAGGTTTAACTGGCAGGCCCAGCCCATTTCCCGCGCGGTCCGCACGTGCGGAGTCGCCTGACTGTCGCCTGGGCCTCCGCTCTTTCAGGGTGGTCATTCAGTACCAGGAGCTGGTCCAGAGCGAAGCCAAGTGCCCAGTGAGGATGTCGCACAGCTCCAGCGGCTCGGCCGGCCGGAGCCAGCTGTCTCCGGGGAAGGAAGCGGAAGTGTGTTTGCTTACCTCTCTGTGCTGTTTTTTTAAATCATCTGAGGATATATTTATTGATTGGGGGAACGAGTGTGTGGAGAGAGAGAGAAACATCGATGTGAGCGAGAACCGTGGTTGGTTGCCTCCCATACCCCCCGACCTGGGACCGACCCTCGCGCCTTTGGTGCCGAGGGCGGCGCTCCAACCCACGGCGCCGCCCAGCCAGGCCGCACTGCTAGTGTTCCGTGCCCAGTGGTTTCTCATGGGGCCTGAGAGACGTTAAGGACTGTTTTCTGAGGGGTGCTTCTAACTTCACCTTCTTACTTAACTTTTTATCAAGGAAATTTTCAGACACGCAAAGGTAGAGTATGCCAGCAGCATACCGAGCACCTGTGTGTGAACCGGCTGTTGCTTTCCTGGGAGAGATTTAGGGACGCAGCCCTGACCCCGTCTTACTTGTCGCCCCTCGCTCAGGCGCCCCGCCCCCCCCGCCCAGGACCCCGAAGGCCCCCTCCACTGCCTGTGCCCGCGGTGCCTCCAGGGGCCTCCTCGCTGGAGACCCTGCTCTTCAGCACGCGTTTTAAATTCTTTCCCTCCGGGACGCGCAGGGGCATTAGTTTTCGCAACAGCGGTTCGACCTTGATCTTGAAGAGCGCGCTTCCTGTCACTGCCCGCAGCAGCCCGAGACCCTGTCTGTGCAGTCCTCCGTGCTGGGCAAGGGGGTGAGACACCGGCCGCCGCCCATCAAGCTGCCCTCGGGCTCGGGGGGCGCCGCCTCAGGTACCCACTGCGCGCTCCCCGTGACCGCGCCTTGTCTTTAGACTTGACTCATCTTTTGACTTGCACAGAATTCTGAATTACAGGAAATAATTTTACATTCTGCTAGGTAACTATTTCACGCCACAACAGGCCAGCAGCTTTCTTAAGTCTCCGACTCCCCCTCCTGCTCCCAAGCCACCGAGCCTCTCTCGGAAGTCGTCCGCGGACCCCAGTCATGCCAGCCTGCTCTCTCCGGCCGCCCTGTCGCCTGCCAGCTCCTCGCAAAGTGAGTTCTGACTTAGATGCGTCCAGGAGCTCTCGGCGAGCCTCCGCGTTGGCGTCTCTTGGACGGCTTTCTCAGCCAGGGAAGTAGTGAGGGCTGGTGTGCCGTGTGCCTGAAGCGCACACAGGCTGTGAGAGGCCTCGGGCAGATCTCTTGTTGAGTGTATGTACTATGTGTTTAATGTAGTTGTACTTGTTCTTCTGTATTTACGTATGCACTCTGTGGATACCTTTCTGAGAGACTCACAACTTACACATCTTTAAAAAAATATGGTAGTTAGAGATGGCCAAAAGATTCCAAAATAGTCTTCACTTCAGCGCACCCTAGGATTATTTGACGTTTTGTATCAGCTGTGCACCTAATATGAAAAGAATGTCGCAGGCGTTCTGGCTGCAGCCCTGTCTTGTATGTGTGAGAAGTCAGCTGTCGCTGAGGCAGTGACACAATAAACTGAGAGCCGGTTTTTCAGAAACCCTCCCACGCTCTCCTAAGTCACTGTCAGTTACCAAACGCGGTGACGATCCTAAAGCGTCGTTCTGGGGATGCCAAAATGTTATTTTTAGTACAGAATACTTTTTTTAACATGAAAGAGTTATACAAGAAATCTAGCATTAGTTTGGGAGAATATCTTCAAATTACTAAATACCTGAGATATTTTGGTGCCAATTTGCAAAAAAAGCCTTCCGGTTTTTTAGGTTTTTTGTAGCTAAGCACAGTGTGCGGAAATTGTGGTGCGCTGCACAGCGACAGGGCGGCCTCCGCATTGGATACGGACATGTCCGTCTTGATGGCTCAAAAGGTGTCATTTTTCTGCCTTCTTGTTTTGCACAAAGAAAAATTTATCAATTTTCTGGAAGTCTTATTCGCACTTCTTACGTTGTGGGTATGAATTGTGTTAGTCTACTGCACACAGTTGTTACTTTAAGCCAGGGTTGAGCGGCAGCTTTTGGACATTCACATTTCTTTCCTTTCTTTCTGCAGGACATGAAAGCTAAAAAAGAAAACACCTCAAGAGCTTTTGGTTTTACTCTTTTGGTTTTTGTTTTTGTTTTTGTTTTTGTTCTTTTTTAAAGTTGATAAACTGTGCATACTTCATTCACAACAGATTTTCTATACATTCTACATTTAAACAGAAGTACACAGTTACTGTTAAAGATGCAGTATTATCTATCAAATATCTGCTTTATTCCTGTGTTTTGTGAATTTGTTTGTCAGGATGAACTTGATGTGTTAGGAATTAAACAGTGTATTTAGGTGCCAAATACAATTGTTAACCACATGTACTTTATTAAGTATGTTCAGAGTTTATCTCAGACTGTTACCGAAAATAAGCAATACTTTTAAGTGAAGTCCTAACATAGTGAAATCGTAAATAACAACAATTAATTTGAATCCTTTTAAACTTTTTAGGCCAAAGGTAGCATATAGGAAAATAGCTTTCGCGTGGGTTCCGCGATAGACTGCAGGTGTGTATTTCGCTGCTCTCTGCCAGCCTCGCCGACGGCGCTTCTGGGTGATATACTGCATCCTTAATTGTAATTGGGTGTAGCGACACATGGGTCATGTGTAGAAGTCAACACTTGCAGTTAACTGCTTTTTAAAAAACTGGAACAAATTGTCAGTGCTAAGTAAGATTCCATTAACCTTATTTTGAGAAGGACTGGCCATTTATAACAAACTAGCAATTTTTATTTTTCTCAATGAGCAGGATCTGGAACTCCTAAGCCATCTACTCCTACACCAACCCCTCCATCGGCCCCACACCCTCCCGACGCCCAGAGCTCCACTCCCAGGGCCCCTTCAGCCTCCCCTCCTTCCCAAGGCTCAGGCTTCACCCCTCAGCCCACTCTGTTAACTCGGTTTGCTCAGCAGCAAAGGCCTCTGAGCCAGGCAATGCCTGTAACGACCGTTCCTCTTTCCACCATGGTGACATCCATCGCCCCAGGGACCAGCGCCCCCCAGGCCACGGCCGCCTCCGCGGGACTTAGCTTCATCGGCGTGGTGGGCTCCGTGTGGTAAGTGGCCGGAGGCGCCCTCGCCAGCCCGGCGCGTCCTTGCCTGCGGAGCGAGGGTGCGCTGCGCGTGCCCGGCCCCAGGAGGGACGCTGGGCGCGGAGAGCGGCGGACGGGGTTCCCTGCGCGCCTCCCGCTTCCTCCGTCCGGCCCCTGGGCCGGTGCTCCCCTCTCCCGGGCGGCGTTTTAACCCGGAGAACCGCGCGCGCTGCTCTGTAGCCAGGCTTGCCGTCGCTTCCCAGCGCAGACGCGGCAGGGGGCCTGGACGTTGGCCCTGCGGGGAGAGTTACCCGATTGTGCTTGCTCAGCAGGTGGCTCGTCTCCTCGGCCCTGGGCGGCATGCGCCCAGGCGCGGCCGCCGCGCCGGTGTGATGCTGTGTCTTCTCCCCGCAGCGGAGTCCAGGCTCTGAGGAGCGGCTCGAGCCCCGTGCTGGGCGGCACCGCCGGCGCCGTCGCCCCCGCCGGAATCAACCTGAGCGGCCTGCTCCCCTCGGGAGGCCTGCTGCCCGGCGCGCTGCCCGGGCCCGCGCAGGCCGCTCCGCACGCAGGTCAGAACACAGGACTCGCGGCCCACGCGGGCGGGAGAATGTCGCTTTACTGCTCCCATTGTTAAAGGCAGCTCCCTTCCTCATTTCGTGTGGTAGCACGTCAGAAGAGCTTTAAAAAATGGAAGGCTTTATGCTGAGAGCGTTTAAAGTTCCAATATCTGAATTGAAAACCACCCGGCAGTGCGCCCGGGAAGGACCGCGGCCAGCCTGGGAGTCCGCAGAGCCTGCCGTGGCCCCGCGCGGCAAGAGCGGGACGTGGCTGGCCTGCCTGTGGTCAGCGCCGTCTTGACCCGGTGCCGGGGGCGTTTGGAAGGCACACTTCGTGTGCGGGGGGCAGCGTGCTGCGGCGGGTTCGGCCCGTTCTGGACGGGCCATGGGGCCTGGGCCCCCGCTGTGTCCTGGGCGCGCGGTGCAGCCGCGGGGTCACCTTCGTGCGTCGCTGTCGTATCAGGGCAGTGGGCGGCGGCGGTGCCTCGCCGCCTCTGGCGCACTTTCGGGGAGGTCCACCAGCGACGTGCTCACGCTGCGCCCGATCTCGGCGACGCAGGGGTCGCTGCCCCGTCGGCGGTGGCGTCCTGGTGGCGTCCTGGTGGCGGGGGCAGTTGCGACGCGGACCGGGGGCCGCCACGGTCGCGTGCCGGGCTCAGCTCCCTGCAGGAGTGTGTGCGGTGCTGGCCCGGCACCATTTGGGTCCCCGCTGCTGAGGAAAAGCTTAATGAGAGAAACCTGATGTAGTAACAAAATAATCAAAAAAACTTTTACCCAAGACGGAGGTTTTTAATCTTTCTCGTTTCATGGCACACATAAACTACTGAAATTCTGTGGCACACCAAAAAAATACATTTTTGACTATCTGACAAAAATACAGCTATAATTTCAATTGATGTACAGAAGAAGAGTTGCCCTGGCCAGGCAGCTCTGCTGTTAGAGCCTCAGCCCTGCGCAGCAGGAGGGGCGGCCCGGCGGGGCCGCCAGTGAGGCACCGGGAGCGCAGCACCCGTCGGTGTGTGTCTCCTGCTTCCTTGCCTTCTCTAAAAACAATAAGTTAGTAATAGCTATTACTTAGCCCTTTTTCCTCCAGTTTTTCAAAAAGTGACTTTTTAAAAAATCTGGTGCCTATACCTGTACGCAGGGATTTCTGGTACCAAGAATTAACCTATGAGATGCAACCTTACTCTGCAACGTGACCAGTAAGATGCAGCTCTGGTACATGACCCACGTATTTGGGGGTCAGAACGGGCATTCCCACCAGACGCTGCTGGCGTGTCTTCCTTCGACCCTCCAAGGGAAGAGGGGAAGAGAGGCGAGCGCCCCAACAGGCAGGCAGTTGGAGCTGAAGGCATCGTGTCCGCCCCTCCCTGTGCTTCCCGGGACCTGTGGCTGCAGAGGCCTTCCCCCGGGGGCGGGGCCTGGAGGGAGCCAGCGGGTGCCCCATCTCCCCACTCCCACCCCACCCCACCCCACCCCACCCCCGCCCCAGCCGGCGAGAAGACAGCGCCCTCTGTGGGTGCGGAGAAGGGCGCCTCCGGGCAGCTCACAGCACAAGAGCCGTGCGCCTCTGATGCGGTCAGGCTGTTCTGGTCGTGCGGGGCCCTGGAAGGCAAGTCCGTGTTGTCGCATATGCACCTGATGGTGCCTCCCAAGTACTTTTCCGGCCTCGCACCTGTTTTAAAATACAGTGACTTGCTTAGAGGACTGGGCACGCTTTATTTCTTGTTCACAGTGGTATATATCATGTGTGTGCTTCGAGACTACCGGGGTCTGCAGGCTGAGCTAAGAATGAGCTTTTGTTGTTGAAGTTATTTTTCAAATTAAAGGAAAGCGAAGAGGCAGGGTGTGCAGCGCTGGCTGCAGAGGCTGCCCCGCTGCGCCGTGCGCCCCGCATTGTCCCAGGGTTGGCAGCGCTGCTTCCTGGCCCTCGCGGCGGCCCCATACGTGGGACTCGGTGCTCCCCGGCGTTGTCAACGTCGGCTCCCTAAAATGCTGCACGGAGCGCGTCGGCTCTGAGACGCGGTCGCTGTGGCTGTCCCCTGCTGTGCCGCGCATGCCATGCCCTGGCGGCCCCGCTACCGTTCCCGTGACCTCTGCACGCACCTGGACCACGTCTGCGGCGGCCGCCACACCATCGGCCTTGGTGTTGGTGGAGGCGGGAGGCGAGGGGCGGGGTCATTTTCTTTAAGGAAATTTTGAAGTATAGAAAATACAGCACATCTATGCAGAAAGTACTGAATGTGCTACATTTTATATACAAAAGCATAAATGTTTTCAGGTGTAATAAAGTTTTAATTCCATATTATAACCACGAGTTGTGTTTAACAGGTGTTCCATTTGGTTTAAAAAATACTTCAAGTCTCAGGCCCTTGAATCTACTCCAGGTAAACCTAAAACACTGCTCTCTGTTAATGTCTTTATACTTTGAAGTTTTTTCCCCACGATGCACACCTGTACCAATGGGCGCGGAGATTCCAAGGCTCGGCCCCCTCTGAGGGCCGATGGGCCCTGCTGCCGTCTGCAGGCAGAGGCGAGAGCGGGCCCCCGTGCAGCCTGGACCGCCACCGCAGACAGCAGGGAGGGACGAGGACAGAGCCACTCAGGGTCTTATCCTGTTTTGCTACATTTATTATCTAACTAGGGGAGAAAGAAACGTTTGACCCGCGGCATGTCGGAAGCCTGACCCAAGGACACCTGGCATTTTTTAATTCTGGATTTGGTGTTTACTTGAGCGTTCCCTTAAGGACTTCAAAGTGCTTATCACCTAAACTCCTAGAGAGTAAAACAGAAAAACCACTTGTTTCCTGATCCTGTGGAATGCCTAGTTTTCATTTTTAACATGGATTTTTCTGAATATCTCTTTAAAACGTTTTTTTTAAGTTTTAATCCATTTACATTCTGAAGGACAGAGCAAGTTATGTTCCAAACTAAACATGGGCACCTCATGTACTTGCTTCCCAGCTTCTCCCTGTGTGGTATAAGCACGCGTAAAGTTCTGGGCTTTGGCAAAGCCCGAGCAGAGTTCGGGAGATGAGTTTCCCCGCCGTGCGTCCAGTGCTCCCCAGCTCCCCTGTCTGTGCTCCCTCGCGCATTTAGTGCTGCTCCGTAGGGAGGCGTGAGGGGGCGGAGGCAGGGGCTGCGCCTGGACCTGTCGCTGGCGTGAGGCGGACTGATTGATGAGTGTTAACGTACCTGAGAGCCCTCAGCAATAACACTTACAAAAATTGTCTTTCAGTGGATCTTTTTTTCAGGGCAGGGGTCTTGTTTTCATTTTTGTTTACCTGTTTCCTCAATCCCGCAGGGGTGTCCAACCTGCGGCTGCGGCACGTGGCCCAGGATGGCTGTGAATGCAGCCCAACACGACATCGTACATTTACGTAGAACATGAGATTTTTTACTGATTCCAAGTTGCAGCGTATCTAACCTGTGGCCTAAAACAATTCTTCTTCCAGTGTGGCCAAGACGCCACCAGGTTGGACACCCCTGTGCGAGCAACGAATGCCTAGTGAATGTTGCAAAAGTATTTGTGGAATGAGGAAATTTAAATAATGTGAACTTGGCTAATTAACTGCTTCCTGTTTAAACTCTGAACAGCTTCCCGGGGGCTCTCTGATCTTCAACACCCTGCAGCAGCAGCAGCAGCAGCAGCAGCAGCCGCAGCTGCCGCAGCCGCCACCATTTCCCCCGCAGCAGCCGCAGCCGCCCGCAGCGCCCAGCCCGCAGCAGCCAGGGGAACAGGTCTGTGCTTTCCCAGCCTCCGCGTGTCCACCGCCGCTGCGGCGGCCCGTCTCGTCTGGGCCAGGCATTTCGAGGGGCCTGCACCCCGTGGGGTTCTCACACGCCGATTTCCTGCCCCGTCTTTCTTTATTAACAAGAGTAGCTGTCCGTTGCCCTAACCCTCACAACACCGCACTGGAGACGGAGCAGGCGTGTGACTTGCGCCCAACCCAGCCCAGGCCCTCCTGCCGGGGCCTGTGTTTCCTGCCCAGGCCTCACTCTTCTGCTCACAGCGTCCCATCTCTCAGAGGGAGGCGCCCCTGTTAGCGTGGGGTGGAGGGAAGAGAGACAGGCTCTCCTGTAATGCCGAGTGGGATGGAGTGAGGGTGGCAGGAAACTTAAGGGAGAAGAAGGAACCACCGGTTTTCCGAATCCCTGCCGTCCATCGGGGGGTGCCTCGGAGGCTGAAACAGCGGTCCCGGGGCCACGCCCCAGCGCCTCTCCCAGCTCCCAGTCAGCACCCAAATCCCGCCGCCCGCCCTGCCGCTCCAACACTCCCGTGCCACCCGGGGCCTTCTGCTTCCTGGAACTCCAATATGGTATTCCAAACTTTAAAACCATCCTGGCGAAGTTCTGCAGAGCAGCTGTAGGAATGATTAGTGGGGCCTCCAACAATACACCAGGACAGATTCAATTCTGAAAACCCGGGCTTTATTTTCTTCCTTTCACAATGCCATAAATTTGTTCCTGGTAATTCCAAATGCTTTGGAAATCTTTGTTACACTACTCTTTTTACAAGACTGAGTCTCATAGTGAGCTGCTTATTTCTCTTTACCAACACAAAGGTGGTTTTCTTTCTGTGCAAGTCACGTGTGGTTTCTCCACTCAGGGCTCCGAACAAGGCTCCGCAGGCCTGGAGCAGGCCCCGCCGGCCCCACCCGCTGCCGCCCTCAGCCTCGCCGGAGCGGGGGGCCTTCTGCAGCCACAGGCCGCTGGTTGGTATCCGCGCCCCTTCCTGGGTTGAGTTACTGAGTGTTAATCGAGGTGGGGCCTCGCCTTTTCAATCAGTTTTCCGTCTCTTGCCAGCATTAACTGGGAAAAAGTAGTTACGTTTAATGCATGTACTATTAAATCAGTTTGTTGCTAGCCCTCTGAGTTTTTTTCTTTGACAATCAAGAATGCTCTGACTTGTGTATATGAAGAGCAGTTATGTTTTGCTTCTGTTACAGTTTGTTGGCAAAATGCTGTCTGGCCGACTTACTGGGGAGCCACCAAAGTGCTTAACGCGTTTCTCTAGGTTGTTGAGCTTGCGTTTATAGGTTGCGTCATCTTTTGTCTCATTCTTGTTGCTTGTACTTGCATGAATTAACATTTAATGTCAGTAACATGAATTCTGTAAGCCACTTCTTTTGTTTGTAAAAAACGAGCTTATACTCAACGGCTTACCAGCTCCAGCAGCAAATGGCGAACTGAGGGGTGACCTTGAAGGAAGATTATCTCATCAGTTGAAGACAGTGATGGCGGAATCGGGGGTTGAGCGGGCGGGCATGTGGGCCTGTCGCACCCTCCCCGGGTTCCCCATGGCGCCCCACGCCACCACCCCCAGGGGCTGAACTGAGCGCGGTCGAAGTCCCCGAACGCACTCACAGCTGGCCGATCCTCGGGCGGGAACTTAGTAACGCGGCCCTCGCGACCCAGGGTGTCCGTTCCCCGAGGCGCAGCTTAGTGGAAAGAGCTCCAGGCTGAAAGGTCTAAGAACGGGCCCTGCTCCCGACCTGCCGCGAAGGGCTCCTGGCCCATGGCTGCGGCCACTGGACCCAGACCCTCCCCTCGGAGTAGCAGGAGGGCGGCACCGACCGCTGTGGCTCCTCGGCTCGGGAGGGTGGCACGCGTGTCCACGGCTGCCCGTGGTCCCATGCTCCTCGTGACATCTCCTGCCTGGGTGCACTTGCCCAGTCGCTGCGGTAGCTTGGCCTTCTCCCGCCCTTCCCCTCCTCCTTGGTCCACGTTTTAAAAGCACGCGTTGCTCCACACTCTGCCAGCAACAGAACGGTGCTGCTCTCGGACCCCTTGGGGGTGCAGGGAGAGAGGGGGCCCCGGGCTCAGGTGCGCCCCCTTCACGTCCGAGCCCCGCGTCACGGTGCCCCCAGGGACAGGAGCCCGAGCGCTGCGCTGCCTGGGGTTGGTGCCCGAGATGACTCACGCCGGTAACGCCTCTGCTGTTTCATTTTCTGTGTCGCCCTCTCCGCGCCCCGGGGCTGCACACGCCTGACGGGCCTGCTCTCCCCTCTCCTCTCTGTAGCGCTGTCTCAGCTTGGCTCTGCCGAGAACCGACCTGAGCAAAGCCTCCCCCAGCAGAGACTCCAGCTCTCCTCTGCCTTTCAGCAGCAGCAGCAGCAGCAGATCCAAGTAATCCAGCAACTTCGCTCTGATTGCTCTTACACACGCTGGCTCCAAAGCGCCTCAGAATGCCTTAGTTTCCTTTCACTGCCTTTTAGGCCTGTGTAGTAATAGGTGAATAACTTAGCACGTTCTACTTTAAAAGCCTGACGTTCTAGCCAGCCCATGCGGAGCACTGAGTGTGTTTTGTACATTTCAGCCCCACGTCTGTTCACTCAAAACCTTCCTGTCAGTGCCGATGGCACATTAACATCCGCTTCCGTAGTCTGCAGTCGATTCTGAAATAAGCAGTTGCCAGTGGTTAACTCACACAGCAGACAAGGCAAGGACGCCAGCGTCCCCACTAGTCAGCGCCATGCCTGTTTGGGAAAGACGGCATTCTGTTCCTGGGGGAGTCCGCGTGCCACGGCTGGCCGTCTTCGCGTGCAGGGTGGCTTCGTATCGCTCTGTCACGCGGGACGTGGTCACTGAAGCTGCTGAGTTACTGCAGTGCAGGCGGGCAGGGCAGAGCGCTCGCCGGACGCGCCGCGGCCCAGAGCCGCTGGGAAGCCCTCGGCAGGCCTCCGGGCCCCGGGCTGTCCGGCCGCGCTGCCTGGCGTGGTGCGGCCCCTCCTGGTTTTCTCGGTGCTTCCTCCTTCAGTGTTGTCTTCACCATGTGCAGGAAAAGCCCCTTGTACCCCTGCCTCACGTAACGTCGTGTCTCCCCCCCCTTTGCAGCAGTTGCGATTCTTGCAGCGTCAAATGGCTATGGCGGCGGCGGCGGCACCAACGGCCCAGCGGCACCGGCACAGGCACCGGCACCCCGGCAGCCAGTCCGAAAGTAAAATGAAGAGAAGCGCGCCCACCACTCCCAAGTTCTGAGTCTGGCGTCATTTTTCCTTTTTTAAAAACAAAAGAGCAGTGACTCAAAAGGATTCTCCAAGTTTCTACTTCATTTCTGTCTTTTAAAACGTATCAGTATTTGACATTGCTAGACATACAAACTTTATACAGAAGCACAGCCCTACGACTTTTTAAATAAAAACTGGAAAATGCTTTAACTATTAGGGTTGGTTTGCTTAAGTCATTGTTTTTTCAGAATGGGTTCACTGTACAGAACATGGAAGTGGCCTAACAAATATTAAAAACATTTTCAGGAGAGTAGTTTGATATTTATTCAGTATAAAAAGGCTTGTGTGCAGTGTGAAACAAATACAGTTTTTTACAAATCTGTTTTGGGAATGCGGTGGTTTATTTGGGCTTCACGCTCTTCATGACTTCGTCCATCAGCTTCTTTACCTCCTTGTGTCTGGTGACTGCTCGGCTCATGCAGTCCTGGAGTTTGGCTCCGGTCAGCCCACTGCCCCCTGCAAAGGTAACGGCCAACGTCAAGTTAGACGAGAGCTGCGCAGCGGGAACCTGGGCGATGGTCTCAAGCTTCGTGAGCTACGCTCTACCAGGACCTCCCTCCCAGTGATTCTAGCACGTGCCACCGGTGTAAGGGCGCAGGCTGTCATCCTGGGCTCGCTGCACCGGGCCGACCGGAAGACACCCCGCAGGCTACTGCCCCCACCCCCACCGGGTTCCCCCCAAGGCTGCGTCTCCGCACGCAGGACCCAACCGAAGGGCCGTGCCTGGCTTGTGTAGACAGCAGAGCCTGCCCGCCTCGTCCGTGACGACTGTCAGGGCCCCGGTCGCCAGGCGCTCCTCCTCGCCGGTGGGGTCCACCACGAGCAGCGTGCTGGGTGAGAGGGGGTGGTCAGGGCCCGCGGAGCGCTTCCGCCGGCACAGCGCCCCGCGCCCGGCTCCACGCCGTCAACTTACTCATCAAACACCGCGAAGGAGGTGGCGACTGGATGGGTTCTGATGGTCAAATACCTCTTTTTCCTTAAGTTAACTTCTGCTAAGGCAGTTTCCTCATTTATGGTAACTTCAGGCAACTGTACTAGAAAAAGGCAAACAGTTAAGTCAGTCTTTCACTCTAGTGCAGCAAATGCGCCCTAAGTGCCTTTGCCCTGTTGAGCTTGTCTAGAAGTGCCCTGTAAAAAATTTTTTTAGACCATGAAAATAAATGTAACATACATATAAACACTAGTTTGGAAACACCGAAATGAATGATAAGCTAAATCACAACAAGACCCTGACGTGGACGGGCCTAACAAAGCAGCGGCCCGACAGCCACGCAGGAACTGCCTCCCCTCTGTCCGGGCTGCTCACCATTGTTCAGCGCCGCTAACAAAGCGAACGTACAGGCGTCCAAAACGTTCCCGTCGTAGTCGAGGCAGATGAGGTCGCAGTAGAGGACCCAGGCGAGCTGGAGGGCACAGGAGGCGGCGGAGGCTCAGGACTGCGCAGGCCAGCCGCCTGCTGCCTTCGCACAGCGAACCCGCAGAGCCGGCCCGCTCGGCGTGAGCCGGCTCCTGGCCGCCAGGCTGCCAAGCCACGGCCCCCATTCCTATCGCCAGGTGCGCAGGTGAGGGGTAGGCTCTCCAAAGCCCCCACGAACGCCCAGGCGCGCTTCCCGAAGACACGGGCATCCCTGGCGCCCAGGTGCTGCCCCCCAGGGAGCAGGCGTGGCCGCACAGGGTGGCCCCCAGGCTTGGAATCCACCGTGTGGATTCACCCTCAACGCCTAGGCCCGTCAGACGCCGGGCACATGCTACAAGAGTTAGAAATGAGTATTATTTGCTGCTGTAAAAGTTGAGAAAAAAATGACCTCATCTTAAGGTAGCACCAAGCCAGGCGGTAACTTAGTCAAAATCAGCCATGTTGTGTGAACAAACGACCGAGCGCGCCAGACTGGTGTCCCCGCAGCGGTGCGAGGCCCGCCTCCCCTCAGGGGACCCCCACAGTGTGCGAAGGCCTGCGGCCCCCTCCCGCACTCACCTTTCCCGGAGCGATGCACAGGTCCTCTCTCCGCACCGCCTGGGAGCTGGGGACGAGGACAAGGCGGTTAGCGAGGGCCGGGCACCCTGGACGCCAGCAGCGCGCGTCGGGCCCGGGGCTTACTTTTCCACGACGTCCGCGATGAACTGGCTGGCTGCCTGGGCCTCTTCCCCGGGCGGCCCCGGCCGGAACCTCGAGGAGCACAGAGGCGGCAGGTCCACGTTGGGGACTGGAAGACACACGGCGGCTCAGGGAGGCCGCCGGCCCCGCGCGCCCTGCCCGCCCCTGCGACGCATCAGTGCCGTCCTGCGTGGTCTGCACTCCGACTTTTCACCGCACAAATAAAACCCAAAAAAGCACGTACTGAGGACTTAGGGCCTCCCCAATTTTCCTGACTTCCTTCAAAATGCCCCCATCTGCGGCAGCGGGGGCGCGGGGGCCGCGGACCCGACTGCCCTGCATTTTAAAATGCGGCTCCTGCGGCGCGGACGAGGAGTCTCTAGGGAAGCAAAGTCTGCCACTGCGCCCGCCACCCGGGGGCTCTGCCCTCGGCTGATGGCACCTGAGCGCGTGAACAAAGACGGACCAAACGAGTTCAAGAAACACAAGTTCCCCACTTTGCGACCAAGCTGCCTCCTGACACCGGAAACGTCAGGACCACCGCCTGCGCGTTTCTGATCGCGATGCCGCACCCTCCCCAGCTGCGAGGCCCCAGCCCGGAGCCCGCGGCGCGGCCGCCCAACTCACCCACGTAGCCCTTGTCGGGGGCGTCGGGAGGCGGCACGGCGAGCTCCTGCGAAGAAACACAGGCCCTGAGCAGGGGCCGGGGGACGCCTGCCAGGCGGGACCGGGGCTCTGGGCAGGGCCACCAGCCGTGTCCGCCATCTCGGCAGCCCAGGCTCTGAATTTCAGCGCCAGTGGCAACCCGCCGCCCGACCCCCAACCCTGCACCCCGGATTTAGGAGTCAGTGGTTCACAACGTGGGAGCGAAGCGCAGGCTCCGGAGCCATCCGGCACCGAGGCAAGGCCCTCGCTTCCGGCCAGAGACTCTGGGCCAGTCGCCTGGCATCTCGCCAGCCAGCTGTCCCGGGACGTTCACGAGGCCTCTGCTAAGGGACTGTCACCCATGGCCAAGCGCGGTAAGGCCATGATGCCCCAATGCACAGCTAGACCGTGTGCACGCACGTCTCGCCGTGAGGCATCGACGGCGTCACGCCGGGGACGCGGCCGAGTCCGAGGCCAGGGCTCCGGGGCCAGACACGCTTCAGGAATCACTGAGCCTCGTGGGCCGCGGGGGCCACAGACGTCAGACTGAGGGTGACTGTTCTGAGGACTGAAGCCACCGACTCCGTGCAGCGCCTAAAACGGGGTGCCTGGGACGCGGCAGGCGCGGGGTGCATGGTGGCTGCCACTCCCTCAAGGCTGAATTCCGAATGGCCCCCACTGTCTACACATCTGTACAGGCGCACAGATTAAATGCCATCGCTGGGTAAAAGGATGTCACCAAATATCGCTCTTAATTTCTCCCAATTTCTTAAGAAATTTAAGATGGTGACAATTTGAAAAATTATTTGACTTCCCTACACTTGACAAATTGTTCACAAATTATAATCGAGTCATTCAACTTGGGTCCTATTATCTAATTCTCAAAGATGAAGGCTCTCGGCGGGGGTGTCCAACCTCCGGCGTCTCTGGGCCACACAGGACACACACACAGGCTAAAGAAAACTGATGAGCAAAAAACAAAAGGTTTTAAGCACATTGACACTTTTGTGTTGGGCCGCACGGACCGTTGGACGTCTCAGCAGGGAAACGGAAAATCCTGACAGCTGACGCCTGTTTGCCCGACTGACCGCAGTGCCGCTGGCAGACGTGACAGCCTAGCAGACACAGGAGGCTACTCTGGCCACTCACAGCCCCACAGGACACACATCAGACCCACCGCTTTAACCCCGCAGATCACGGCCGTGTTCCCCAGCTTCACGAGCGCAGAGCCGTCCGCCGTGCCGATTGAGCCTGGAAAGAGAAGCAAGCAGAACAGGACGGTCCGCAAGGGGTGTCGCGTTCCGCCGGGTTTCGTCTCCCTCCATTAAGTCAGCTGCTTACGAAAAGTCATTACTGGCTCAGGCCTTTGTAAAGTAGCGTAGTATTTGAAACTGCTGTTTTAACCATCGCCCGCCTGCCCTTGAATGGGAATCAATCATTTTTTCATTCAGTCATAGCACTGCACAGATAAACATCTCGACACAGAATTACTGGAATCCCTTCAACGGGGCAGAATGTGGCCAAACCACCGTGTGAGTGGCTCAGAGGACGGAACCTGGGGATGCCGTGCGGGCGAAACTGGAAACCCACGTGAGCAACGGACGGTGCAGTGGGCAGGAAGCCTAAGAAACCCATGTCTTAGAGGCTCAGAAGGAACGCGGGGCAACGGCAGTAACTTTAAAATTCTACACGAAGAGCAAATCAATGGAGAGAATAGTGAGTTTTCTAAAATTTCATAAACAGAAGTTCTGTACTAGTATTCGGAAAGCAAGAAAACTTGTGTTTTCGAAACGGAAGCCAGGTCCGTGCTCCCACCGAGACCTGAGAGCAGCCTCACCTACGTTGACGGTCGTGGCTCTGAACTCGCCCAGTTCTCTCCCGTCCGGACGGCAGTTCTCCTTCTACAGAAACACGCACGAAAGGAGGTTACCCACACGGACACTGCGCACAGAACCAGGGAAAGCACGCCAAAGCCGTCATTTGAAATTACTTAAATTTTAAAGGTATAATTGACATAACATTAGTTTCAGGTGTGCAATGTAACATTCACTATTTGAATATGTGAAAACTGTCTTTATGAGCACAATATTGTTATCAAAAGGCATGACATCTACGAAACCACCTTTACTCACCAAAAACCTCCTGTAATACTCCAGAGGCTCCACAGTTCTGAAAGGTGTTAAAAAAATACATCTGCGGTGAGTTAATGACTCTTCGCATAAACCCAGAAACTGGCATCCGTGAACTTCCATAAACTTCCACGACATGTAAGGAATGACACATGTAACTAATGCTAAAAAGCGGGTCCGACTACAGTCGAGAGGAGAGGCAGATACGAGCCCTCGCAGCGCTGCCTCCCACGAGCCCAGGGCGGAGCCCAAAGCCCGGGCGCGTCTCTAACGGGACGAACGCGGGCGGCCGACCTGCTCGCTCCGAAGCCCGGACTGTTACCTTAGAAGCAGGGGAAAAAAGCTCCACCTGCATTTTTACTACCGTGGAACTGAGAGTCAACATGTTCTTCAGTTACGGCTCCGGGCAATAAACCACGATCACAGCAGCGGTGCCTGCGACTCGCACAACCACACCTGACCTAACAGTCGTCGCAGAGAAGTGCGCTACGCGTCCCTCTTCAGTTCCACGGGTTACTAGACTTCCCGCTAAATCTTGCTGTTTAGAAAGTGAACTTCAGAGCCGCTGCAGGTACAACACTCTATCATCCCCTCGGGAGCCTATGCAAATAGATAACTGTTCTGATCTAACTGGTTTCCTCTGGAATCCTGCTTATCCTCCTCAAGACTTCACCCCGAGAACGAAAACCTTCATGCTTCACCACACACACACACACACACACACCCGCCCCCCATGTAAAAATCTTCCGAACAAGGCACAGTCCCTTCAGAAACAAATTATGGCAAACGGACAATGGAATGGCACCGGGTTTTGACCTAACACTTTCTCAAAACATACAGCCGAGTCTGCTGGGGCTGCGCGCCCTCCACACGCCGAGCCAGAGCGCTCGCGGCGGGCGCTCGACTCTTCGGCCAGCGCTTCTAGCCTCCCGCCTCCCGGCGGGAAGAATCCCCCTTCTGTTCCCTACGACCGCCTCCAGGTCCGCCCGCCCGTCGCCTGCTTCTGCGGGGGGGTGGGAGCCCGGTGAGGTGGCCTCCCCGTGAGAAAACCCCAGCTAAGGGTTACATGAAGCCTCCACCCGCCAGGATACAAACTCGCACCCGCCAACCTCCAGCACTCACTTGAACCCGGCCGCCATCTTCCCGCCTGAGCCTGCGCCGGGGCAACACTGCGCCTGCGCTTGCACTTGCGCCTGCGCCGGGGGCCACACCACGGCTGCGAGCCAGGCCCCGCACTTTCGACGGAGACGCCAGCGCTCTCCTCGCGCTGTTGGACGCGCATAAGGCCCGGACACAGCGACGCTGGGTCCCGGCACGCCTTCGTTTCCACGGTCCCTAACCAGAAGCCCCTCTAGCTTTTCTTGCTTTCCACGCGTTTTGACGAATCTGCTGATAAGTGATGAGCGCCTTTCTTAGGAACAGTCTGGTGGTCATGCAAGCGTTTAAGAGAAAACCGAATTTATAGCAAATTATCCAGTATTAGTGTGACGCATTACAGCAAAGTGTCTGCGTCCTCTTCCCGCCTGTGCTTTAGGCTAGGCTCGAGTTTTCCCTCTCCCAGGTACCGCGCTCCCGGCTCCCGGAGATGATTTAAACGCCCTGGGAGCTCCGGATCGGCCCCAGGTTCCACGCTGCAGGGGCCGGGCGGGCTCCCTGGGAGCCGCTGCTGTTCTCAAGGCTTCCACCTGCCTCTGGATAGGGTTGCCAGATAAAATAGAGGCTAGCCAAGCACATTCGAATGCAGATAAACAAAGAGTTCTTTTTTCCCCTTAGGACGTTCTCAGGACTGTATTTTAGTAGTTGTCACCAGGGACTAGGGGAGCGGGGAGAGTTTTAGAAATAATGTTAGCTGCAGAGAGTCGTGAATGTAATTAAGACCACTGTATTGTACACTTAAAATGGTAAGAATATCGAAAACATTATCACAGTTTTTTAAAATTATGTTACATACCAAACTTTTAAATGGGTGGGTTGTATGGTATGTGAATTATATTCTAATAAGACTGTTAAGAAAAAAACTGTTGCTTATCTGATGTTCAAATTAAGTGGACGTCCCGTATTTTGACTCTTAGGGGGCACCGGGCTTTGGCACGTAGCGTGAGGCACACAATCCTGCGTGTTCCCCGCCTGGCCGCGCGAGGGCGCTGTAGCCGGCGGGCGCCCGACGGCGCGGCCTCTCTGCCGGGGGGGCGGGGCCGCGCGGCGCCCACTGCGGTTGCGCGGCGGCTTCCGCTTGCGTGCAGGTGCCGGATAGGGTGGCCGTGGCGGGCCAGCCGGGCGTGGGCGATGGCTGCACTCTCGCTGCAGCTGGCGGTGCTCTTCGCGGCGCTGGGAGCGGCGCTGGTGACCGCGGCCCTGATACTGGTGAGAGGCGCGGTGGGGACCGACGCGGGCGCGGGCTCGCCGCTGTCCCGGAGGCCCGGCCCGGGCGTGGTCTGCTCCGCGCCACCAGGTTTGGGGTCCCGTTTCCCGGGATGTCCCCGGAGCCTGGACCCCAGATGCCTCTCCTGGGTTACACGTCCCCTTCCTTGTTTATTTCTACTTGGGAGCGCTAGCTCCGCACGTCCCCAGCGCTGGTACCTCGGTTCGCTTTGAGATGTGCGCACCCCTTGCCCACTCGCCCGAGGGTCCGTGGACCCTGTGCACACACCGACCTCCCGGGTCTGCAGCCTGGGCAGCGCCGTCCCGCCCCCGGGAGGTCTTGAGTGCCCTGCAGACTCTCCTCTCCTCATGTGGGTCGGCACACAGAGCAGGGACAGCACCCTCAGGAGCCACCTCTTACAAAGCGGATCCCGTCGGGGCCTCGCGAAGACCCTCTGGGACGCGCGAGGCCTGACGTCAGCATCTGTCTGGGGGTCGCAGTGTCCCGGAATTGAACAGCCTGGAAACGGGCAAGGCGGTAGCATTCACACTCGCGATGTCTGGCCGTCCTTGTACAAACACGGGCCGATTCGTGAGTGAACTTTCTCCCAGTAGGTGTGGGACGAGCCTGCGTTCTGGGTCGTAGATGCAGAGGTTTCCGCTTCCTTGACATTAATATAAGCAGCCAGGAATCCATACAGAAAGGTTACAGTTTAGATGGAGAAGCAGCGCTGCGTCCTGGTTCCTTCGGTGATTTGGTGATTTGTCTCTCCCTTGGTGCTATAGGGAGATTTCGGGGTTTTGAACAAGTCCCGGTTGGCACGGGGCAGGGCTGTGTTGAATCTGTTGCAGACTCACACATACACGAGGCGTTTGTACGGGACGTGTTCGCTGCTCCGTTACTGTATGTTGGGTGTTGCGTTCAGTGTGTAACAGATTGTCCAGCCTGATCTTTGAAGCAACACTGACAGGTGTTATCAGTAGCTTTGTTTGACTCGTGAGGAAACTGAGGCTGGAGAGCAGAGCTCAAATACACAAGTGTCACAGAGCTCGTGGAACTCTGTTTTTTTTTTAAATGCCAGAGCAGGTAATCATTGCAAAAAAAAGAGAGAGAGAGAGAGAGAGAGAGGGAGAGAGAGAGAGAGAGAGAGAGAGATCACACCACCCCACTTCCGTTTGGGCCATTTTGACGCAAATTCAAGATACAGTTTTGTATCTGTGAAGTCTCGGCATTTCTCTCTAAAGATAGGACCCCTTTTAAAATGCGGCAGCAATGGGATCATCACAGACGTAAGCTAACCATTATTTAGTGGTCTTTAAATGCCTATCAGGTCCAGCGCCTGCGCAGGTCTTGGTGGAGCCAATTCTTTCCAGATCGCGTTCCCACACACTGAGCACATCATTCTCGTGTCTCAGCCTCGTAACCTATAGCAATTTCTCTTCCCTTTTCCCCTTCTCTTTGATACATGGCCATTTGTCCTGCAGGATTCCTCGTAGTCTGCATTTTTCTGGTGGCACCTCCACAGTGCCTATTAACATCATACCCTGTCTCCCGAATTTCCTGTAAACTAGTCGTCACCTCTAGAGACTTGATGAGATGAGCGTTTTAATGACCACCCGCGCGGTGCTGAACACCTCCTCTTCCATCGCATCAGGAGGCGCGCAAGGGCAGGTTTCTCTGGCAGGGAGGCGCACCCGCGGGCTCGGGGGCTGTTGGTTGGACCCCCCAGTTGGGAAGTTTGTCGTTAACCCGATGGTGTTAGCCATTGTTGATCACGACCCACATCCGTTACTTCTAATGATGTCGTTCCTTCTCCACGTATTACCTCGAAATGTGTAATGAAAGAGAATTTAATCCTCAGCTTCCAATTAACCGGAAATACCTTTCATGTGTAAAAGGTAAGATAAAAAAACACGTTTTCAAAATAGTGAAAGAGTTCCCTGGCGTCTTACAAGGGTGCTGGATGATGTTTTTACTTGTGGTATCATTGCGATTCCGTGAGTTAGAATGCCTTTCACTGCAGCAATTTGGAGCCAAACCCGCCCATCCCCAGCTAGTGAGGGCCCCTCCTCCTCACGGCTGCGCCCTGCCCCGGAGCCAGCCTTCCCCCACTGGTAGGAGCGCCGGGGCGGAGGGGACACCAGGGTGCCCCGCGGGAACTGGGACTGACCGGTCTTGGCTGCTGCCCACACTCACTCCAGCCGGTGCCCGCGGGAACCTGACGGTGGGCACACAGCGTGTGGCCACGCCCCCCCTCCCCCGCGCTCAGGCATCTCGCCCGATCTCGGAGGCCAGGTGGGGTCAGGCCCGGTTTGCGCTTGGATGGGAGACCAATGGTTGGCAAATTGGCAAAGAGTAACGTCCCGAAAATACGGAGGTTGATTTTTTCGAAAGCAGATGTGCTAATAGGAACAGCATTATAAAGAATAGTTCCTGGCAAAGCCAGCTCCCAGCTGCACAGGGAAGGGAGCTATGTGTTACTGGTACCTACCAGTATTTCACACAGAGCGCACACGCTTCGGACGTTACTCCAGAAAACCCTGCATTCTGAGTGCAAGTCTCGGGTAAGCGCCACGGACCCTCAGGCACCCCCGGGCCCCCTGTGGGGACTGGCAGGCTGCCCTCTGGGCCCGGGTGGGAGGTGTGTCCTCAGCCCAGAGTTCCAGCTACTGCGCGAACTTGTCCCCTGCAGTGTCAGGCTCCAAGTAGGGACGTATGGGGCCCCACTGTGTGCGTCTGCCTGGGGTCGGGGGCTGCGCATCTAGGAGTGACTGCACGTCTGCGATTTGTTCCCCGTTAGATCTGGGGTGACAGAGGACAAGAGACCAAGCGGCATTAGAACCTTATGGGTAGAGGGACAGTTGTCATTCTTAGGACTGGTTTGGGGTTTGGAGTCACCTCCAGGCCACTGTTAATGGACTAAAAACTGAGAATAAATACTCCACCAAAGGGGGAAAATCCCGTAAATGGCTCAGCATTTGACTCCCCCGATCTCTCACACGCACCTGCCTTTAGGTTTCCTTTGTCGCATTTATCACTGCGAAGGAAATGCCTCCCCTTCACCGGCACGAAGAAGAGAAGTTCTTCCTCAGCACCAGCGGACAGAGGGAGGCGCTGCCCAGCTTCGGGGACCCACCCACCAAGCGGCTCTCGGTCGTGGTGCCTTCCTACAATGAGGAGAAGCGGCGTAAGCCCCGGGCGGGCCACTGGGCGAGCTGGGCGGGGCAGGACTCGTATGGGGCTGGGTGCCGCGCCCGCCCAGTGCCCTGCTGCGCAGCTGCCGTCAGGAGAGGCGGGTGAATGGAGACCGTGGGCCGTGAGCAGCCCGAAGGCCATGGGACCCCAGAGTCCTCTAGGGGAGGGAGCCAGGTGTGGCCAGAGGACAGGTGTCCAGGTGGGGGCCACTGCGGGAACATCCCGGGGCCCTCCTTGGTAGGCAGGCCCTTCTTCCCCGCGGGTACAGAGTGTGAGAGCTGGATAGTTCTCTTTCAAGAACAGGTTTTAATGCACCTTTTCTGTTTTTCTTTAAGTGCCTGTAATGATGGATGAAGCGCTGGGCTATCTAGAAGAGAGACAGGTACTAGGTTTTCTCTTTCAATCTGATGTCTCCACTTAAAGCCAGACCAGGTCCCCCGCTGGGGGCCGCCCCGTGCTCGCAGGTGGCCGGGCCCCGAGGCAGGAGGCACCCGGGCAGCCTGCAGGGCGAGCCCCCTCCCACCCGCTGTGCCCGCCCTGGCGGGCGTCCGCAGACCTCGGGACTGTGAGGAAGGCGGCCGTCTGAAAGGCTCGCAACGGGGGTGAAAGTAATTCCACTCTCAGGGCTTTGTATTTCTTTATTATTCTGGGTGTGCACCCCCCCCCCCCGTTTATTTCCCACGTCTCTCCCTGCTGAAGAGAAGGAAGGCCGCAGTGCCCCTCGGGCTCCTTGAAGGGCCGAAGAAAACTCGGGAGCCTGTGGCCTGTTCTTTTTAAAGAGAATTCCGCGTTTCGATTTACTTTGGCTTTTAGGGGTTTTTTGTGTGGAGGGAAGATAGAAGATTCACCCAAAGGGAGGAACCTGTATTGTCTCTTCAAAATCCCATTTAAAGAAAAGAGGAAGAGCACTGAACCCTTATCGCAGGCGAGGCGTCTCTCTTCTGTTACACGGACTCTCCACACCAGCCCCGCAGACGAGCGCTTCTGCTCTTAGTGAGGAGCCAGGCCGCAGATGCTAACTTGCCCAAGGTCCTAAGGCTCCGAAGGGGCGCGTCCAGACGTGACCCTGCGCTCTCTGACTTCGAACCCCAGGGGCCGATTTCTTAGGCGCCGGGAGCACCTGGGGCCCGGGCGGGGTGCTCAGCGTCGGTCCGAGTCCGCCCTCCCCTCCGACCCGGGCTCCGCTTCCTCCCTTCTGGACTTTTCATTTCACATAGTTTGTGCTTATCAGCACCAGACAGTTTTGTTGGAAATCTTCATGGCGGTTATGCCAAATCGTGACCTTTTACTTTTGCTTCTCACAGAAACAAGACCCCACCTTCACGTACGAGGTGATCGTAGTTGACGATGGCAGCAAAGACCAGACGTCGAAGGTGAGTAAACCTGCTTTTGGAATTGCCAGTAGATAAGGAAACAGGATAATTTGGCAAATGCAAGATCTTAGTTGCGCTCATCAGAGACCCCGAGAGCCTTGCTAAGCGCTCAGCATTGCTGTTGCGCGGGTCGCGGAAGGGGCGGGGCGATGTTACCAGGGCGAGGCTGGGAAGCAGCCGCGCTGGTCCGCGCGAGGGGGCTGCGACGTGCGCGCCCCCGGAGGACGTGCGCGCCCCCGGAGGACGTGCGCGCCCCGGGAGGACGTGCGCGCGCGGCAGCGCTGGCCCCGGGAGGCCTCTCTGCCCTCGGCGTGTGGCCCGGCCCCCCACGCCCCGCGCCGGCGAGTCCGCAGTGGCGGGCGAGTGGGGCGGCGCCTTCAGGCCGGCGCTGAGCGTCGGGGGTCCTTCGACGCAGCTCCTTCGGGGCGAGCATCGGGCGTCCCGGGGACTTCGAGTGCTGTCCCCGCTGATGGCTTCCTCCGAGGGGTGCGCTGATTCGGGCGGTAGCACGTGTACTGAATCTCGCCGGTGACTGTGGGCAACGCTTCGCATTTTCTTGACAGTCTTATTTCTGTCAGAAAAGATTCTTTTACGGTGCTGTTAACATTCTTATTAAATAGCAGCGTAACGGACCTTATGGTAAGTGCGCAGGGCAGCACGTGTCCGCTCGCGGGTGCGCCGGTGGTGGGTTTGTTAAATACCAGCTGGGACGGCGGGCGCCCCGCCTCCATGCCCCGCGGCGCGGGGCGGGCGGGGGGGGGGGCGCCCGCAAACGGTGCTGCAGAGTCTGTGGGAAGGAGCGACTGCTGAACGGAAATCCGGTCGGGATTTACCTCCAGCAGCGCGGGGGACAGAGCGCGCAGACTGAAGAGACGGCGTGAGCCGAGGCCGGAGTGTGCGCGTCGGGGGAGACTGGATGCGCGTGCGCAGTGGGCGCGACATGGAACGTGCGCACACAGGCCCTTCCAGCAGTTTACTAATGGGGTGGGGGGCAGAAAGTAGCGGTGCTTGCCCGTCGCTGGGGTCACCCACACGCCCCCCGGAGCGCCGCGGCCGCCCGATGCCTGGGGGCCGCGGCGTCGAGGCCGCCTGGAGCGGCCCCTTCGTGTTACCATCCTGTGGTCCAGGTTCATTTTTTCCTCCCTTTATACCTTTGCACAGGTAGCCTTAGGATACTGCCGGAAATACGGAAGCGACAAGGTGCGAGTGATCACGCTGGCCAAGAACCGGGGGAAAGGCGGCGCCGTGAAAATGGTAACGCGGGGTCTGCGCGCGGTTGTCCGCGATTAGGGGCGGGGCTGGGCCGTCCCTCTTGCAGGTGGCAGTGCGTGTGACTTCTGCGGCTCGCTGGGCAAACACCAGAATGTTTCAACTTAGTGGGGAATTATTTGTAACAGTAACCTTACACGTACATGTGTATTTGGTCAAACCTGAGCATGCCCTGTCTGTAACACTCTGGGTCGTTCGGAGACATGGGTTTATCTTAAAAGTTTCAAGTGCCCACCGTCCCTCTCGCTGTCTTTGGCAGGGTCACTGGATGAGATGATATGATTTTTTTTTAATGTACAAACTGCCTTTGTGCATTAAACACGACCTGTTCGAAGGCCCCGTGCTTAAGCGTGGGGCGTGAACTAAGACCGGCCGGCCGTGGGTCCCCCGCCTCACAGAGAGGGCGGTCGTGCCGGCCGAGGCGCGTGAGCGCGGCCAGGCTAGGGGCCTCCTGAAAGCAGCGGCCCCTCCCCCCGGGGGCCGCGGGTGGGACTCGGGACAGGCCAGCGAGGACACCAAGCCGGGGAAGTGAAAGAAAATTCAAGTAGTAATGGTAACGCCCTAACGGACTCGGCGTTACTTACCCCTTTAGTGCCCCTTCCTTTCCCTGAAAGAAGCCTGGGCACAGGCCAGGGCTCGTTCAGCAGCGGCGCCCTCTCACGCCGGGTCTCCCCGCGCAAAGCTGACCCCGGGGCCTGGCCACTGCACTGTGTCCCGGACGCACCGTGGAAGGACGCGGCAAGGGCGCGTGCCAGCCGTCTGTCCCCCTCTTCCCAGGCCTCCCCAGGCCCGACCTAAACTTCACGGGCAGAGACAGTGTCACGGGGCCACCTCTGCTTGCAAGAAAGGCTGGGAACACTTTTCCGACGCGCCCGTTCGTCGGCGTCGGGCCCCTCGGGGACGGAGGAGGCAGGCGCAGGCCCGGCGTTCACCGCTCGTCGTCCTGCTGAGTGGGCAGATCGGCCGCTGTGACAGAATGGTCACGGGTAACCCTCCGGGGTCGTCCTGCGGGGCAGGTCCTATCATTCTGATTATGCAGATGAGGGATTTGAGGCCCAGGTAGGTGGAGCAGGTGACTCGGCCGCGTGGCTAGTAACTCAAGGTTCGACTAGGTTGGTTTCGGAGGGTTGGGGGTGTCGCGGCAAAAACAGAGGACAGACGCGACCAAGGGCCCAGTGAAGGGACGACTGGCAGTGCTTGTGGCCGGGGGCGGCAGGCTCAGGCTGTGACCCTGTGGCCGGGGGCGGCAGGCTCGGGCTGTGTCCCTGTGGCCGGGGGCGGCAGGCTCGGGCTGTGTCCCTGTGGCCGGGGGCGGCAGGCTCGGGCTGTGTCCCTGTGGCCGGGGGCGGCAGGCTCGGGCTGTGGCCAGGGCGGCAGGCTCGGGCTGTGTCCCTGTGGCCGGGGGCGGCAGGCTCGGGCTGTGTCCCTGTGGCCGGGGGCGGCAGGCTCGGGCTGTGTCCCTGTGGCCGGGGGCGGCAGGCTCGGGCTGTGACCCTGTGGCCGGGGGCGGCAGGCTCGGGCTGTGACCCTGTGGCCGGGGGCGGCAGGCTCGGGCTGTGTCCCTGTGGCCGGGGGCGGCAGGCTCGGGCTGTGTCCCTGTGGCCGGGGGCGGCAGGCTCGGGCTGTGTCCCTGTGGCCGGGGGCGGCAGGCTCGGGCTGTGGGGCCGGGGGCGGCAGGCTCGGGCTGTGACCCTGTGGCCGGGGGCGGCAGGCTCGGGCTGTGACCCTGTGGCCGGGGGCGGCAGGCTCGGGCTGTGTCCCTGTGGCCGGGGGCGGCAGGCTCAGGCTGTGTCCCTGTGGCCGGGGGCGGCAGGCTCGGGCTGTGACCCTGTGGCCGGGGGCGGCAGGCTCGGGCTGTGTCCTTGTGGCCGGGGGCGGCAGGCTCGGGCTGTGTCCCTGTGGCCGGGGACGGCAGGCTCGGGCTGTGTCCCTGTGGCCGGGGGCGGCAGGCTCAGGCTGTGGCCGGGGCGGCAGGCTTGGGCTGTGACCCTGTGGCCGGGGGCGGCAGGCTCGGGCTGTGTCCCTGTGGCCGGGGCGGCAGGCTCGGGCTGTGTCCCTGTGGCCGGGGGCGGCAGGCTCGGGCTGTGTCCTTGTGGCCGGGGGCGGCAGCCGTGCAGGCAGGGAGTAACGACCACTGTTGGGTTATGGTAGTGACAAAACAGAAGAGGAGGACGCAGGTAGGAGGCTTTTAAAGTGAGGCTCACTCAGATCTGGGGGGGAGCTGGGGGGGGCGGGCGGGGCGGGAGTGGCCCATGGCCCTGGGCGACGCTGGAGGGGAAGCGAGTTTCAGAGGCGGGGTGTGGGGCCGAGGTGGAGCCGTCTGTAGTATGAGGCGCCCAGCGGTGGCACCGGGGCAGCCTGGCACGCAGGAAGCGGGCAGGGGTGGGGGGCAGGAGTAAAGGAGGGCGGGAAGAGGCCTGGGGGGCGAGGCCGTGGGGAGGGAGGAGCGCGGGGACGGCGGGGCCGCAGGGGTGACGGCCATCGACAGGAGAGGGAGGGCCGCAGGCACCAAAGACCCCCTTGACAGGCGCGGTGAGGCCGCCTGCGTGGACAGGAGGCCCCGCGCCGCGCCCGTCGGCCCGGAGCATGGCCTGCGGTCGCAGGGCGCCCCCTTGTGGAAGCGCCCCTTCCTTGTTCGTTCGTGCTTCCGCTCTAAGTCCCTGGCCACAGGTTAGGTGCCTTGGAATGTTTTCTCTAAAACTTCGTATCGGGTGTTCGGGAGTTAGGTATGACCTTTTCACTTCTGTTTTTTACCCTTGGTCCAGCGACCGCGGCAAACGTCACAGACACCAGGTAGTAGCCCGGACCGCAGAGCAGACACTCAGGCTCCTGGCACCGGGGGCGCGTGTCTGGGCTGCCGTGGCGCCCTCCGGTGGCCGCAGAGCTGCGTCTGCTGGGTCAGGCCACTGCCGTGCTGGCGCTTGAGCAGCCGCGGGCCCACGGGCCGCGCCCTGAGGGCTGGGGATGGAGGGCTGATGCAGAGCTGCCTCTGCCGTGGATGTGCACCGCCGGGGCCGCATCTCACGCAGGAGGCCCGCCTGTTCGACACTGAGCGGCACGGTTTTCCCAAGCGTCCAGTGTCTCAGACAGCAGCGTATATTTGGGTGTATCCCCGCTTCCTACATTTTAGGGACAGTCCATATTTTTATTCAACAGTTTACTTAGAATACTTTAGATTCCAAAATAAAGAATACAGAATTATCTATGTTTTGATGCATTTCACATCAAATTTGTATGTATTGTGTTCAGTCTGTTCATAAATATGTTCTTCATACGCTGCGCTTGGTAACGCCATGATAAATGCACGGTTCACACACACCACACGTGACACGCATTCCACCTTTTTAATCGCGTTGGTGCAGAATATCTTCGATTTGTCCAAATCTATTTTTTTTAGCTTGATATTTTCCAGCGTATTCGTTGTGTGACCTCACAAAGTTGTTGAGCTCCTGAGGTAGGCATCAGACACGCTTAGGGGGAGCCCATCCATGCAGCTGTTTTCAGCGACCTCCCTGCCCGGGGCTGTGCTCTCGGCTGCTTCAAGGAAGGCAAAGCAGACCCCTACGTCTTTGAATTTAACCCTGACTTTGGGCAGCCTTTTTTATATTGTTTTTGCCTTGGGGTGTTTCCACGCAGGGTGTTTTCAGCTCTCGAGGAGAAAAGATTCTCATGGCAGATGCTGATGGAGCCACGAAGTTTCCAGATGTTGAAAAACTGGAAAGGGGACTGAGTGATCTACAGCCTTGGCCGGTGAGTGTAAGAGTATAGTTTACATTGTATCCCGTTAAGAATATAGGGGTGTAAGTTAAAAACCTAGGGGTTTGGGGGTGTGAAATCCCTGCGTACGGCCCACAGAAGAGCTGATCATTCTATTAGAAGCACTCACTGACTCCCTGAGGGCCACCTGCCAATCACTTACCTAACACCCTGGCCACCTCTCAACCTTTATGCTTGTCACATGCACACCTGTCACGAAAGCGCAGAATGAGGCTCCAGGTGACAGCATGGGATGAAACTGGGCCACAGAGCCTTGGTTTTGATGAGACAAACAGAGAGAGGCAACCACTCCGGAAAGGCCGTGGCAGCCTCGTGCCGTGACCTCGCCCGGCGCGTCGGTGGCTCGTCCTCGCGCGGTGCGGCCGGGCAGCCTGGTGCGCAACTGCTGCGTGGCCCGCTGTGTGGGCGTGCGGCCTGTGTGTGCAGCCAGCCACAGAAGGGCACGCAGGCCGCGGCTGACGTCCCACGGGGACAAACCCCGTATCAGCGTTCAGCAAAAGGAACAAAAGGAACAATGGAGGCTGAGGAACGGAAGAGAATCTGGTGCCACGCCCGCCTTTTAGAAGCTGTTCAGAAAAAGGTGAATTTTCCAAATCCTGAGCTTTGTATGAGATGCTCCCAGTCTGGAAAGAGTCAGACAGAGAGGAGCGAGCGCCCCAGAGGGGCACACTGTGCGCGGCCTGGCCCCGCTCGGCACCCAGGCCTGCCGCGGCAGCAGCAAGAGGAGTCGCGAGGCCGCGCCCTTTCCAGGGGTTCAGGCCGAGTGGGGAGCCCAGCCCCGCGTGCTTAGCGCCCCCCGCTCAGTGCGGCAGGCCCTTGTGCAGGGCGCAGCGATGCCCCACGTGGCAGGGAAGCCGGGGACCCCCAGAGCCGTGCAGTGACCGAGGGGCGGGGCCCAGGGTCCCCGGGGAGAGCCCACCTGTGCCGGCCCAGTTGCCGCCTTCGGCGCGACAGCCACGCCTCAGTGTACAAAGGGATCGGAGGGCGCTTCACCCAGAGAAAGAGGATTCCGGAAATGTAACCCAAGGAAGAGGATAAACACATCCGAGTATTTTTGCTGAAGAAATGACACTTCATAAAAGTCAGCAGCGTGGGCTTTTGGAGGCGAGGGGACGAGGCGGCAGGATTACGTGAAAGGAAAAAGGACGTAACGAGGGGAACACGTCGAGGGCCACCACCTGACCGGCGAGCAGAGCCCTTCGGACGGGAGTGGCCCCGACTCAGAGCAGACCACCGCGCGTGACCGCTCCCCTTTTACTCCCGCAAACCAGACAATTAAGAAGTAACACACACACAGCCCGTTAAAGCAAAGCTCCAACAGCCAAATGTAGTAATTACAAAAACTCACCTCCTATCCCACTTCCTAGAAATAACACCTGTTTAATTTCCTGGTGTGTGGATCATTCTGTGTCTCTCTCCACTGTCACCCACTCTGCCTTTCTTCCCAGGAGTTTTTATTTAAAGATACTAAGTGACTTCGTATAATTCTCAGAAGAATTAGTTCTGAGGATACCTCTTTTACCAGTGCCATTCAAAACAGTAGCTATTAGCCACGTGGAACTCTTTACATTTAGATCAATTAAAATCGAATAAAATTTCAGCTCCTCTGTCTCTCCAGCCACACGGGTGAACACGTGTGTCCAGGTGGAAGGCGGGGGGCGGGGGCGCCGTTGCCGCCCCTCCTCTCCTGCCGCATCGCTGTCCCACGGCGCCGAGGTGTAAGGAGCTGCAGCGCGCGATTAGGGTTCGGGCGTCCGACGCGGTCGTTCCAGCCTCGGTTGAGCCTGTACCGACCGTCCAGCGTTTTTTTAGAACAAGTTGGAAGTGGGAATCAAAAGCTTTAAATAATGCACATCCATTGACCCAAGTTTGAGAAACTAGTCTTAAGGAAAAAATGACGAATGTGTGTAAAAATAAGTGTGCAAGGATTTTTGCTTATTTTTTATGTGGCTGTGTCTTTTAATAAAAGGGAACAGCTAGAAACAATTTAAAATGCCGCATTGTTTTACTGATTGAATTTAGAGAGAGAGAGAGAGAGAGAGAGAGAAGGAGGCGGGGGGAGGGGAACATGGGTTCGTCGTCCGCCTGTTGGCACGTCCGCGGCCGATTCCGCCTGTGCCCTGACCGCGGCCGGCACCCGCAGCCCTGGCCTGTTCGGCCACACTCCAGCCAGCCGAGCTACCTGGCCAGGGCCCAGGAAGGCCAGTATTCGGCCACGTTGGTCAAGTGAATTGTGTCGGGTGGCTTTATTATGCATCGCTAAGTGAGCAAAGCACATTTTAAACATCTGGAGATACATGGGGACGTCTCTCTCTCAGTAAAATGTGTTGACATCAGGGATCTCTGGGCGGCGGGAGGGTAGGTGCCTTCAGGTTTGTTTGGTTTTTTTTTTAGATTAGTTTTATCGTTTGTTTTTAACGACGAACCTGTATTGCATTTAAGGAGAAATGATTTTTTAAATCAGAACTCAATGTCCTTTAACGAATAAAACTTTTCCCTAAGTCAGCTCTTTGCTTCATCCTCCCGCAGTTTTCGTTTCTGCCCTTCCTGGGTGACGAGGACTGATTTTGCTACCTGACTTTTCCTGCTTTCTGCATTGTTTTCTGCGTTGTTCCCGCTTTGTCTCTGCGCCTCGACCACGTTCGGAGTCCGGGGCCGGTTTCCGTTCCCTTTTCGCGGTGTTTTTAGCTTTGGAGGCGGCGTCTTCGTAATTATAGTAACGTAGTATTTTTAATCAGGAAAAGTTGTACTACGGGAGCGTTGAAGTAGCGCACGCGCCTCCTGTTCAGCCCTGAAGAGCAGGTGCCCCCGGTGCCGCCCGTCGGCCTCCGGAAGCCGCACGCATGCTCGGCTCCTCAGGGGACATGTAAGGGTACTCGGTGGCACTTCTTCAGAGAGTCGGTTCCTGGAAAATGAGTCTTTCCGAATAAATGCTGGACGTACCGTGACTCCCCGCTGTCTCCGCAGGACCAGATGGCCATCGCGTGCGGATCCCGCGCTCACCTGCAGGAGGAGGCGGTTGCCCAGGTGAGGCTCTCTGGCTGAGCAGGTGGGTCAGCGGCCCCTCCTTTTGTCCCATGCGCATTAGTGGGAAATGCGCTTTTCTCCTTCATCTCCCAAAAGTGGGGTTCCTCTCAAGGGGGAATAAAAGCATGTTTATTTTGGCAAGTTTATGAAGGGCTGGCACTTGTAGGAGTTGATTTTTCTGTTTTTCTCTTCTTTCCTAATGAGGACAAGAAGGGTGTCGGCCCCACTCTGACCTAGGGTGCAGGCGGCTCTTTTCCGCTGGTTTTGTTTCTTTTTCCCCTTACAACGCGGAGGAGGAGCCCCCACGCGGCCGTAAGGTTGGGCAGCCTCCCAGGTGCCGCCCTCGAACCCGTCCCTGCCTCCCAGTCCCTCCGGGGACGCACACTGGGGACTGCGTAGTGAGTTTCACACAGAGTTTACCCGTTTTGTTTTTCTTTACACTTTATTTCTCTTAGAAAAACACTATAGCTTAAAACTGGACCAGCTGTAACTGCCATCTTTAGGGTATTTTTTTTTTTAAACTGAAGACATTAGGTTCTTCATTCTGTAATTTCTGGGTGAGGTGGAAACCTGGAACGGTGTGAAGTGTTGTTAAGGACTTACTCTGCGCAGTGTTTTCCGGAGGCGGGGGGGAGGGTTACATTTAAAATAATTTCCAATTATTGTTGATGCGGTATTGTTAGTTTCAAGTGTACGATGTAGTGATTAGGCAGTTTTAACTCAAATTATTTTTTCATGTACAAACTGTAGGCTTAGTGTGTCAAGTCCACTACCTGCCCATTACGTTCCTCACCGTTCACCCGCTAGGGCGGCCCCGGGGGGCGAGCGTCCGGCTGCATTTTTCAGGGCACGGTCAGGACTCTGCGCAGTTTCTTTGCCGAGTGCGTGTTCCTGGCCGGTCCCAGACCCGCCGTCAGACGGCGGCCCAGGGCCCCGCGGGGCCCACCAGGTAGAGTGCGCGCCTTCGCCTCAGGATAAGCTGGCGGCGGAGTCATAGACCCTCCCCAGGGTCATGTTTAAATGCGGAAGCCTGGACTCCCCTTTTGTTAAGAACTAAACTATTCCGGCATCTTCAGCATGTAGTTCAGAGCTCTCTATCCCTATGGACTTTCATTGGTATTTGAAAAAGGTCTAATCTGTTAACCCCAGGGACTCTCGGATTTAGGACTTTAAAACCGGAAGAGTTCAGAGGTTAGCCAGTCCAGCTTTATCACTTCACAGATACAGAAAGAAGAATGTGTGCCCAGGGTGTTCAGCACGTCAGCTTCACTTACAAAAGGCTGGGACCTGTAAACTGCTGCGTCCCAGCGCTAGGAAACGTAGATGCTTCCCCTGGACGGAGCGTCACACAGGCAGTAGTATAGATGAAGATGGAGGCTGTGGGGAAGTACCCAAAATAGTAAGTTGTATTTTTTTTTAAATATATTGTAAACGCAGTATAATTGTGCAAAAATATCCATACAAACAAAAAACACTTCATGAGAATAGACCACTATTAATGTAATGGTTTTGAGAGTAAAGTTTTTCCTTTAAAAAAAGAAAATCACCGTAGGAGAAGAAGGACAACCCACCAGGTGAAGGACAGAGAGCGCGCGGCGCGGAGGAAGCCGTAGGGAGGACGCTGTGGGGGGTCAGGGCAGCGCGAGCTGGGACCTGTACGCGCTGGGGGTGGCCCTGGAAAGCCCCCGGTTTTGGTGTGGTTTGTAAGGCTGTCCAGCAGCTGGACGCTCCGAGTTTTCCCTGGAGCCGCACGTGAATGGGCTGTGCTGCGGCCCAGCCCTGGTCCCAGCGGACGTGCAGGCCGCTCCCCCAGGGTCTGCGTGTTTCTGGCGCTTCTTGTCACCGCCCACACATTTCTCCGTCCCTAAATCTCAGAGGTTGGCCGAGTGCTTTTGGGCCCCACGGAATTGGCTGCTAGGCCGTAGAGAGCCAGGGCGGCCGGCCGCGGGCTCAGGGCCGCAGTTCCCACTGCAGATGCAGCGTGCGGCCCCAGGGGGCCCCGCCCCGCCCCGCGCAGGGCCTTCCGGGCAGCAGCGCACGGCCTGCCTTCCGCGCCCGAGCCGCTGGGGTGCCCGGCGCACTGGAGGCGGTGGACAGTGACCCGGAGCTCCGCCACGCCAAGGTCAGATTTCCTGTTTCTCAGACCTGTGGCCGGGGCCCTGGCGCGCCCCCCACGTGTCCCGGTCCCATTGTCCTGTGTGCCAGTCCCACAGCAACGCTTACCGGGTCGCTGGGCCCAAGTTTATCATCCATAGAAGATTCCAAACGGGATCCGTTACCATTTCGTGTCCTCAGATTTCCTTTGACGGCTTTCTGCCTAAGTCTCCACACTTCTTTGAAGGTCTTATTGTAAGATAATGAAAGTACGAGTCCGCTTTGAACATCGCCCGAGTTCCCCGTCTATATTTCATCAGCACTAGAGAGAGCGCTGTTAGCATGGAAGCAGCGAACGCCTTTCCCCTCGTGCTTTGAGCTGCCCGCCTCGGCGGCTCCGGTGCGGCTCTGCGCCTCCGTTGGCCCCACTCGCCGAAGTCCGCCCGATGGTGAACTTTCAGGCGCCTTCTAAACTTAAGCTGTTTTTCCACGTTTTTAAAAATTAAAGATGCTCCTCTTTGTAGTTTATCCGTTCAGATATGCTACAAATCAAATTTAAGGTATTCATGTGAACTCCACATGTTTCTAGATTTTATGAAATAGCCGTTACCCTAAACAAATGAGTCTGCTCTTCAGAGCCAAGCAAAAGCCGTCGTGACTATTTTTATTTGCTAAGTAGTAAGCTCACTTTAATCACATCGAAAAATCGTTCAAGAAGAATAGTGTATGGCTATTATTTTTCTACCTTTTAATTTTCATTTTTCGATCTTTGAATTTCTATTTTTTCCTTTCCTAAGCGTAAATGCTCTTTTGGAGGTTGAATCAGTCAACCAGTATTTATTGGAAGTGTTTTATGTGGAAGGCCCTGAGCCAGCTGCTGTGATATGCCCAGACTATTTTAGGATGAGGTTTCTGCCCAGGCTGCTTAGAGAGAAGAGGTAAGACGAGTTTACATCAACAGGTAACCAGCGGTTCTCTGTTGACGACTGGGAGGCGCTAGATCCTCCTAAGAGGTGTGGTTTGCAGACCGTGTGGAGGGGTGTTGTACTTCCTTCCCGTCTTGCCCTGTTTAATACACGAGAGAAACTGGTCAGAAGGTTGAATTGAGTTTTCAAGCTTTCTTTAAAAAAAAAAAAAAAAAGTTGGGTTTCTCTTATGTCCTGTGTCAGACACTTGGCTGACAGCTTTCGTGTTCTCTCGTGTAACCGTCGGGAGAGCGTCTCCCTAAGAAGGCGCTTGCAGCCGCGCGCTCAGGCGAAGAGAGGGCGACTCCGCGAGCGGCAGGGACCCGCGCGGGCGGCGCAGACCCGTCCGTGGGGCCGCGGCTCCCGTGCAGGCCTCGGTGCAGCGGGGTCTCCCCGTCGCCGGCCCGGCGCCCGCGAGTGTGTGCGGGGGCGGGGGCGACGCGGAGGGTTTCCGTCGCGACCCACAAAAGCCCGAGGGGGAAGGGAGCGCGAGTGAGTCGCGTGAGGCGCTGACCGTTCTGCGTGGACTCTCCACAGGCGGTTCAGGGGCGTGGGTAGCGTGTCGCTCCCTGCGTCTGGTAACCGTAACTGTAGGAAATGTTAAGGGATCCAGGTTTTTAATCCCAAACGTGAAAGTCTTGAATACAGTGGTAATTAACTGTTCAGTGTTTAATGACTAATGGGCTACTGTGTCCTGTTGCTGCCACTAATAAAATTAATCACTAATAACCAAAGTGAATACTCAGGAATAAAGATGACTTTAGTATCTGAAATGTTAAAGACTTTAACTGGTAAAACCTATTTAACCAGATACGTGTCGTACCTAATGAGACGGTTTTTGGTTCCTTTTTCGGCTGTGACTGTGGTGCCATCACGCTGTGCCGCTTTCAGCGTACCAGTATTTTTACTAGCTCCTCATCAGGTTCAAATGTTACTGTTTTATGTGTTTTCAAGCTACTCCGGTAGCTGTCGCCTTTTTTGAGAGTGAAGTGTATTTGGAACAAAGAGACACAGAACGCGTAGGCGACTGAGACGTCCCCTGTGCTCGCGACAGTGGCGTTTTTATACATTTAAAACGAGAGCGGCCGGAGAGCCCGGCCGGCCCCGCCCGCGCCGCGGTCCGTGACCGCGACGTCGCACGTGCCCGGCACGCGGCGGGTGGGCCCCCGACTGCGCCACGCGGCCCCCGGGAGGGGCTCCGGGCCTGAGACGCCGCCTGCAGGCTCCCCTGTCGGCAGCCGGGGCGTGCGCGGCGTGCCCGCCGGCGGTCGGCGGGGAAGCCACTTTCCGCCTCCTTCCAGCGCTCCTACTTCCGCACGCTGCTCATGTACGGATTCCACTTCCTCGTGTGGTTCCTCTGCGTCCGCGGGATCAGGGACACGCAGTGCGGCTTCAAGCTGCTCACGCGGGAGGCGGCGTTGCGGACCTTTTCCTCGCTGCACGTCGAGCGCTGGTAGGTGCCCCGCGCGACTGGCACGGGGGTGTGGCTCGGGGCGACCCTCCGCTTCACGCAAGGCCACAGCGCGCTGTGACCGCCCGGCCTCTGTGCTCTCGCTGGGCGGGGTCTCCCCTTGAAAATCGCGGAGCAGCGCGGGACGGGCCCTGCAGCCGCTCCCACCCCGACGGCGCACACCGGCCGGAGGAGCCCGGGTCCTCCAGCTTTTTTTCCCTTTGGGGAGAAAGGGAAAAGCTCAGACGGATCCAAGCAGGAGGGAGCGCCCATTCCTCTCCTTCCTTTCCTGGGAGCTGGGCTCCGTCCGGCCTGGGGCGTGTCCTCTGACCCCCACACCACCTAGTCCTCCCTCCAGGGACCTCACTGCTGGTTTTGCCCCTCCTGCCCTCAGCCACGCCTTTCCCACAGTTGGGGAAAACAAGGTTAAATTCTCGTCATTAAAAAAGATAAAAAGGACCCCCCCCACTCCCCGTCCCGGCCTGGGCCTCCATCCCTGTGCAGCGACCTTGTCTCACGTCCCACTCGCCCTGCGCGCCTCCACAGGCAGGGCCCCCGCCCGCCCGCGCTGGGCTGCCATCGCGTCCTGCACGCAGTGGCCGCGGCTGCGGCGGCCCGCTGCTGGCCCAGCGATACTCAGAGGCCAGTCCACAGCGGCCATGCTGCCGGCGCCGCGCAGCCCAGGGTGGGCCGGGAGGGGGCGGGGGGAGACAGGCCCGAGGACCCTGTGTGCGGGAAGGAGGCCCTGGTCCCCGGCCGCTCTGCCAAGGCCTGGGAACGGCCCCAGAGCCGCTCTCGCTCTGTGCCACCCACTCTGGCCCCAGCGGGGAGGTCCTGGGTTGGGGCTGGGCTGCAGCCATGGGTCCTGAAAACCCCCAAAACTGGGCTTTCTCTGGGGGCCCCGTAGGCCATCCCCACCTTGCGGGCTTCTCTTGACCCTGTGTCAGCCGGACCATCAGCTTGGCTGCGTAGCTTCCCATCTGCCTGCGCGTTTCTTTAGAACACGCCGAGGCAGAGATGCAGGCGCTCTGTCTTTCTGAAAGCAAGCGCTACGCCCCCTCTGTTCCAGGGCGTTCGACGTGGAGCTGCTGTACATAGCGCAGTCCTTCAAGATCCCCGTGGCCGAGGTTGCTGTCACGTGGACCGAGATCGAAGGTGAGCCTCTCGTTCTGTTGTCGCTGCTGGGCTGCGGGCAGCTGGCTCCCCGGGCCCGCCCCTGCAGCGCCTCCGCCGCCGGCCAGCCCGCGTCCCTGGGCACAGCCCTTGCTGCCCGGAGAAGCTGATGGTGCATGAGCCCCAGGTGTCCCGGGGCCGAAGCAGGTGAAGAGCCAGCCTGGAAGCGGTGTGAACAGCGCGGCCTGGAGGGAACCCCAGCCTCTGGGAGGCCCTGGCTCCCTGGGTTTGCAGAAGCCCCGTCCCAGCAGCAGCCCGGGGCAGAGGGGCTGGAGACAGGTGACGGACCACTTGGGCACAGCGGGCAGCTCTCTCAGCTCTCGGCATTGGGCTGTGCCCGGCTCAGGCGCCGTGCGAAGCTGATGGGGGGAAAGTGGAGATGTGTTCCGTGTTTGTATCTTTTGCTCATTTGCATCACAGAGATAGTTGTATCCTAACATGGATTATGCACACCCCAGATTCCTAATTGGTGCTATGAAGATAATATTTGCCCAGACCGATAACATAAAACAAGGCAGTGCGACCAAGTACTGGGACGCTAATGTCTCAGAAGGAGACAGCTGCTGTGTGAATTCAAAGCAGGGAATAAAGGTCGTCCTCGAAGACACAGTGTAAGGAACGTGGTGATGGGGTCGTGACCCTCTCCCGGGCAGGGGTTCATTTGTCTGCAGGGTGGGACAAGTGAGGAGTGTGAGGCTCCTCCCCGGCGCGAGTGTCACGCACGGCTAAATGGCGGGGCCTGGATAGGACCCTGCAGTCTGAGCACAGGCTTCATTTTGCACCGTTAAGATTGGATGCATCGGTAGATCCGACCTTGTTTCTCTCCATGCCGCATCTCCAGCCGTCTTGCAGACGTCGTTTCTGACGACCCGGCAGGCAGAGGCGGCTTGTGTCGGCCGTCGCCTGAATCCTCGGCCGCGGGCGGCCGGGCCCTTTTCCGTAGGTAGCACCCCTGAAGTGGTCGAGTTAGACCCTCCCAAATGCACTGCCCTGCCGGGCGCTTCGTTTTTGGTGTTTTAGAAGAAACTGCTCATTTCTACATGGAAGAGATTTCATTCTTTTGTCTGTGGCGCAATTGAAATGACGGTGGATGTGTTAACTTGATCGTGGCAATCATTTCACGGTGGTACGCACATGAAATGATTACATTGTACATCTTAAATAGATTTCACCTTTGTCCACTGTACCTCAGTAAAGCCAGGGGAACGTGAAAGAAAAGAGAAAGAAGCCAGCGCATTGGCCTTTAACCTGTGACCTGGGCCGAGTCACTTCCCCGCCCAGCGCCTGTCCCCTGACCTGTCCCCAGAGGGGACCGGCGGCTGTGCTCCCGACGCGCCCACAGGGCACTCTGGGGGCGAGACCCGGGAGCGGGGGCGTGGAAGCCGCTCCGCGGGGGGGGCTGCGTGCGGCCGGCCGGCCGGGCTGCTCGGGCGGCGTTGGCTGTGGCCGGCTGGGGCCTCAGTAGACGTGGGGTGGACGTCAGGTTTTTGTCTTCAGTTTCTTATTGATCCTCTGCAGTACGTGTGAAATTGAAAGTAGTGTGTGAAACATAAAAATTTGTCCGCCCCAAAATTTGTAAATGTACAGATGGAATTATTTAACATCCTTACTTACATATATGTACATAATATAAATAAAATGAAGGTGACTAGAAGCTCCCAGAAGTCATGCAGACTGACTTCTAAAATAGAACTGCACAGTGACCTGACGTGTGTTCTCCTGGGTGTGTTGAAGCTGACTGACTTTCCGTTACTTTCCGGTCGCAGGCTCCAAGCTGGTCCCGGTTTGGAGCTGGCTGCAGATGGGCAAGGACCTGCTGTGCATACGGCTGCGCTACATGACCGGGGCCTGGCGGCTCGAACGGACCAGGAAGACCAACTAGAGTGCTCGCTGCCTTTGACTGTACTATATATGAAGATATTTTTCATCTGAATTAAAATTTCATGTGAAGTCAGGATAAACCTGTGCCGTTGTCTCCGCCGTTTGATAATTTAATGAACCAGCTGCTGTAAGGAAAAATTTGTAGACATCTTTTGAACAAACAAAAAAAAAAAATTTTTTTAAGGTGTTTGTAACAGAAGTCAGATTTTCTTTTGCTTTAGCAATTTTGTTTATTTAGATTATAACTATGATTCTGGGAAACATAATTTTTAAACAAGAAAAGCAATTATTTTTACTCAAAAGTATCTTTCATAATTCTCACGAACTTAAATGTAAACCACAATCATTTAACAGTGGTTAGGGATTTAAAAAGAAAGTTAACATGTTTATGTTTTTAAAGGCATGGAAATGTGTGATTTATTGTTTTTATTTAAATCATTTTTTATTTTTCCATTACAGTTGACATATTTTATTAGATTGAGGTGGACACCCCTTGAGACATTATGTAATAAGCGATCCTCCCAATCAATCCTGTACCCGTCTGACACCATACACGCTGGCTGCATTCCCTGCGCTGTACGTTACGTCCCTGTGACTGTTCTGTAACAGTAATTTGTGCTCCTCACCCCCGTCCCCTCTCTCACCCATCCCCCCCGCCCCCCCATCGGGCGACCACCACGTTCTCTGTGTCTGTGAGTCTGTTTCTGCTCTGCTTGTCCCTTTATTTTGTTTTGTAGATTCAGTTGTTGATAAATACATATTTATTGTCATTTTATTCATATTTTTTCTTTCTATTTTCTTTTATTATTGTTTATATTTTTTATTTTTTTCTTCTTCTTAAAGAAGACCAAAGAGACAAGACAAGACAGAACATCCATACAACAATGTGATGGCAGACTTAAGCCCTAATGTAGCAATAATATGTTGCATTAAATGTGAATGGTACAATTTCAACAAGTAAAAGATACATTGGCAGAGAGAAGGTAAAAATGAAAACATAACCCTGCTATATGCTGTCTGCAAGCAACTACACATACGACAACAGAGGCAGGTTGAAAATAAAAACATGGAAAAAGATAGATCATCATAAACCTTAATTAAAGGAAAGTGGAAATGGCTGTTTTAGCAGATAAAATAGTCCAGATCAAAGATAATTACCAGAGACTGAGAGGGGTGTTATATAACAACTAAAACGACTCAGCCCATCAGGAAGACAGACGTCAAATGTGTGTGCTCAGAGCAGCATACAAAACAATACGTGAAGCAAAGCTGGAATAATTGAAAAGAAAATTAGACAAATTATAGTTGAAGATGTTAATACTCCTTTGTCAACAAATTATTTTTTTTTAAACTACAAAGAAACTCAGCAAGAATACAGAAACCACCACCATCAACCAATGGAATTCTAATAGGCATTTATAGAAAAGTCTATCCAACAACAGCAGAACATGCATTCTTTTCAAATGCTTGTGGGACATCTATCAAGACAGATCGCACCTTGGGCCACGAGATGCACCTCAATGTATGTAAAAGAACTGAGATCACACGGAGCATGCGCTCCACCCGCAGCAGAGTCAACCGAGAAAAGAGCAGAGACGTAACAGGAACATCTCCACCCAAACCCTTGGAAACTGAACATCACATTGTTAAATGATCTGTTTAGCCTCAAGTGAAATTTTAAAGTATATTGAACATCCCCGGCTAGATGGCTCAGTTGGTAGTTGCATCGTCCCATAACCAAAGGGTTTAGGGATCGACTCCCAGTCAGGGCACATACCTAGGGTGCCAGCCCGACCCCCAGCCAGGGTGCCTATGGGAGGCAACTGATCCATGTTCCCCTCTCTCCCGCTTCCTGAACTCGGTCTCATCTAGTCCCTGAAATGATTCCCAAACAGCATTCTCCTAAGCAAGAATTTGAACAAATGAATAAACGATTAATCCGGAATTTAGCTGAAATAGTACAGGTGGGTCTCAAAATGTTTTTGAACAGGAGGGCCAAGAACGCGCGCTGACGTGTTCATGGAGCGGCCGCGGAGCAGCACTGAAGTCAAGCAGCAGGGACACGAGGCAGAGGCTGGGTCTGGGGAGACAGAGGCCGGGCAGCGAGTCGGGAAGGGGAGGCCGGTCTCGACGGCGCAGCGCGGGGCCTGGCAGCGAAGTAAAGGGCAGGCACCGCGTGGACTTGGGGAAGAGCTGGATGTTTTGAGTACATCACTGTCTCCCGCGAGGCAGAACGTTGATTGGTCTCAATTAGTGCCCCTGTTTGATCGCTGTCAACCTCAGCGGGCCCGCCCGGCCGTGGAGCATCGTCTGGCGAGAAAGCTACCGCACGAAACTTGGCAAACCACCTTTGACACGTCCGTTCAGTCCCAGCACCCTCTCCTTACATTGCACAGATCTTTTTTCATGTGTCATCTCCATTTTTATCTTCCTTGAAATAATAAAGCATAATATGCTAGAAATGTATATTTCCTTCCATCCTCAGTATTAAAATGGCTACACAAAAAATCAGTTTTGATAAGTTTTTTGTGTTAAATGCACACTGATATGACAGCCTTCACAATACAATCTAACAAAATTGTTTCCAATGAAGGTTAAGACAACTAAAATGCTACTAGGGCCATAGTATGGAAAAAACCAAACGAACTTTTTTTTTGGCCACCCTAATATATTTTTTAATCCTCTCCCTAGGATATGTTTACTGATTTTAGAGCAGAAGGGAGCGGGGAAACAGCGAGGCACTGATCAGTTGCCTTAGGCGTGTGCCCCAACTGGGAATGGGGCCCACAAGCGTTTGGTGTACAGGGCGACGCTCAAACAGCGGAGCCGCACTGGCCAGGGCCTTCCTGATATTTTTACCTCAAACTAAGCGTTCACTCCACAAATACTGACACGTTACTGGGCACTGACCGCGTGCCTGGCGCCCTCGCGGGCTGCGGGGTTACCAGGCAGGGCCGAAACCCGCGTTCTTACAGAGAGGCAGGACAAACGGGCACAGCGCTCACCCAACGCCCTGCAGCGCGTCTGTTACAAGGGGGAAACCAAGTAAAGATCTTGGGAACAATTGTGCGTAAGGGCCATTTTTTCTTACTTTTCCCCCAAAGCAATTTCCCACTCTCGTACCTGTGTCTACCAAAGATACCAGTTTTCTCCCATCCTTGATTCTTGATTCCTGCGGGGGGGGGGGGGGGGTCCGACTTCTGTTGGTCTTCCTGTCAGAGGGTCCGTACGACGCACGCCCTCTGGCCTTTCCCAGCGTCCCAGGTCCCTGGTTCCAGACTCTCCCTCCGATCCCTTTCAGCTCTTCGCCCCCCCTCCTACAGCAAAGCCTGCACATTTTCCCTCCTAATTACCCTCGGCCACGTCCCGTTCTGTGCGCTTGGGAAATCAGGTTGCAGGAAGATGGGCGGCCCTCGGTTCGGCACCGGGGCTGCGGAGTCGGGCCGGCCAGAGTGAGTTCTGAGTCAGACCCAGGGGTGCTCCCTTAGGCTTCCCGGTGCCTCGGCTGTTAGGTGGGGTAGTGATTCGCATCCCGAGATAGTTGTCAAGGGTGAACCGAGATGAGCCGACAAAGCCCTGGGGGGGGGGGGTTCTCAGCAGCCGAGGGCTGACCCCCGCCCCCCAACCGCTAAACCAAGGTGCTCCCCTGCCCCCCTTGCCGCATCACAAGGCATTTATTCGGTGTCGTCCTACCTTGTGCCACTTGTCTTACTTATCCAAGGAGCCTGGCAGTTACCGTGGGGAAACTCCACGCTCCAAACCCGGAGGAGCTCCGCGCAGAGCAGGTCCCTGGGCCACAGGCCGGCCACGACGTCTCACCCGCTGCCGCAGGGCCTTTCGGCTGTTGGGGCGCTGCCTACGCCCACCCTTCTCCAGGGGGAGCCGAAATGTCGCCTCTGTGGACACCTCCCCGTGCCTGCGCCCCGAGGGGACCCACGAAGGTGTGCGAGAACCCTTGTATACGTGTCTCTCCTGGAGAGAGCGAGTTGGCCCGGGCCGGTGCCCATCTGGTCAGTCTGGGCACCGGGTCCTCGGGAAGTGTTCAGGGACAGCGAGGGAAGGAGAGTCCAAGGCGCGGGGCCGGGGGCAGAGCTCCCGAGGAATCCGGGACGGGGGTGCAGGGGCCAGTCCCGGCGGGCAGCGCAGTGCACGTGGAGCCGTTAAGCAAGTGCCGCATCAGCGCCCCGGGGCGGGCAGGTGCCGAGCCGTGCCTGCGCCGAGGGTCGGGAGGGAGCGCCCCCCGCTAGGCCCACGCTGGCCCGCGACAGGAAGGCAGCCGACTCCCCCGGGACGGACGCCGTGTCCTAGGGCAGCGTCAGCCCTCACAGTTCAGAGAAGAGGGGCTTCGTTTTGTCCTTTCATCGCAGTTTTCAGGCCTTGAACCAAACTTGGCTGGAGGGTCCGCCCAAACACACCCTGTGACTGATTCTCGTCCCTCATACGATTCCCATTATGTAGTTTTGGGGGGGGGGGGGCTTCTAACAAGCGGTAGGACGGCAGCCCATCTTAAATCAAGAGGTGAAAAAAACAAAGCAAAGGGGTCTGATTTCCTGTTACAGGACAGTCGGCTTCCGAAACCTGGAGCATCAGCACGAGGCCTTCTTTCCCGGAGAAGGGCATTTTCTTGGAACTTCCCAGACCCTACGGTTCCGGGGGACATAATGGATTAACCTTCCGTCCTGGGCTCGAGGAAGAAACAACGGGAACTGGGCACATGACAGGCTACCTTTTAGGCGCCAGAGTTTCTTGGGAAGAAAATGAGAACGTGCCGAAAAACCAGACGACACGCAAACGGTCCGTAAAGCCACGTCCTGCCAAAGCTGGGAGGGTCCTGTGACTGGCAGAGAGTGGGCGCCGCCGTGCCCTCCGCCTGCCTCGTGCCCAGACGGGAGGGCCCACAAGAGCGATGGGCCCATTTCTCTTCTCAATAATACATTTTTAAAAGGGAGCCACGGCCAAGTGGTATCGGCTCTGAGGGCCTCAGAGGCTTCACACCACGCACACGCTCCGAGCAGATCCTGGCTGCTTCCCGCTCAGAGCGGCCTCAGGCCGAGCGCCCAGCCGGCCGGTCAGCGGGCAGGGGCGAGAGGCGAGCGACATCCGGGTGTACCGTCCTCCTGCAAATGCTGCCCCAGGCCACCGCCCGGCGACAGCCAAGCTGGCCAGGGGGACGGCAGCGCCCGGAGGGGCGGGATGCGCGGTCGAGGGCAAGGCCTTGCGTTGACCTGTCAGGGGTGCCATTGGTAGGACTTCTTGTTTCTTTAGGATTTTATCCATTTTCAGAGAGAGGGGAAGGGAGGGAGGGAGAGAAACATCCCTGTGCGGTTGCCTCTCGCGCGCCCCCTGCTGGGGACCTGGCCTGCAGCCCAGGGACGTGCCCTGACTGGGAATCGAACCGGCGACCCTTTGGTTCGCAGGCCGGCGCTCAGTCCACGGAGCCGCACCAGCCGGGGCTGATTTTTCCACGCACAGGAGCAAAGTCACACTCTCCCGCGTGGCTTTATTCTACGTTCACCTCTGCAGTCAGTGCCTCTTCTTTGGAGAGCCCCAGGCTGCCAGGGCACCGAAGGCCATCAGGACGGAGTTTCCTGCGTGGGTTCTCGGGGGTCCACGGCGACCTCCAGAGGCGGCCCCGTAGGCGGCAGCCAGGCCGCGCGGCAAGGTTGCACACGATCGTCGCGCAGTGCCAGTAAGCCTGTATCTCTATTCGATTAGATAGTATTGTATCTTAATGGCTGTTGAGCAAACAAACACGCGTAAGGACACGACAAGCCGCTTAAAGTTCTGTGGCGAGTTTCAACCGCGTTCACCACTCCGGGGAGATTAGATTTTCTCCCTCCTGCACCCACGCAAACGAGCTGCTGCGGCGCCGGCTGCGGGCGACGGGGTCCCCTGGACTCTGCGGAGCTCCCCAGGCACCGCGGCGAGTAACCATCCGAGGGGCCGGGCTGGGCGTGTGTAGGGGAGTGTGCGGGGCGGGGGGTCGTTTCCAAACCGAGGTGCCGTCTTTTAGCTCTTCTTCTGGGAACCACCCTCCTCGGCCTCCGGCTCCAGGTGGGAAGGCGAAGTCCCCGGGGCGACCGGGGCGGGGGCGGGGGACGGGCGGCGACCAACGCCGGCCGGGGAGACAGGGAGGAGGGCCGGGCAGGGGGCCACGGAGCCCGGCCGCCGCGAGGCGCCCCGCCGCCAGTTTCCGCGCACGTGGCCGCGGGCGGGCGGCGCTGCCCCGGCGCGGGCTCCCCCGGCGGCCGGCGCGCGGCTGCGGCGGGCGGGGCGGGCCGGGAGCAGGGCTGCTGGCGGCCGTCCAGGTCGGCGCACTAATGCGGGCGCGGAGGCTCCGCGGCTCCAGTCTGACTGACGCCGGCTGGGGCCGCTGATCCGGTCCCCGCCGCCCCGGGCGCGCGCGGCCAGGCCGGGAGTGCGCGGCGCGCGGAGCGGGCTGCGGGGACCCACCGCGGGGCGGGGGGCCGCCGGACGGGGCGGGGGGGCGAGGAGCGCCGCCGGGCGACAGGTAAGCGGTGCGCTGCGCGCGGGCCGTGCGCGCGGGTGTGCGTGCGCGGCGAAGTTTTCCCACCGCGGCGCAGTCTGCGCGGCTGCGGGTGGGAGGCGCGGCTCTTTGTGCTCTGCTTCGCCTCCTTCTCGGCGGCGCCTGTTTGGGGGCAACGGACCGGAGGGGCCGCTCTGGGCGGTGGCGCGCGCCCTCCCCGAGGCCGCCGCCCGGCCGCGGGCACCCGGGGACCCGTCCGAGGAGGCGCGTCCCGCGGCGGGGCGGGGGCGCCGGCCGTGCGGGGCCGGGCCGGGGCGCGGACGGGGATGCGCGCTGGCTCTCGGCTCCCCGCCCCGGGCGCCCCGAGGACTGGCGCTGGGGAGACCCAGACTCGGGCGGAGTGACCGTGCGCTGCGGCTGCAGAGGGGCGGGCGGGGGGACAGTGCAGACATCGGAGTGGTGGGGGGGCCGATGGCGCCCCGGCCGGCCGCCCTGGCCCCCGGCCGCGAGGCGCTCGTTCGGCTCACCTCCGCGGCGGCGGCGCGGCGGGAGGGGCGGGCCGGGGCGCTGGGAGGGCCGCGCGGTGTCTCTGGGCGCGCGCCGCGGCCGCGCCGGGAGCTGGATGTTTGTCTTTGCCTGCGCCTGCCATTCGGTGCCAGCGCTGCGCGGAGGGGCGGGGGCCAGCCGGGAGCGGGCGCAGGAGACTCGGCGACGCCGGCTTTGTGCTGGAAGGAGGGGCGCGGGGAAAGCGCTTCCGCGGAGGGCTGAGCGCTGACAGGCCCTCCAGTGCCTGCGCCGGCCGCCCCTGCCGCCCGGGGGCGGCGGGGGGGGGGGCTGGGAGTGACCGCTGAGAAACGCGCTGCTGCCCTGTCGCTGGGCTGGGGCTGGCCCCCGGGGGAACAACCTGCGGGTGGCGTGAATCTAGTTTTGGAATAAACTTGCGGGTGGATTCTTCACCCAGTCACTCACAGCCAGATGCGGACCCTCGGGGCGCTGGGGTGGCTTTTTTCAAAATTTTATTTTACAGAGAGAAGAAGAAACATAGACTTGTAGTTCCACTTACTGATAACATTCATTGGTTGAGTCTTGCGTGTGTGCTGACCGGGGACCGAACCCTCAACCTTGGCCTATGGGGCGATGCTCCTGCGCTGGCTTCTCCCGAGTCCCGTCCTCAAGGCCCCTGCCAGCGCCTGATTTCTGGGGCAGCCTCTAGGGAGCGTGGTTTAGCGGCAATAACAGAGGATAACTGGCAAATTAGCGGCATTCAGTAAGGCCACCTCCTTGGTCATGACCTGCGTTTGGGGTCCTCCTGGGTGGCTGAGATGGGAACTCTGCAGGCTCCCCCTGGCCTTAGGGTCCTGTCCTAGAGAGGGTTGTTTACATTTTAAAAATAGGGATCTAAATTTAAAAAGGAAGTAACAGGAAAACCCAGACACATTCTCCCAGCTCCAAATAGACAGCTGATGAAGTGAGCGTCTCTGCATGTGCAGGAAGCCGGGGACGAGATTTTGGAGCCCTTCCAAGCCTGTGGTTCTCCAAGGAGAACGCTGCAGATAAGGAAATGATGCAATCGTTTATAAATAAGGGGCGTGTTAAATATAATACGGCAGGAGTTTCAAATAATAAAAACAACTTTTAGGGGCCGTAGTTACCTTCACAGACGGCGAGGCGGCCGTCTACGGCGGTCGGCCTTCGGCCTCCGTGCGTTCGGGGGTCCGGCTGCCGAGCGTGGCCTGACCGGCGGCCTCGGTCAGCAATGGCCCGGGCCCCAGCTTGCGGTTCCCAGCGACGGATCAGAGAACGCCAAACCTCCTGAGCTGAGCAAGCTCTTTTTTTTTTTTAAATCAGCACAGCGTTTGCTAAAAACCAAAACTATAAACAAATTTTAGGTTAAACCCCCAAGGCTTGACGACGCATACACACTTGTCATCACCGTTTTAGCGTCAGCCAGAGCTATTTGTTCTTAAAATGCTCTCCACTTCCCGTCCTGTCCCCAGCTAATGAGGCGTCAGCAGTTTCTTGCAGAGGTCGGCCACTGCACCTCCGATTGGCCCCCGGCAGGGGTGGCAAGGAAGGGTTTTGGTTTTCGCGAAATGCTGCCAAGGATGCCTGTCAGCGATAAACAGCTGGTAAACTTGTTTGTCCTTTCCTTTCGTGTGAGCCGTTGCTGGAGAAAACAATCTGTCAAGCAGTTATTTTATAAATATTAAATCTTTCACTTCAGTTTTACAAATAGTTTTAATTCTGATTAATGAGAGTGCACATGCCGTTGCCGAAATGGAGAGAGCGCATTTACTACGGGTCGCTCTGGCCCTTCAGCAACTAACTAGTTTACACTGGGCCCTCCCTCTGCAAAAAAATACACATAAAAAACAGCAATTGCATCATATTCTGCCTCAATGTGTCTGAAATGATACTGATCCATAAAATGTGTCCTGATTTAAGGGAAGGTAAAGGTTATGGAAAATAAAGCAGCTTCTTTTGTGTGTGTTTACTTTGCAAAACATACCGCATTCCATTGTACAGCTCAGTGAAGCTTAGTTTTCTGTGCGTAGCTCACAGCATCGGGAGAGGAGTTCAGGAACCAAGCAGCGTCCAGCACCGAATGGCAGTACAGACACACCGAACGCTGGGGCTTTTCTACCGGTCACCACCCAGGGCTGCCGGGCTGACCTTCCCTTGGCTCCTGTTGCTCCCAAGCGGGAGAATTACTCTAACTCCGAGCAAAAGCAAACAGTAAACTCAAAAGCGTAGCGCCGGCTTTTCCTGCTAACCCCAGTCTTCCTCCGGAGTCGCGGACTTACCAAAACAACAACTGTCACTTGGCAACAAACTAACCTTTTAAAATAACGGTTCCTGTAAATCATGTGTCTTAAGAAGCGTGTACCGACCGAAGTCCTTGAGGTTTTGAGGTATTTGCAGACGGAGCCGGCCCACCCGGGAAAGCTCGCCTCGCGGGCCGCCGCGCCCCGCCGGCACCCCCCGCCCCCCACCCGGGCAGCTGGCCCCGCTGCCCCGCTGCCGGCCTCGGGGGGCCCCCCACCAGCCCCACGGCGGGGCTGGCGGCCGCCCTTCCCGGGTCTGATGACGCCGGCAGCGCCGGCACCGCAGCCCCGCCACAGACAAGCCGGCCTCCAGACACCCCCCCCACCTCCGTCTGCACCTTGACTGGCACCGAGGCCCCACGGCCTTGCCTGCTTCCCCGCCGCCCCTGATTCCCAGGCTTGGCTCCATCCTGCTCGTCCCCGGCCCCGCCCGACGGCCGTGGCGCAGGCGCACGCCCTCCTGGGAGCTGCTGCGGCTCTCCGCGTTTTCCACTCGTGCCACTTCGGGTCTTGTCATGAGCTGCTTCTGTGCTCACTTATTTCTTCTCCGCAGGTGGAGGAAGGGGCCCCGTGTCATCTGTCCTTCCGTTCCCTTCCCGGCGCCCGGCGGGGGGCTCGGTCCACAGGTGTTCAGCCACGCACCTGTCGGCAAACCCGCGGCCCGTCCTGAGATAAAATCTGAAAGGGGCCTCCCCCGTCGAGCAGGCCTTGGCGGCCCGTCCGCCGAGAGGCCGGGGTGACCGTGAGCCCAGGGCTTGCGCGGAGGGCGAGGGGCTCGGCCCGACACCCTGCCCGGTGGCCCAGCCGCCTTCCCCGAGCCCCGCGGCGCGCCCGCCGGTGAGGACGCAGTCAGACACTCTTGCTGCGGCAGCACCTTTCCACGCTGGAGTCGCTGGATACCCAACGGGGACCATTGAGCGAAAAGACCAGGTTTTAATGCGACAGGGCTGCCCCAGCGAAAGCCTAGCGCGGTTGCGCGGACGGTCGCTGCCACGGCGGGCCGACCCTGCTCGCGCCCGCAGCCCCGCGAAGGGGAGCGCCGGGTCCGCGCGTGAGCTCGCAGGGCGGACGCGGGCCGTGGCGGGCGGGCTGGTGGCGCGCTGGGCTGTGCGCGGGCGGTCGCGCGGGCCTCGGCGCCCGGTCCCGGCCTCCGTGTCCTGGCCACGCAGGGCCAGCCAGCGTCTTCAGACGCATCATCTTTGGTTAAGTGATTCCGAATTAATAGAGTTAGTATAATGTAAAAATACAGTTTGTTACTTTGGTATAAATATCATGCCTATCCGATATATCTGATTATGCAGTTTTAATGGGGACATCGAATCAACTCAAAATCCATCTTGTAAAGAATCAGAATGACACAAAGTTTAAATTTACCATGTAAAGTTCAAGGCAGAAAGAGTAAGAAACAAATTATAAACATGCATGGACAGAGCAGTATCACTTACGAAATCATAAACCTTGAAAAGATTTTGGTTCTTCCTTTTGATTCCAGAACTCGTATTTAATTCAGAGACGAAAATGTAACCCATGAAGGAAATGTCAAGGACTCCTACAAAGCTCTGGTTTTTCCCGTAAGGACAATTTTCACTTTCTTTTGTAGGGGGAAATGACCAATATCAAAATCTTTCTTGATATTCTGATGTGCTAGTGCCCCTGGCAGGGATTGTTTTTACATCCGAGTTTTCCCGGCAGAAATTCAATGTTTACTACCTGACCGCTTCTGGCCCCCTTTTACGGTTTCACCTGCGGGGATCTCACCAGGAACGGGGCATCCCGGTCACGACCTTGGCTCGGCGCCAAGGGCGAGGGGCGCGGGCCTCGGTCCACGAGCTCGGGTCCCCGGGGACGACCGCTCGCTCCAGAATCGGGTCCTGGTGTCCCATCCCGCGACATGTGACCTGGACAAGGCACGTGTGCTTTGTGGACACCCGGACGGCTGTGTTCATGGCGCTGGGGATGCGTCCTGGAAAAACGTAGGGGGGTCTGGGCGTCAAGGAGGCCCAACCCCGCGGACCCCGGATGCCCCCCGCCAGGCAGCCTGGGCCACCAGCCTCCCCCGCCCTGCCCGGGGCGCGTCTGCCCGCTGGCCGCGGTCTCCCCTGTGCCCTGGGAGCCGAGCAAATGCAGGTTTGCGTTGAGGGGCGGCGGGTTCCCACGTCTGTATGTTGTTTTTTCAAGAGCACTCACTAGATATATGATGATGATTCATTTATTTTTTTCTGCTGGTTCAAAATTCTTTTTTCTTCGATTTTATTGACTTTACCGAATGACAGTGGTTAAGAAAATTATGTAGGTTTCAGGTGCACAATCTACAGCACATCGTCTGCATACTGTGTTGTGGGTTCCGCACCACGTGACGCCTCCTTCCATCACCACTTACCCCTCTTTTCCTCTTTTCCTTCCTTCTGCCCCCTCCCCTCCAGTCCCCGCTCTGCTGTCTGTCCGGAAGGTGTACTTTTTCTTTGCTTAATCCCTTCCCCTTTTTCGCCCAGCCCGACCCCGCCTCCCCGAGGGCAGCCGCGGTCTGATCTCTCTGCACCTCTGCCTCTGTTTCTGTTTATTTTGCTCATTAATCCCACACAGAAGGGAGACCGTAGGGCACCTCCTTTCTCTGACCGGCTGTTTTCATTGAGCACCTAACCTCCAGGCCCATCCACGCTGTCGCCAGCACTGAAATTTCCTTCTTTTTTACAGCTGAGTCATATTCCATCTTGTAAACGCACCACAGCTTTTTTATCCACTCGTCTACTGGTGGGCACTCGGCCGCTTCCGAATCGCGGCGATTGTAAATAACACTGCAGTGAACGTAGTGGCGCACGCGTTCTTTCGAATCTATGCGTTGGGCGTCTTAGGGGATGTTCCCAGAAGTGGAATTGCTGGGTCAGGAGGCAGCTGCCTTTCCAACTTTGGGGTTTGTCTTCCCCAAGGCAGTGAGCGTGGAACGGGTAAGGCAGGAGACGTGTCTGGAAACGTGGATCAGGGCCAGCTATCGACAGCCTCGAAGAATTTGGCCCCAGGTCCTCGCGGGCTCCGGAGGGCTCCGCGCGGGTGGGAGGCACTTTCTAAGTGCGCGTGACGGAGGGCCGCGTTCCCCCGCGGCTGCTGTCTGAAAGCCGGTGTCTCCATCGCGCCGACTTGGTGGTAGCGTGTTCCAGATGATAACTCGGGGTTGACAGATGCCGTTGGCTTTCCTTCTCCTGCTGGGACCTGGGCGGCTTCTCTCGTCCACGCCGCGTGACAAGCCCAGGACTGTGGTGCGCCTTTTCCCTTGCTGAGACGTCCGCTCGAGAGCCCCCGTGTCTGGGGGTCCAAGGAGGGAGGGGGCGTGCGTTCAGGCTGCAGCGGGTGAGGGTCCGAGGCACTGGGCGTGGCGGGGGCAGCGAGGGGGCAGGCGCCAGGTCAGACGCCGCGCAGCCGCGCCGGGGTCCTCAGAGCAAGAGGCCGCCTGCCAGGGCTCAGAGGGTCTCCGCGGGCTGGCCGGGGAATGCATCACACGCAGAACAGTGTTTCTATGGGGAAGCGACCTCCAGTGTGCCCAGCCCGTTCCCCAAGGCACGGGCGGCGATTAACGAGATAGCGATGATCACTAATGATACTGAGTGGTTGTGGAAAGCCAGTGAATGCAGAAGGGGGGAAAACCTGTTAAGCGACCAAGATTGTAGGCTGCATGTTGTTCTCTTTCCCTTGTTGATGCGTTGATATCATGCTTTCCCTGTTGTCTGCTAGTAGAATGGCCTTTTTTTTTTTTTTTTTTTTTTTTTTGGAGCAGAAGTGGGATCAGATGTTTGCCCAAGACGCAGCCCTGTGTACAGAAGTGCGTCCCCAAGGTCACCGGTCAGTGACGCGTTTGCGCACGGCGGTGCCCGCTGTGGGCAGGCGAACAGGGGCGCGCGGGTGCCGGGCGGTGCTCCCACGGGGCAGTGCCGCCCTCCTCTGTCAGTGACCACAATGTATTGCAAATAGGCATTTTTAATTCTTTTCAAAATTTTGTATTGATTAGGTATTTGGGTCTTGAAATGTGATGTTGGTTTTTTTTTAAATGAAGTCATCGCTCTAGAAAGTGGAACTTACCCCCATGGGGGCTCGTAGAGGTTATTTATTCACCCGTTACTCCCTCTGGCTCTTGGAACCCAGCAGAATAAAGCAGCGTGACGAATACATTCCCAGCCTCCGAGATGTCACAGCCTGATCAGAGAGCGAAGCCAAGGGAGCGAACGTCACAGTGTTCGCCCGGGAGAAAGACCCGTTAGGCAAAAAGGAGACAGTAGTCTGCCCTGGGCTGCTCTCTGTATTTTCTGGTTAGGGTTCCGCTGTCCCCGTGGGTGACTTTTCGGCCGCGACGACAGTTAGGATGTCCCCGTTGGGGGAGGGGCGCCCTGAACGGAGGTGGGCTGGAAGGTGTCCTGGGGACAGGGATGCTCGCAGCGGGGACGGGGGTGCCGGCCCTGGACCTGGAAGGCCATCGCGGGAGGGGCCCCCGCGGCGGCGCTGTCGGCGGGCAGGGGCTGCTGAGAGGGGGCCCAGCGCGGTGTGGGCAGAAAAGCGAATTTCCCTCCCCCTTCTACGCCCCTGGGACCCGGGCAATCATCAGATCACCGTGGCACAGACGCGCAGGAGGGCATGTCCCGCGTGTATTCCGTGTGTTCCCGTCGAGGGGCCTCGAGAACGCGAGACCCCAGGACGCGGGAGGGTTGTCGAGGCTTCCACACCTGCCCGTCTGGACTGAGGGCGGGGCGGGGCCTGGGGCCTCCGGGGCGCAGGCCGCTCGCGGCCCGTGAGAAAGCAGACGCGGCCGGCAGGTTCCCGCTGGGCCACGGGGCGCGGGGGCGGGGCGACCAGCAGGCGGTGGCGCCGGGACCCTCCGGCCTGCCCCGCGTCTCTCCAACGTGCGGGCGGCGGAGCCCCTCGCCCGGAAGCAGGCGTTTCCGTCCGAGTTCCGTCGGGCAGGCCAAGGGGAGCCGCACAGGTTTTTCTGAGTCTTTTGTTTCTTCGCAATCAGCTGAAAATCCATATCCCCAAAGGCGTGTTTTGGGGTGGTCAAACCCGGCCCCCTCAGTGCAGGATACAGCTGTCTGGGGTTCGCGAGGGGCGTCTGGGCGCCGCGCAGCTTGGTCAGGCGTGGCGGGGGCGCCTGGGGGCCCAGCTGAGGGCGGGTGGAGGAGCCGGCGGGCCGTTTCTCTGGGCCCGTCCTGCGACCGGGCGGCCCCGCGGCCCCGGCCCCGGCCATGCCCAGCGCGCGGGGCGCAGGAGCAAGAGCGGTGCTGTAGGAACGCTGAGAGGTTCCATTTCGGTCCCTCCCGGTTCAAAATCAATACGCTGCATTTGTCTGGAGCAGTTTTAGGTTCCCAGCAAGCACGGAGCGAAAGGAACAGAGAGTCCCCAGGCCTCCCGCCCAGCCGCCCCCGGGCGGCCCATGCGCTGCGATCGATGCGCCTCCACTGACAAGGCCACCGGCACCCCGGCCGCGGGTGACCTCAGGGCTCACTCCTGGCTGCGGACTCTCAGCGTGCGTGTGCGCGGGGCCGCGGTCCCCTGGGCTCCCCTTGTTCTCCCCTTCTCCCGACGCGTGGCAGGGGCCCCATTCCCGCAGGGGAACGCGGTGCTTCTGGGAACCGCGAGTGGGCCCTGGCCGGGTGGCCCGCTGGGGGGCAGCGTCGTCCCGGCTGTGGGTTCGATCCCCGGCGGGCGCGTGCGGGGTCAAGCAGTGAATGCAGGGATAACTGGAACAACAAATCGATCTCTCTCCCTCCCCCGCGCCCTGCCTTCTAAAAATCAGTCGATCAATAAAAATCTGTTAAGAAACACTCCTGGAGGATGGATGTCGGGGGCGGTCGGATGGCGATCTAATCCCGTTTCCTGTCTGTCTGTGTCAGCAGGGCCCCTCCCTCGGGGCGGCCTCCGCGAGGCAGCGAGGCTGGATGACAGCAGGCGCCCCGCGGACAGGACAGACGTGCGCGTGGCCTGCGGCCTTTCCGGGGGCCCGGCGCCTCCGCTGCTGCCCTGGTGCCGGTCCGGGGGCCCCGCCGGGTTCGGATCGCTTGGGAGCACCCTCGGAAACGGCACGGTAAGCGCACCTGGAACTCAGGGGGCGGGCAGGTAGTTCCCGGAGGCGATGACCTTGGACGCGTGTGCTTCTGAGACCGGGTATCTGATTTTTAATGGGGTTTTCTTGGCTGTCTCGTTTGTTGCTGGTTTGTCGGTTTTGGTCCCTTTCCTTGGGGCCAGGCGGCCCTTTGATGTGCGTGTCTGCCCCGGCACCCGCGTGGCACCCGCGCGCGGCGCCTGCCCTTCCCGCTCCTAGTCGGTCGCTCTGATCTGCCATCAGCTTGCAGCCCTGTCAGCGCCCCTGCTTAAACGGGGTGCGAAATGGCTGTGCACAGGTCCTGCGTGGTCTTTCCATACAGACCGGGTCCCGTCTGTCTGGGCAGGTCGGGCCCTCGTGGCGTGTCCTCGGTCACGCTGTGTGCGGGCGCGGTGGCTGGACCGCCCCGCGTTGCACGCCGTTCGCCGCCCTTCTGTCCGGTCCGCTGGCCTCTCCCTGTGTCCTGGATGCGACCGGGAATGAGCGGGGAAGGACACACGAGGGGCTAGGACACCCCTCCCCCGCCCGTCGGCGAGGGCTGACGAGGAAGCCAAGGGTGCCTGGCTCCCGTTCCTCGGCGACGCCACCGCGTGGAGACGTTCTTTGCTGTGAAACACCTTTGGTTTCCTTCTTTGCTTCGGACCTATTTCTGAAACTGTTTTACTTTTTCTTGGCACCTTTTCCTTCTACAATGTGGATGCAGGGGGACGACGCTGAAGTATAACTTCCTGTGAATAATAAGAATAACCTCTCTCCCTGGCCGGGCGGCTCCGGCAGTTGGAGCACCGTCCCGTGCACCGAAAGTGTGTGGGTTCGAACCCGGGTTCAGGCACATAAGGGAGGCAACTGATGGATGTTTCTCTCTGTCTCCCTCCCTCCCCCTTCCTCTCTAAAATCAATAAAAACATATCCTCAGGTAAGGATTAAGATAATAATCATCATCTTTGTGGAGATAGTCCCATATTTTCCTTTTTGTTAGTGCAGAAACAAATGTTATTTTTAAAGGAGGATGCCCCAGCCCCCAGCTACCCCAGCCAGAGGAAAGGGCTCAGCTCCCCGAGCCCACAGCCGGTGCAGGGAGCGCCGAGCGCCGCCGGCCGCCAGGGTGCACGAGCGAGGGTGCCCCTCGCAGAGGCGGCTGTCGCAGGGGGAGTGACCCAGAGCAGCGATGGTCAGCCGGGCGCTCAGCAGACTGTACCTCAGGCAGCGTCTGACTGTTTCATGAGCGCACGGACCTCCTTTCCCTGACAGTGTCCGGTCAAAAAGTGACATCAGCCGACAACGCAAGAGCTGTCTGGTGTGAAATGAATCGAAATTATGCCCTTTTTTTTTTTATCAGATCGTTGAAAAAAATAGACTCTGCTTCTGGGCGGGCCGCAGATGGTAGCGGCGAGCCCACGGGCGCGCGGGGAGCCTGGGAAGCCGGGCCTGGGGCGCGTGCCGGCGTCGCCGGGCCGCCGGTACCAGGCATTCTCGTTCCTGCCCGGCGTCTACGTACCGGCGGCCACGATTCGCCACCTCAGAATGAGAGTTTTCAAAAGCCCTCTAATTTTGGCCGAGGGAGACTTTATTTGTAAGATCTCAGGACGGTGGTGATGCGGTAAACGATTACTGTATAACGTCGGAATGAGATACTCCTTTATCGGGGCCAGATCGCCCCCCCGCCTCGCCATCTGAGCCCCTTTCAAGGATACGGTCCCGCGGCGTGAAGTACATTCACGTTGCTGTGCAGCCAGCCACCGCCGACCTCCAGGACTCTTCCGTCCTCCCAAACGGAAACTCCGCACCCACCCCACAAACACTCCCCGGGCCCCCCGCCTTCCCGTCCCTCGTAACCTTCGTTCGACGTTCCGTCTCTAGCACCTGCTATTTCAGGGACCTCGTATGAGTGAAATGAGGCAAGATTTGCTTTCTGTGTCTGAGTCACTTCTTTAGCGTAATGCCCTCAAGGTTATCCCTGGGGTAGCAAGTATCAGAAAGCCCTTCCTTTTGAGGCGGAAGGGTCCCCGGTGTGCACACCGGACGCTTCGTTCGTGCCTGTGTCTTCGGGTAGCGTCCACCGCCTGGCCGTCGGGAATGACGCTATGGACGTGGGCGTACAAGCATCTGGGTTTTCAGTCGCTTTGCGTCTCCACCCAGAAGTGCAATGACCGGGTCATGGGGTAACTCGACATTGAATTTTTGAGGAGCTGCCAAACTGAGCCATTTTAGATTCCACTGATGGTTAACTTTTTCGCGTCCTTGCCAACACTCGCCGGCTTCTGTTTGGTTGGCCATGGCCGTCCGAAGGGGCGTGAAGCGGCGTCTCACTGTGGTCTTGCTCTGCATTGGCCTGATGGCCAAGAAGGCTTCGCATCTCACGTGCTTGTTGGCCATTTGCGCATCTTCTTTGGAGAAATGTCTGTGGGAGTGCTTTGCCCACTTTCGAATTGGGTTGTTTGTTCCGTTGCTGTCGAGTTGGAGGAGGTCCTTCCATAGGCTGGATACGGATCCCTTAACAGACGCACGATTTGCATGGAGTGCGATTTTTAACGGAAAGTTTCTAAAAAACGATTTTAGATCTCTTCCACCTATTTGTCTCTGTGGCTTTTCACATCACAGAATGGATTCTGTGGCATTTCATAACGTCGGTCACATAAGTAAAATATTTTTAAAAATCCCTCGTTTCTCAAACGTGCCAATGAGGCCGCGTTCATTTTAAACAAACCATGGTTCGCTCACGGGCTCTCCAGCCGGCACGGGCGCCACCGGCCCAGCGTGCGGCGCAGCTTGTATTCTGCGAATGAAGGTAGGAGGGCCCTCTGGCCCTCGTGGCTCCGGAAGTTTGCGCTGGCGAAGAACCGTGAGCGCCGCGCCCCCAGGTCTGTTCCACCCTCAGCACCCGCCTCACGTCAGAGCTTCCCTCGGAGTCGGGAAGGGCAAAGCAAGTGGGCTAGAAATAAAAATCTTTTAAATTGGGTCCAGTTCTGCTTTCGACACATTGATATATTAACAGTGTTACTAAAAATTCAGCGGCAGATATTACTAAGAGGCAAGATCCTTTGCACAGGAGTAGGGTAGTGAAGATCTTTAGTCTCGTTTATATCGGAGGTGTCTGGGAGAGAAAATAAAACCGCCCAAGCTCATAGATGCAGAGGACAGAGTGGTGGGGGGCAGGGGGCGGGTTGGCAAAAGGGTGGAGGGTCCGAGGTGCGAAGGGCCAGTGAAGGGACCCATGAGCCACGGGGCATCACGGTGCACGACTCGGCCGTGCAGCTGCTGACACTGCATCTCGTCCGTGAAAGTCACTCCAGGAGTAGACCCTCAAAGTTCTCACCACCGGAAGAAAACCGGCTGTGACTCTGCGGTGGCGGACGTAACAGACGCGCTGTGGCGATCTCTCCCCGTGTATACAAATACCGCGTCGGTGTGTGTACACCTGGACCCAGGCCCCGGTGGGTGCGGAAGGTAGACAAGTAGCGGTGTCATATGCGGGTTTTGATGGGATGGGGGCCAGCACCCCCAGCCCCCACATTACCCCAGGGGCGGTTGGCGCTGGGGATTCTGCAGGGGAGGAGGCGGCGCGCTGGCCCCTGAAAGTCACCGTCAGGCTGATGCTGACGCGCACACAGCGGGAGGAATGGTGTGGTTCGGGGGTCACTCCTAACAGTAAGCGAGGTTTGCGTTGCGACCATCGGCACATATGCAGGCACACGCGGAACACATACTTCTGGGTGAAAAGTTTTAATGAAATAATACTTGTTCTTTGTTAGCTACGCTTTGATACCGTTTATTTTGTTAGTTTTACAAAAGCGGTTTCATTGCAGTACATGGATTTGCACTGGTAAAAAACAACAGTAAACCCTGGTTCGGAGAACGGTTATTTGTTCCACAGAACCAGTTTTTTAAAAATGTGTATTAAGTTTAACTGTGCTGAACATTTTTATAAAAAGCTTTCTTCTAGCCTTGGCTGAGTGGCTCAGGTGGTTGGAGCATCGTCCCATGCGCCAAAAGGTTGCCGGTTCGATCCCCAGTCACCGCACATTCTAGGTTGCGGGTTGGGTCCCCTGTTGGGAGGGTATGGGAGGCAACCGACTGATGTTTCTCTTTCTCCCTTTCCCTTCCTTTCTCTCTATAAATAGATCCTCGGGTGAGGATTTAAAAAAAAATTTCTTCTCCCGCTGACCTAAGCTCAAGATTTATGCCAGAATTTACTCCTAACAAATCCCATGTGAAACTAAGCAGAAGCCCCAGGGCGGCAGGGGTTCAGATTACTCTGTCCTGTTCCTTTCCCCGAAGGCCCCTGACCCTCTTCAGCCGCTGCTTTAAGGGAGCCTGTCTGGATTAAGCAGAACTTGAACACGACGACTAACTCTACTTTTTAAATTCGTGGTTGTTAAGCCACGATGTCGGCTTTTCCAAACAAAACTCAGCGTGAGTCCAGCTGCCAGGGGAAGACAGATAACTTTCCTGTCCTCGACTCTCCCTTTCTCCGTAGTTTGCGTCTGTGCGGCATCCTCAGCGAAGTCCACAGACGCAGCCGGGCGATGGAAGTGTTGCTTTATATTTCTTTTTTTAATTTGTATTTATTGATTTGAGAGAGAGAGAAACATTGATTTGTTGTTCCACTTATCGATGCATTCATTGGTTGCTTCTTGTACATGCCCTGACTGGGGATCGAACCTGCAGCCTTGGCGATGCTCTAACCCGCTGAACTACCCAAGACTCAGAAAGGTGCAGTTTGGCCTGCGGGGAAGTGAAAGAGAAAATTATATTTAATGCATCTTAAACAAGCCATTGTGGGAGATTAGGAGCAAGACAGATTGCAAACTACTAAAATGAGTCAGCTTGCTCCAAAATGTTGTCAACAGCCACTTCAAACATTAATAAGGAGGCTGGTTTCTAACATCTGGAAGGAGAGGGCTCGGTCTCGGCCAGCTGTCCCGCAGGAGAGGAGGCGCAGCTCCGCCCCAGGAATCGCGCAGGGAAGGGGCTGCCGGGAAGCTGGCCGGGGGTGTCTCTGCTGGGTGCAAAGAGGTGGACCGATGTTCAGGCAGCATGAGACAGGGGCCCGCATGTCTTGTGCACACATTTGTGGTATGTGACTGTGTATAACTTCTAGAAAACAGTTCTCAGACTTTCTGGTCGTATGACCCTTTTTCTGCTTTTGAAAATTCCTGAGAACTCCAAAGCACCTGTGGCTTATCTCTATCGCCTTGTACCACATTAGGCTCGATCAAAAAATAGTAAACACATTGTATAGTAATGTCAACCTATTTCTATTTTAAAAACAATATTTAAAAAACATAGTGGGAAGAGTGTTACTGTCTTCTGCCTTTGCAAATCGTTTTCATGCCCGGTGGGAGGGATGGCGCTTGGGTTCTCGCACTCACGGCTGCGCACGGGCTGCGGCAGGGGGTGGTGTGAGTTGAAGTATTGGGTTGACCAAAACCTCCGTCTAGTTTTTTTCCATAAAATAAAAGACACATTTTTTTATTTTCACCAATAACTTTATTAATTTGGATATTTGGAGTATGTCAGCTGTCTCCCATGTGGTATAACATTGATCATTCTCAATGAATGTCTCAGTTTGATCTCTATCAACATCAACTGGTCTGTGCGACCGTGGAGCATCATCCAGCGAGAAATCTCCAGCACGAAACATTGCAAACCACTTTTGACACGTCTGATCCATCACGGCACCTTCTCCACACACACACACACACATATATATATATATATATATATATATTTTTTTTTTGCTTTTCAATTGCGTTTTTTTCCTTTCTTGAAATAATTATGCATAATATGCCAAAAATGTTGCTTATTCCATCTTCAGTATTAAAATGGCCACACACAAACTCACACACAAATTCATGTTTCAGATGAAGGTAAAGACATCTAAGCACTGCTAGAGCATCTTAAGGGAAAAAAAAGTGAACAAACCTCTTAGCCAGCCCAATGCATAAGGAAAACTAACGGCTGGCGTACGCAGTTGAGAGAGGACAGGCCAGCCCCGTGACAGGGAGTCTGGGGCGCCAGGCGTCCTTGGCTCCCAGTCTGAGGACCTCTGTGCTGATCGGTAGTTTGGAAGCACACGTGAGCGGGGAGGTTGCCCGGGACCCTAACTGCTTTCTCCCACACTTCCGCACCCTGCAATGGCGGGGGTTCCGCGAGCCAGGGTTAAGTGAGAAAGGAAGAGCCGTGAATGCCAGATTTGGGGGCCCTGGAGGCGGGGGCAGGAACATTCATGCCTGTAACTCCTTAAACAGGGAACTCACCTGTTAACAGTTGTACTGGGTCGGGGGGAGAATGGGCTCGAATTGGAAGGGAGAAGCTACGTGAGAGGCTCTCACAGCCACACAGGTGAGAGGGGAGGTGGCTGGGCCTCAGACATTGGTGGAAATAGAGAGGAAACTTGAAAGCGGTTTTGAAGCGGAAATACCAGGCCTGGGATGGAGGGAGTAAAGGCGAGGGAGGAGTTACAACGGCCAAGCGTGTTCAAGTCTGAAACATTTGACGGTATTTTCTCCCTTCTGTTCAACGTGAACCATTTCTGCAAATCGTCCTGATTGAGCTGAGGAAGCCTTGTCCTGTGTTTCAGAGTTCGCCAGCGCACTCCTGCAGGGGACAGTCCACGCGATTCCCAGCCTGCGTCGGCCACAGTAAGTCCCCGGAGAAGAGGAAGACCTGTGACGTCCCTGGGGAGTTTGTGACGTCCATGGAGGGTCACGTGCAGCCTCCGTCGCTGAGGCCCTGCAGGCCGTGAGGGGCGGGGTGTCCAGTCCCTGTGCACCCTGGACGCCGCCGCCCAGCCCCGATGCACCCCAGCACCCCCATCAGCTCCCTCTTCTCCTTCACCAGCCCGGCCGTGAAGAGGCTGCTGGGCTGGAAGCAAGGAGATGAGGAGGAGAAGTGGGCGGAGAAGGCGGTGGACTCGCTGGTGAAGAAGCTGAAGAAGAAGAAGGGGGCCATGGACGAGCTGGAGCGGGCCCTCAGCTGCCCAGGCCAGCCCAGCAAGTGCGTGACCATCCCGCGGTCCCTGGACGGGCGGCTGCAGGTGTCCCACCGCAAGGGCCTGCCACACGTCATCTACTGCCGCGTGTGGCGCTGGCCCGACCTGCAGTCGCACCACGAGCTGAAGGCGCTGGAGTGCTGCGAGTTCCCCTTCGGCTCCAAGCAGAAGGAGGTGTGCATCAACCCCTACCACTACCGCCGCGTGGAGACGCCCGGTGAGTCCCCCGCGCGGCTCGGGGCGGGGTGGAGGGCAGGAGGCAAAGCCCAGCCAGGACCGCCCCCATCACTGAGCGAGGGAGGAGGGGGACGGGAGGGGGCCCCAGGGTTGGCAGGTGCATCCGGGGCAGGGCGTGCCCATTAAGAGACAGCTCTGCCCAAGTGGACAGGCCTTGGTGGGACCGGAACTCCACAGACAGGATCAGCGCCCTCATCAATTTAAGAGGCCGCTGGAGGACACAGTGAGGGTGCCATTAGAGGACAGGGGTCTGCAGCCCAGAGCAGGGCCCTCACTAAGGCCCGGCCAGGCCGTCCCCCGCCCTCGGACGCCCCGCCTCCAGCCCTGGGAGGAACCTGCACCTGTTGCTGACAAGCCGCCCAGTCGCGGACTCCCCGTTAGGGTGGCCCGCATGGACGGCGACAGCTGTGTTTTGAGGGAAAGCATTTAAACATAGGATCAGTATGGGTCTAGGGTGACTGAGCCAGTCTGGCCAAGTCACTGGGATGATGGGATCAGTTTTCTTGGCGAATGTTCACTGCCTTTGGTGTTACCCAGATGCTAAGAATACATTTATCAAGCCATTTGTGTCCGTAATAGAAAGCACGTTCCTTCTTTTCTCTGGCGCATCCGCTCTGCGCGCCCTGAGGAGTAGAGGGGCCCGCGCTCAGGGTCCGGGGGTGATGCCCTGTCGCTCCACGGCAGGGACGCGCTGCAGGCCTCTCCCGGGAAGACGGGAGTCACAAGATTATTCAAGACCCTCTCTATCCCGAAAAGGAAAAGGAGTGTTTATTTGAACTTTGTTGACCTTGTGGTGAAGACGCGTTGTTGTTAAGAAGCCCTATGTCATTTCCTGTCCAAGCCTCGCGCTTTCAGACAATTCGGGGGGCAAGTCATCCGTCCCTGCAGGTCGCTAGGACACACAGCAGGACCTTTGGAAGCTCCTTGCCCAGGTCATTTTTCATGGGCACAGTGATGGGCAGCGTCCACCCTGCAACGGGAGGGGCAGTGGGTGCGAACAGGGCCTCTGACGGGCAGCGGTCGCTTGTCCCTGCCCGCGCACCGGTCGTGGTTCAGCCTCCAACACGTTCCACTTGGCCCGGTTGAGGTTGCTTCCTACGTGCAGACCTGAAATCACTGCTTGTTAAAAAGGAGATGAATGTATTGTGGCAGGTAAACGGTAGCCTTTGTGACTGATACCATTGTTGTCTGTTTACTTGAAAACACTGACTTTTTACGGAATTTTTTAACGAATCCTTGCAGGTAGTAACAAATCGATAGCGCAATGAAAAATGGGAGTGACCCCAGCCACCTTTCCATCATTTGTGCTTAGTTCTTTTTCTCCTTCCCTCTGTGATGACTAACGCTTAGAAAAATAACTCTAGGTAATGTGTTTACTTATCTGTTTCCAAATTTATCTCCTGTAGGCAATTTCATTGACGCTAACGTGAAAGATAAGGATTTAGCTGATTTATATCTTCTTCTGCACCTTCCTCTCAGTCCTTAATGTGTATGTTTTGATTGGGAGGTTACGGGGGTTTGTTGTTTTTTTTTTTGTTTTATTTTATTTTGTTTTGCAACTCTGTTGGTTCCCGTTGTGGAATGTGGGGGTAAGAGTTATCCCTCCTTCGAAGAGCGCCGGTCCATTGCCTCCTGGCACCCGGCACTGGCCACGGGAAGCCTTGAGTCAGTTCGAGTCCCATGTCCCTGAAGGTGACTCTGAGGTGCCCCTCTGGGACTTTGAGGATGTCCCACTCGTCCAGACGTTTGACATCCCGTGTGGTGGGATTAGGTCTGGGTCTCTTTTCGTGAACGGGGCTGTGCACCGGGCTTCTCCCGTCTGATGACAGAGATCCTTCTCTGCCGAGGGCAATGCCCTGCGGCTGTTTCTCTGACCGCTCCCCGCTTCCGTTCTCTCCGCGCCTCTGTCGGCGCCGGCGTTGGGCGAGGTCAGAGCTCAGCGGCGCAGAGCACCTTCTCGCTGCCAGGCATTGCGAGGCCGGGCGACGCTGGCCCTTGCGGACTGCATCGATTCCCCGGTGTCTGCATAGAATCAGGATCAAGAAAACGCGTGTTCTTTTTAAAGCATCTAACCCCGTAGGGGACGCACAGAAAGAAGTGAACAGGCTTTATTTCTAAGTTCTCTGTTGCCGCTTGCTGTTTACTTACTCCCTTCTATCATCACCCAGTGTTCATCTTTTCCAAAACACCTTCTGGTTGCCTGTCAATCTTTCTGGTAAGGACAGAGGGAGGTTTTTTTGCGTCAGCAGCGCTACTGAGCCTAAAATCTAGATTGCTCATCTAGATAATGCAGCGTGGTCTGAGGCGGGGGGGGGGGGGGGGGGGGGGGGTGTAGATTTTAGACATCGCTTATGCAGTTATTGCAAGCAACAGAAAGCTATTTTGCCTTCAAAAGAAACCACTTTATGGGCAGAATCAAAGGCAGGCAGGCAGGATTCAATCTGCAGAAGAATTGGGCAGAAGAAGAGGGTAACGGGCGCCTCGCTCCCTGCCGCGGTGGGCGTGAGTCAGTTTGCAGCGCTGGCGTCGCGGCGGTTCTCCGCTGCGCTGTCGCTCACTGTCACCCTCGGCCTAAGATCCAGGCTTCAGGGAGAGAACCGCCGGGCGGCGCGGTGCACGAGCTCGCGCTTTGGGCGGAGAGGGGACCGCAGCTGACAACAGGACGAAGAGCACGGGGAGCGGTGGAGGGGGCTTCTGAAGGGGGCCGTCAGGACGCGGGCGGGCCGGCCGGTGCCCCCCTGCGCGGTGCCCGCGCCCGCGCCCGCTGCTAACCCGCGGCGCTTTCTCCCGCCAGTGCTGCCGCCCGTGCTGGTGCCCAGGCACAGCGAGTACAACCCGCAGCTGAGCCTGCTCGCCCGGTTCCGCAGCGCCTCCCTGCACAGCGAGCCCCTGCTGCCGCACAACGCCACCTACCCCGACTCCTTCCAGCAGCCGCCCTGCGCCGCGGCGCCGCCCTCGCCGGGGCCGCCGTTCCCGCCGTCCCCGTGCGCGGCCAGCTACCCGCAGTCCCCCGGGAGCCCCTCGGAGCCCGACAGCCCCTACGCGCACTCAGGTCAGTGAAAGCCGACGCCCGCGCCGCGCGCCCGCGCAAGGAGCCTCTCTGTGCTCGCGTGCCCCGGCGGCCCCCGGGGGCCTGCGCGACTCCAGGGCGCTCGGGACTGTCCCCGGTGGGAGCTGCCGCCCTGCGGCTGCCGCTGGCTCGGCCCCGGTCTCTGGTTCTTACCCTCCGGAAGCGCTCAGGGACGGAACGGGCTTGAACAGCATCCCCGGGAAGGTCAGGGGGGTTTCCGAAAGGGCTGTCGCCCTAAGATGATCAAAGCCTTCCCTGAGCGCAGCAGGGAGACCAGCGGCGCGGAGGCCTCTCCCAGCAATCCCGGGGAGTCCCTGCTCCGGCCGGCGTGTGGGCAGGGGGAGTCCCCAGCGCCGGCTGGGGGGGCGGGAGGGGCTGGGCGCTGCCCCCCGCCCCCCGAGTCAGCAGATATTTGCTGAATTGAAAAAGCGTGAGGAAGGGAGAGTGCGTACCAAGCGCCTGAGATAGGGCACTTACGAGCACATCTGTAAAGTGGGTATAAATTAGATAGTGTTAGAAAGAACGATGTTAGACCCCAGCTGGGGCTGCTCAGTGGTCTGAGCACCAGCCTGTGAACCAAAGGGCCGCTAGTGCGATGCTGGGTTGCAGGCCGGGTCCCCAGCAGGGGGCACGCAAGAGGCACCCACACATGGATGTTTCTCTCCCTCTTTTTCTCCCTCCCTCCCCCTCTCTAAAAAAAGTAAGTAAATAAAATTTAAAAAAAAAAAAAAAAAAGATGCCCGGCGCCCCCTGGGTGTGAGAAAGTGCTCTCCCGAGGCAAAGCGAGGCCACAGGCATAAACGCAACATGGTGCCGATGCCATGATCCCCCTCGCTTGCTTCATGTCACCCAAAAGGAGAATTAAAGGGTTAGTAAAAATCGTCCTGTCCTCGGATAATTCACCAGCTGTGGGAAGGTAAAGAGGGAGTGGCCCCCTGCCCCCCCACTCTACTGCAGTTCATCTACTTTATGTGCACACCCACTATTTCAGTGTATCACATTGTATCATATCATTGTCTGCGGGGCTGTCTCGGCCAATCCGCTGCCGGTCCTTTTATCTCCTGTGTGTCCAGCAGGCAGCCAAACGGGCAGACCCTGCTCATCGTTAGTTGATGACGCAGGCATTTCGAACCCGGAGGCAGAGCTGGGGTTACAGACACAGATGTGATGGACAGTAACAGCCGAGGCCTTGCCGAGGGCCAGGCCTGGGGCCAGGGTGACTGGCTGCCACGACAGTCTCTCGCCTTCCAGGGGCAGCAGCCGCTGCGAACAGGCGTGAGTGAGCGACAGGGTGTGGCAAAGGCCTTAGCCCTCCAGGCCGGGACTGACCGGGACTTGAAGTCGAGGCCGCGCGGAACTGGAGGAGGTGGGGTCCGCAGGGCTCCGGGGGCGTGAAGGCCGAGCCGGGTGGGACTCCCTCCCATGGTGGGGGAGGCGGCGGAAGTCCCTCCAGAGGCTGAATCCACCGAGAGCCCTAGTTAAGGGATGGGAGGGTGATGATGTCGCAAAGCGGACGTGCACGCGGAGGCCACGGGTGCTGTGGGGACCCCGCACGGGGCCTGTGACCCTGCTCTGGCCAGCCCAGCGAGTGGACGACTTTTCCCGCCCCCGCCCCCCGAGGACGGACCGAGGCCTTGGGGGGGGCCGGCCGCTTCCTCGCGCAGGGATGAGCCCCTCTAATTCCAAAGAGAAGAGTCCTTTTCTGAATGGTGAACAGCAAAACGCCAGCCTGAGTGTTGATCTGTGGATAAATGAGGCCGGAAGGAGTCTCGGCGGCTGAGGAGTTCAGCTCCTCCAACCTTTCAAGCAGCTCCATCGAGAGGCAATCCACGCGGCGTAAGAACTCAACCATTTAAAGCGAGCAGTTCAGTGGTTTTTCATACGTCGTGTTATATTTTTTTTAAGTCGCGATAAAAGGCACATCCCATAACATCGGCCACTTCAGCCGTGTCTGAGCGTGTGATCTGGTGGCATTAAGTGCACTCACTGTGTTATACAGCCTCCCCCCCGAAACTGCGCCGTCGCCCCTGCCTCCCTCCGGCCCCGGGTGACCTCTAACCGCCCCCCCCCAGGATTTTGCCTCGCCTCAGGCGCCACATGCAAGTGAACCGCACAGTGTTTGTCTGCCTGTGTCCAGCTTATTTAACCCGTGCCCCCCTTTTCACAGTGGAGCGATGTTTTTGACTCTGCTCCGTTACATGGAGGTACCACGTTGTAGAAAACCCACTGATTTGGTGTATGGCTCCCCCTCGGCCGCCGGGAATGGCGCTGAATCCCTGCCTCGACTGCTGTGGGGATATGCCGGCAGCAGGGCAGCTGGGCCGCACGGCCGCTCTGCATATGAAGTCCCCTAACTGCATAGGTGGACGGACCCCAGGGCCTGCAGAAGGGCCCCCAGGCCTTACAGCTTTTCACGGGGGACAGAGCTCGTTTTCTCAAAGGGAAGTGCCTTATCCACCGTTCGGCGTGTGGCGCGGAGACCACCGGCGGGGCCTGGAGAAACGCCCATGGCCACGGCCCAGCCCTGCTCTGTAGGTGCAAGATGCCGGGCAGCCGGGCCAGGAATCTGCATCTTTAACAAGTTCCGCTGGTGATTTTTTAAAAAGATTTTGCTTCTTTATTTTGAGAGAGAGAGGGAAACATCCATGTGTGGGTGCTTCTCCTGCCCCCCCTATGGGGGACCTGGCCTGCCACACAGGCACACGTCTTGACCGGGAATCGAACCAGCGACCCTTTGGTTGGCAAGCCGGTGCTCAATCTGCTGAGCTATGCCAGCCGGCGATAGTTAGGCACCCGTGAGTCTGAGTGCCACTTAAGTGGACAATTCCACAGAGGCAGACGGATTCAGATTTTCAGGCCATTGGACTCTCCACTCACGGAAGGAGACCGTTCTGAACCGATGCTGGGAGCGAATACAGATAGAGCCAGCTATTCCGAGCTCCTCGCTTCAGAGCTTCCCTTCTGCCTCAGCGGTTGTTACTGTGTGAGGGACTGATTTCCGATAAGACATCACCATTTTCCTAACGGTGATCCCTGTCCACTCCGGAGCTGCTGTTCCGGCGGGGGAAGCGCCCGGTCGGCGCGCCGGGGGCTCGGTCCCCATCGGGGGCAGACATGCACTGTCTCAGACACGGGACACCGCCGTCCACGGCAGCAGAGGGACGGAAGGGAGGCTCACGTCAAAGAAGGTTTGTCTTTCCCTGTTTTGGAAGCCGGATAACAGGCTCTTCTGCCCCTGTCGGACGCGGGGAGGCAGCTCCTGGGTCAGAGAGTCTCACGGAGCCGTTTGCACTCGGCGGTAACTCCTGAGCCAGAGGGAAAGCGGACCAGCCCTCTGGCGAGGAGTTAGAGCTGCGCCGCGGCCAGCGGGACACTCGCAGTAACCCTTCCTGATCAGTAGCCTCCTCCCGGGCGGGTCTCCCTGTAGCAAAAGCGCTGTCCACCGAGCGTGGCGCTGAGCGGCCGGGGAGGTGGGGTCAGGTTGTCCTTGTTAGTCGATCAGTTTGACATTTTGGGGTTTCGCGGCTTGCTCTTGGTCGTCACCCCACCTGCGCCTCGTCACACCCCGGGAGCCCTGGGGACCCAGAGCGGCCGACCGTAGGTGCCACAGCTGGTGGTCATTTAGCGCGATCGGCGCCCAGCAGAGGCAAGTGGGCGGGCCCCCAGCTGTTGCCAAGGGTGCTTCCTAGTCCCCAAAATAAAGCAAATCAAAACCAAACCAAGGCCAAGGGGGCCGGCCCGCTGTTCGGCAAGCGTTGGACGGGGCGGAGAGCCTGCATGCACGTTTCAACGTAGCCTTCCGCGGCACACGGATGCGTGTGTTTATCGTCCTGTTTACCAGGACACGGTGACTTTTTATTTTAACCCAACATTTAGAGCTGCCGCTCGCAGTGTCTGGTACGGAACGGGGTGTTTCAGACGCCGACGACGGGGTCCCATTTCTGCTCTCACTGTAGATCGGCAGTGGTGTCTCAGGGGAGCGCTCGCAGACATGGGTGTCCGTAGGGTGTTTACAAAGTGCCGTTTGTGTCTGACTTCAGGCGAGAAAAATGTCGCTCCGCTGTACGTTCACACAGAGCCTGTGGCGATCTTGGGGGGACGCAGGCTTGGATCCCCAGGTCTGGGGCGGGGCCGAGGAACCTGCACCCCTAAGAGGCTCCCCGGGACGCCGGCCTGCGGCCCCGGAACCCCACCGAGCTCGCCACTGAGAGCTTCCCAGAGTGAACTTTTTTATGAGCTCAGGACCTCTTGTACGTTAGATAATCCCTAAGTTATCCGTTTTATAAATCTGCATTGCGCGCATAAAGGAACACACTCTAGACACAAGAACGTCAAGGATGTTCAAAGCAAAGGAAGATTATGCCATCGGTAGAAAGGCAGAGTGTGGGGGACAGAGAAGGAAGGAACTCTGAGCTTTTGCCTGGCGATGAAACTGAAAACTCGGGGGTGAAAATGGAACATCCTTGGATTCCCTAATGAAATACACAGCTCCCTTCAAAGTATTTTTGTGTCACAAGTAACTAAGTGTTCCATGTGTACCCTGAAGAAAGCGTGAGGTTATTGAGGGCCAGTTTTCTTTCTTTCTTTCTTTCTTAAATAATTTGAAGTCCTTCCCGATGTTTCTGATTTGGTTTTTGTCCCATCCAAACGACCGCATTCCGTCTTGAGTTGGTGAGAAGGCGGCGTCTCGGCCGCGGGGGCACGCGGTCTGCACGCGTGACAGCGCCGCGCCGTCTGTCGCCCGTGGGGACGCGGTGGCTGCCCGCCTCCTTCTGGCTGTGGACGCGCCGACGGCCAGGCCGCTTTGCCCCCTCGACGCCCGTAACTGTGTGTGCAAACGCTCTGACCGCAGGACAGGCCCCGCCCGTGGCCCCTGCCGCAAGGATGTCGCCAGGTAAGCGCGCCCCAAACAGTCTCCCTGAAAGTGACAGGCGCGGAATGACTGGGAGGCAGCTCCCGCGGCCCTGCAGCCACCTGCCCGCCTAGCAGCGCGGGTCCGCCCGCCCCCCCGCCCGACAGACGGAGCCGGAGCTGGAGCCGGGGCCCGGGGTGCGGGGCGCAGGGCGGGGAAGCTGACGCCCCGGCCCTTCCCTCCCAGACTTCCGGCCCGTCTGCTACGAGGAGCCGCAGCACTGGTGCTCCGTCGCCTACTACGAGCTGAACAACCGCGTCGGGGAGACGTTCCAGGCCGCCTCCCGGAGCGTGCTCATCGACGGGTTCACCGACCCCTCCCACAGCCGCAGCCGCTTCTGCCTCGGCCTGCTCTCCAATGTGAACAGGAACTCCACCATCGAGAACACCCGGAGGCACATAGGAAAGGGTAACCGACACGCGCCGCGTCCTCCCCGCTCTGCTGGGCTGCGCCCGCGGGCAGGACAAGCCCCGCGGTGGCCTTAACCCGGGGGCGGGGGCGGGGGGCGGCCGGGGCTGGGGTGCCGTCTTCCGCGGGGTGGGGGGGGGTTGAGGGTGCGTGTGAGGAAGGCAGACAAGATGACAGATGGGAATGCGGGATGAAATTGCTGAAGGAAAGGACTGCGAATTACTTCTGAGTTACCCAAAGATGCGAAAGAAGATGCCTTGGGAAGGAGGAGAGTTCTGGCTGGCTGGTGACTCACAGGAGGCGAAGGTGGCCGTGGAGACCTGGAAGCTGGGGGGTCAGACGTCCTGACTCATTTATGAGCGGAAGTGACTCGGGTTCCCGGCTCCCAGGCAGTGCTCTTGGGGTGGCCGAAGAGTCCGCGACGTTTTTTCTGTGCCCTGGCTCTAGTAGCGCTTGGTTGTCTTTAACTTCATTTGAAACGATTGTGTTAGATGGTGCTGTGACGGCTGTCGTTTCAGCGGGCATTTAAAAAAAACGTATCAAATCGGTGAATTTTTGTGCAGCCATTTGAATATCAAAGATGAAAGTAGATATGCACCATTTTTGGTATATTATGATCTATTATTTCAAGAAAGGTAAAAATGCAACTGAAGCGCAAAAAAAGATGTGCGCAGCGTATGGAGAAGGTGCTGTGACTGATCCAACGTGTCCGAAGTGGTTCGCAAAGTTTTGATACTACTGACACTTTGGCCAAACAATGCCATGCTGCGGGGCTGCCTTAGGCATCGGAAGATGTTCAGCAGCGCCCCTGGCCTCTCCCCACTAGAAGCCAATAGCGGGAGACCGACCGCATACTCAAAATACCCAAATCAATACAGTTATTGGTGAAAATGAAAAACATGTCTTTTATTTCACGGAAAAAAACCAAGCGCACTTTTCGGCCGCCCAACACAACAGCCCGGGCACTGACGTCGGTGGGCCTGGCCCGGGAGGCCGCCCTCCCCCGCAGGCTGGGCTGTGGCGAGTCCCCGCTGACTCAGGTTGTCGTTTCTTTTGAAGCGGGTGTCACGTATACACCTAAGGAACATTTTCCACGGTGTTGCCTGGTCCTGTTTACATTTTGTTATGTAGACACGTACCCGAAGGACGAATCAGTGCTTTCTGCACCCTATACCCACTTTGTGTCTCATGTGCGTGCTCACTGCTAGAGCGAACGCAGGTGACGGAAGGAGCTGTCCGCGTGGCATGGCCGACTCGCTCGTGCTTGGCAGCGGCTGTAAACGTGGTGGCAGTCGGCTGATAAATGGGCCCATGGAAAAGACACAGATTATCATAAAGCCAGATGGCATCTGGGCCACGGGCTCCCTCGTCCGTGGCTGACGGGGTGAAAACCAGCCTCAGCGCCGACAGGCAGCCGCCCTGCTGAGGTGCCAGAGGTCCCCCGGGCGCACGGGAGGGGACGGGTGTGGTGCACATGCAACCGCAGTGCGGGTGTTGGGGACTGTCTCCCCTCGCAGGTGTGCACTTGTACTACGTCGGGGGCGAGGTCTACGCGGAGTGCGTGAGCGACAGCAGCATCTTCGTCCAGAGCCGGAACTGCAACTACCAGCACGGCTTCCACCCAGCCACCGTCTGCAAGATCCCCAGCGGCTGCAGCCTCAAGATCTTCAACAACCAGCTCTTCGCCCAGCTGCTCGCTCAGTCGGTCCACCACGGGTTTGAGGTCGTCTACGAGTTAACGAAGATGTGCACCATCCGCATGAGCTTTGTGAAGGTGAGCGGCGCTTGCTCGGCGCTGGGAGGTGGACCTTGTGGGGCACACAGGGCTCTCTCCGGTTGGTCGGCCCTTCGACAGCCAGTTCAAGCAGACGGCGGGCTTGCTGGAAGTCTACTTAATGTATTTTAGGGGTGCTCCGCTAGGGGTGTGATCGCTCGTATCTAGCCATTATAGGAAAATTCTTAAGCATGATATTGTCTCTCTTTTTTAGCAATTATAAGAGAATTCTTCAGCATAATATTTTTTGGGGGGAAACAACTTAAGGCACAACAGTTAGGAGATATTTTTCATGGAGAAGATAAAGTGACAATAATACTTTTTTAAATTCCCACCTGAGGACATATATGTATATTGATTTGAGAGAAAGGGGAAGGCAGAGGAGAGAGAGAGAGAGAAACATCTATGAGTCACCTCCCACCCACATCTTGGCTGGGGACCAAACCGGCAACCTAGGCTTGTGCCCTGACCGGGGATTGAACCCCCAACCTTTCAGTGCAGGGGTTGATGCTCCGACCGACTGAGCCACCCAGCTGGGTGACAATACTACTTCTCTAGGGCTCTATAGGACTCAGTGGTACAGGGATTTTTCCATCCTTCAAATCGCCAGGCATGATTGTAACTTAATGAATGATGATGAATTTGCCTAAATGAAATTAGAGACCCTTCTAACTCTTAGAAACTATGCAGGCAAGTGGAGGAGGTCATATTTATAAATAAGCTGGAAAACAGAACTGCCTCTATTACAAGGCACCCTAAATTAAGTGCCTTTAAAACAGCGTCCCTGAGACAGAAGCGTTATGGTGGGCGTGGGTAGTTCAGAGAGAGCAGCAACGCTTCGCCCGTGAGTATCTGTTGACTTTCTCAGGCGAGGGCTTACCGCAGTGGATGCGAAGGCAGGAGAGCTGAGGGAGGTGCCGCTGGATTTGCACCCTGCAGCTAAAGGCCTCCGTTTCGTCACCTGCTCTCTCATTTCTTGCAAAGGGATGGCAAATAATTCTACTATTTCAGAGTCTTAGCTTGTTTGTCGCATGGCCTGGGTGCATTTGTTACCAAAGTGGGATCTGCCACCTGCTGCGGCACTGAAGTGTAACACAAAAATCGGTGGGGAAGGAGCAAGGTCTTTGTTAAACGGTTGCGAGCGTAGGGGGACTGGGGACTCTCCACGTCCACCTCTTCGGCAAAACGCGGAAAGCCGCCACCCCAGGACACCCCGCTCTGTTCTTTTCCGTCCTTGTGGGGCCCAAGGCTGTCACACGAGTGGGGCTCTGTGTCTTGACCTCTGTCCCCCTGGAGCGCACACTTGGAGAGTCCGCGTCGTCACTGCCCCACGCAGCCTCCTCCGTCTCCCGGGCCCGGGTGCACCGCCGATCGCTGCGTCCGTCCACGGGCCCCCAGGGCCCAGGGCTGCTCGCTGCCCTGGGCCGGCAAACACTCCCGGCGCCCCCGTCTGGCCTCCCATCTGGACGCTGCTGTCAGGACGAGAGAATGGGAGTGGCCGGGGACCCTGCCGTGCGCCCTGGAGCCGCAGTGACTTGCAGCCACGCGGCCCAGCCCCTGACCGGGCGAGCCGGGGGAACACGGAAGGGATCGGCTCCCGCATGCGCTCTGTTTAACTGTCCTGCCCCAACATCTCACGCAAGGTGGCCGTGTCCCAATTCCCGGCCAGTCTGGGCGGGCGCGCACCGCGCTTCTCGGTCTGCGCGGCCGCCCGCGCGCCTCCAGCCGCGACGCAGAGGCACGTAGGGGCGGGGCATCGTGTGCTGGTTCCTTAACCCCCACCCGGGGCGTGGAGCCATGCGCAGCTTCCGTGGCTTCAATCCCCAGCCTAGGGGTCGCTGCCGCCCGTTCCTCCCGGTAAGGAGTGCGGCCTCTCGCGCCGCCTTGGGGAGCCCTCCCCGCTCCCGGCGATCGGGCCACCACGTCGCCCCTGTTACACAGCGATACCGTTTCCCCACGGCCACGCATCCATCCAAGGAATCAGCATGGCTTGTTCTAGGTTTTTTTCCCAAAGTAAAATGTATCAGGCCTTTAAAATTACCCTGGAAAAGTAATCGTCCTGTTTTTCTAACCTCAAGTTATTTTTTTTTATATTTTTAATTTTAGTATTTAAAAAAAATTAGAATCGAGGATACAATTTCCGATTTTAAGAATGGCTTCTTGAAACCATGTCTCTTTCATGAGGGCAGAGCAGTTTTATCCAGCTTTACTGGTGCTGTGAAGAGCGTTTTTACTTTAGAAAACAAGGAAATCCCTGTGTCTGCGAGTGTTTTCAGAGGTTCTGCTTTGGAACCAGCAGAGGGCGTTGCATCGCCATGAACCCCCAATCACTGGGCTTGTACGGTTGTTTATCCAGGGCTTTTTTGTAATTAGGATGAAATGCCAATACCTCAGAGGTAGCTATTTCACTATTATATATACTTGCACAGAACCTGATTTTCTTAAAATCGACTAGTTGTTTATCAGATACACAACAATTTAAATCGTCATGCTGCACAATTCACAGAAAACAAACTATTCCTAATATGGCAGGGACTTAAAAAAAAAACACATTAGCAAATATAATTACAGATGATCAGTTTAAAAGCTCTCATTACATTAAAAAAAGGTAACTATGGGAGGTGATGGATCTTCACTAAAATTACTGTGGTAATCACTTGGCAATATATGCATATACCAGACCATTACATTCTACACCTGAAACTGATACAATGTTATGTATCAATTATATTTCAATAAAGATAGGGGGAGAAAGACTCAGTACAAATAAAAGGAAACTATTTCATGAATAATTTCATATTTATTATATGTTGGTACAATAATATTTTGGATATATTTGGCAGAGTAAAACACATTATTAGACTTTTTAAAACATAAAAGTAAGGTAAATTATAGGTGGCAGATGGACTAGGTCATCCTCACGGTCTCTTTCAGTTGACAGGACCGTTGTCCCGTACACTGAAAGTTTTCGGGTTCGATTCCGGTCAGAGCACACGCCTAGGGTTTGGGTCCGATTCCTTGTCGGGGTTCCTGTCGGAGGCCACGGACGGTTGTTTCTCTCACATCGATGCCTCTCTCTCCCCATCTCTCTCTTCCCCCCCTCTCTAAAAACTCAATAAACACATCCTCGGATGAGGAATAAAATAAAGTAAAATGTAGATCTTGGAGAACAGAAGGAATGAGCAAAGAAAGCTGAGAAAGCGCACGCGCGAAGCGGACCGTCCTTTGTGAGCCAAAGGGGAGGCTAAGCAAGCCCTGCCGGTGCGGGGTGCGGGGGGGGGGGGCGGGGGGTGGGGGGGGGCGCGGTGGGGTGCGGTGGCGGGCGACGGAGGCCGGGCCCGCCGTCTGAGCCACAGAGAGGCCTTTTTAATCTTGAAGGGACAATTTTGTTGGGGGCCGGGGTGACGTGCTCATCAGAATGGACCGGAGAGAGAGGAGGAGGAGGAGAGGAAGGAGGCAGCCAGTGCGGAGGCCTCGTGGGCGGTTTTCACTGGAAAGGGGACCAGAGGCGCAGGAGGGCAGTGGGGGGGGGGGGAGGCGAGAGGAGTGTGTCGCAGATGGGAGGGGTCCCAGCATGTCCGTCTGTCCATCTGTCCATGGGTGGGGATGATCCAGGAGAAAGAGCCGGATCGCAGGAGAGAGCGGGGAGAGGTCCTGGAATGCTGTCCCCAGAGGGTGTTTGTCTTTGCGCCAGCGGCAGGCCTGGCTTAGGTGGGGACACGGATCGTCCACGGTGAGAGGTAGGAGGGCCAGGTCCGCGGGCGCCGGCGCTGTGGAAGGTCTGTTCCGATCGCTTCGTTTCTCATTGAATTAGGAAAGGGAAGAACCTGTCGTGAGCGGGCGGGGGGTGCCCGGCGGTCATCTGGGGCCTGGGGGTGCACAGATGGAGGGTGAAAGACCCGGGGTGTGGGCTCTGGTGTCCGGGTGGCATCCAAGGTCTGCTGGGAGTTTCCCATGGCAACCGTAGTGTGATCAGGCAGCCTGGTGTTCGGAATCCAACTTCTAAATTACTCGACAGAGAATCGGTTTTCCCAGTGACAAACCCAATGTGCCTGACTGCCTCTCTCTTCCTTTTAATAATAACCCTTCCTTGAGTATAACATATAGAGGAAAATATACAAACTTTCTATCTATCTATGTATGTACTTATTTATTGGCTGCCTCTCCTATGAGTGGGAGTAAATAGGAACTCGCCAAAAGTGAACGAGACAGAGAGAAGCAAGCTAGCTTTGAATAATCTTGAATAACCAAGAACACCCTCTAGCTCCCTCTTTACCACTTCCCGATCCATCACTGGCCTGTGGGTGCCATTTTGTTCAGTGGTGTCAGCCTCAGGGGTCGGGGTCCCCTTGCGGAAGGGAAGCCTGTGTGCCCGTAGCTCCCAGCACGCTCCTCGGTCTGCGTACTCAGCTGTGAACCAAGCAAAGGTGCTGACCTAGGACCCCTCTCGGGGGCGCCCCCCATCTGGTTGGTGCAGAAGTCGCCCCGGACCCCCAGGGAGGGGGGGCCGTGTCCCCTCAGGTCTCAGGAGCGGCGGGGGGGAGGGTGGGGTGTCCACGGAGCCCCACCTGGCCCCCACGGGGGACTGCCAAGCCTGACCGGCCGCCCTTGCCTTCCAGGGTTGGGGCGCCGAGTACCACCGCCAGGACGTCACCAGCACGCCCTGCTGGGTCGAGATCCACCTCCACGGGCCGCTGCAGTGGCTGGACAAGGTGCTGACCCAGATGGGCTCGCCCCATAACCCCATCTCCTCGGTGTCCTAGTGGGCGGCCCCCACCGCGCTCCCGCGGAGCAGGGCAGGAGCTGCTGGAGGCCGGGGCTGCCGTCGGCCCCGACCGGCGACTGGCGAGGGCCCGAGGACGCGTGTAAATAGACACACGATGTACACCGTTCACCGACTTCACCGCCGATCGCCTCAGGCGCCCGCGAACCGGGCGCCAGCACAGCGCGGCTGGAGACGGGGTTCCTCCCTCCGGCGACGCCGGGGTTTGCGCTCCCGGCGCAACACAGCGTGCGGGCGGCCAGAGAGACACGGAGACCGTCTCCGCAGCGAGAGCCGGGTCCTGGCAGCGCCAGAGCAGGTGACCCTTTCAGACAAAATCAAGTAAGCTCATATCGTTTAAATGCTCTCCCTTTTAGCGCCATTAGCAGGAGAAAAAGTCAAGCTACTGCGGTCAGTTCCACGAGACAAGCCACGCACGCTTTACTCCTGAGGGCGAAATGCTTAGAGCTGGACAATGGTGCCGACCCCAACGACTCATTTTAAACCAGCGTAAACTGGGACTGGGAAAGACAGAGACTGTGAAGTGGGGTCATGTTGCCCCCGATCTACCACCGAGAAAACAAGCGAAGAGTCCAGTGTGCCCAGGTGAACACGGAAGCAGCAGGAAAGGAGCTCTCTTCCCACACTGCAAGGTGAGACCCGCCGGCCTGGGTCCCGGAGCCGCCCCGGGAGCTGCCTGCAGCTTCGGGTCCGCACGGGGCGCGCGCGGCGGGTGGGGGTCCTGCGTGAGGACGAAGCCGGGGAAGCCGGAGGCGGGGGGTGGACAGAAGCGCCGTACGTTCCTCCCACCTTCTCACATTGCGGCATGGCCAGTCCTCGGCGAGGGTCCGCCCTTGGCCATAGGTTCCTCGCCTGTTAGCAAATGTTAACTACTTCCAGGTCACTCAAGCGATGGCAAAGACTTTGGAGGCAATCAAGGCACATGGCTGGGATCCAATTTATGAATTATTTAACTCAGTGTCTCTGTAGGATAAATGATCTACTGCTCACGTCTGGTAGCCTCCTCGTATAAAGCTCACGGCTCATACCGGGAAATCACTTCCCAAGTAAAGTGATAATACTTTTATAACCTCTGTAATTTCTGGGGAACAGTGGTACTGAATAGTAGGACATTTTAAAAATGCACGCTATGAAAAACATGTTCCTATTTGCCCTTGGACTGTCAGGTGGAACTGTCCCCAAGTTTCTAGGTACTCTCGTGTAGGCATATGTATTATAGGTCCTGCCCATTAAACACTGCGTTGCTTGGGACACTATTTCACACCCTCTTAGAAATGTGCAATTTAAGAAGGTAACGTGCCAGTAACAGGTGGTACTTCCGCAATCCAAGAGGTCTCTTCCCTTACGCATCGTGTCTCACCTCGGCCCGGCGTTAGTGTGCACAGCAGTTGCTTCTCGCTCCCTCGTATTCCAGGTAGAAACGATCGTGTGAAAAGATACTATGAGTACTAGTCCGTGTTACCCGCTAGCAGCTTTCCTCTAGGCGATAGGAAATTGTGCATTTCACAGGAAGACTGGGCGGCCCATGTGGTGCTTAGAAAGCCCCGAAGTTCATCGGTTCATCCGCTGTGGACGGCGCGCCTCTGTGCGCCAGGTACGGCGTGAGGGGCCGTGGAATCAGATGCCAACGGGGGGCAGCCCCCGCCGCTGGGGGCTCGGAGTCCGATGGCGACTCTCTGGGTGGGGACGTCTCCGTGTTTCAGAGCTGGCAAAGCAAACAAAATACGCCCTCTTTCTTTAGCTTAAAAAGTGTACGTGATGTCTTAATTACCGCTGATTTGAAACTTGCTCCCCTCCGCTTCCGAGCAAGCAGGTCACGGGCGGAGCCTTCCTCGGTAGGGGCCCCTGTCCTTCCGTGTCCCAGCGCTGTCCTCCTCTGGCCCGTGCTCCTACGTCCCCGTGACCTTCCGTGCCCCCGGTCCTTGGAAGGGGCTTGACCGTGGTGAGGAGTCCTCCGACGAGGGCCGCCCCGTGGCAGCGCGGCAGGTGCGGTGGCGTTTGGTCCGGAGAGCGACCCCGGCCCTCTTGGCGGAAAGTATCCTCTGCTGATGGTACCTTTACAGAATTCACCAGGACTGGCTGCTTACAAATGGCATTTTAAAAACTCTGATTTTCACACAGCTTTGGGACACCGGGACAAAATATTCCAGCGAACTTGAGTTTTAGGTGTTGGAAAAGTAAACGATTAAAACGGTACACGGGCCTCGCGGTCGGCTGCGTCCCCCCAGAAGCCTGTACAGGGGTCCGGGCGAAGGTCCGAGGGTTCAGAGTGGACGGCAGTTAGTCCTCAGCCACTGTAACACAGTCACATTGTAATCAGCCTTTTTTTTTTTATTATCATTATTACTATTTTTACTGGTAAAAGTGGTCAGAAGCTGTAACGCACTCTTTGATTTTAGACTTAGAAATGGGCTCATTCGCATTCATTCCTTGAAGGAGACAATCCAGAAAAATGTCATTGGCCCTTTTCTAGGGCAGCCAGCCAGGTGGCCTCAGGCGAAGCCAGTCCACGCCTCCACGGCGCGGACCGTGCTCAGGGCGCCGTGGGCGCGCGTGTGCAGCAGCGAATGAAGGCGCTCGGCCACGAGACCCAGGGCGTTCATCCTGAGGTTCCAGCCTGGTTTGGTTTGTTTTTCCTTGTTTAAAAAAGAGAGAGAGAGAGAGAGGTGAAAACTACTAGGTAGGGGGTATTGTAACACCCACCAGTGCTCTGGAACTATAAAGGTGTCACTGTTTAACACACTGACTTTGTTTTATTTTTTTACACTCAGTATAAGTCAGAAAAAAACTGGGCCGCAGTGTAGCATTTAGAATCCCGTTTCATTGTCTTCTAAGGAACTGAATACCCCAAACAACAACACAATCATTTTATAAGTATCACTTGCTAGACTTTACACGTACCTGCTTGACTTCAGTGTGTCCTGAATATCTGGTATGTATATTTAGTAAATAAAGCAAAATATACTACGCATTCCAAATTTCGTCTTTCCCTGTTAGGATTTAACAGCCAAACTGTATGACAAGACTGGGGGGTTCTGGCATATGTTAAGGATACGTTCAATTTAATGTTAAAAAAACAAGCTATGGTCCTTCTTTTGAGTCACGTTTTTGATTGTAATATCTAGGTTTCAACTATCCTTCAAATGTGCACTTGTACTGTTACCTGATTGTTTATAATAAAGAATCCCGCACCTGCGTGCCGCGGCTCACCTTCCCTGTCCCACCGTCCATGGGTCCTTAGGATGGTTTTAAACTGCCTCACTGTGAAAACGCAATGCTTTGAAAGTCCAATACGCTACAGGCAATGGTTTTTAAAAGTGTAACTTCTGGGGATGGTCGGCATTACATACAGAAGCTGAAGATACTTGGCCATTATTTTAAAGAGGATGGGCATAGCAGCTTTTTCCCTGAATAGCAGCGAACAGTGAGCGATGCTGCAGCAGACAGGAAGGCGCGAACCACTGCATTATCGTGAGCGTCGCGCGTATTAGCTGTTCGAAAGGTGCTCGTGAGAGGAGACTAAGGGCGGGTGCAGGAGGGTCTCTGAAAATGTCAATTCTCCGTTTCCTCCCTTTAAATTTCCTTTTGGTCCTAAAATAAAGGGGGGGGGGTTGTAACTATGTTGTGAAAACAGCCTTTTTATTAACTTGATCAAGGTTTTCTTTAAAAATACAAAAAGAAAGGGAGCCCTTTATTCAAGAGAAATAGATTGTGGAGTTCCAAAATTCCAGCCAGTGAAAGACAGCACCCCCGGCTCAGCCAGGTGCAGGCGGGGGTTCAGGGAGGCCCGGGTCCCGCTGTGGGCTTCCGCTGGGCAGAGGCCGAGGCCCCCTGGCACCTCCCCTGGTCCCGGCCCCCATTTTTGCATCTAGTATGCGTTATTGGCATTTCAAACACTAACAAGTAGAGCTTTTTAATATATCATGGCATAGACATCAAACAGCGATTTGCAATTATTTCACTTCATGGCACATATAAACTGTAAAACTTGCAGCCCACCAAAAAGACTTTTTTTGCCGATCTGACCAAAAAAAAAAAAAAAAAGTCAGTATCATTTTGCTTCCTTCACACCGGACAGCTATCCTTGTGTTGGCTGTTGTCATTTTTTTCTTTGACCATCGAGGGAAAAGTCGGTGCCCCGGACTGAGTAGTCAGGTGTTGCACCTTTCAGAAACTTGAGCGCGTGGGTTGAAAGGCGCCGGCTTAAGATGTTGTCCTTAAACGGGCGTCCCTGGGAGGGCGGAGCATTCGCCTCCCCCGCAACTCCCACGCTGCCTGGTCAGGCGCCCCGCCCCGTGGGCCAGCGGCCCCAGGTGGGCGCTGCGGACGACGACGGTGCCACGCGGCTCCTGCCCGCGCGAAGCTGCCGGGCCTGGGGGAGCAGGAACCAGTGAAGCCATACAGGTCAGTGTGCTGGCGGCCTGCAGGCTTCCGCGCACCGCGGGATGGATGGCACCTCCGTCAGGCCCTGGGCGGGCCCCAGGGAGGTGCTGGGCGGACCCCCCGCCCTCCCTTCGCAAACATCCCGCCCAAGGTGCGGGGCCCGCTCTCTGCTCAGCCTCCGCCACCAGCTCTCTCACCACATCGCTGGTGGGACCGGCTCTCTGCCAGGCCCAGGTTCCTTGCGGGTGAGGGCTGTGTGTGCGTGTACAGCTGTCGTCTGTTTAGAAAGGCGTTGCCTCCCCGGCTGGTGGGACTCAGTGGATTGAGTGCCCGCCTTCGAACCAAAGGCTCACTTGTTCGATTCCCAGCCAGGGCACAGGCCTGGGTTGCAGACCAGCTCCCCAGCAGGGGGTGCGCAAGAGACACCCACACAGGGATGTTTCCATCTCTTTCTCCCTTCCCTTCTGTCTAAAAATGAATACAATCTTAAAAAAAAAAAAAAAAGACAGGCATTGGGTTCACACTGTAAAGGAAGACGTGGTATTTGTTTCCAATTCTCCTTTTTAAAAATCAAGTATTTAACCCCTCCTCTTCAAAATACAAACAACTGCACATCTCAAAGTGCATGTCCAGGGAGCGGGAACAAGAGAAGCCATCGTGTGATTCAGTTGGTAAATGCAGCGGCCCTTGAGCAACACAGGTTAGGGGCGCCGAGCCCCCCATGCAGCCGAAAATCCACGCGTCAGCCAGTGCCCCCTCCCCATAAATTCAATAGATGGGGGGGTGGAGAGGAAATCACAGGGCGGTGACGGCAGCCTCAAGGCAGAGCGAGAAAAGGTCTGTACTTGTACCCTGATCTATGGTCGGGCACTGTAACGCGACAAGGACCCTTGCCCAGCACCCGGACTGCCTGCGAACCCCCCCGCGCCTGCGCAGCTGCAGGCGGGCCCCAGGCAAGGAGCCGAGCCGCGCGGGAGGACGGGACGTCGGGCGCGCAGTGGCCTGGGGCGCGGGTGGACTGGGACAGCGGCTCCCTCGGCCCCCTAGGGCGTCCCGGCCGGGGAGGCGCGGCGGTGGCGGCCGTGGCTCGCGGGGCTGAGTCCTGAGACCGGGCCTTGCCTGTCCGTCCCTGCGCGTCCCAGCAGAGCTATGCCCGTGCCACCCCCTCACCCCCACACACACCGCGCAGGGCGTGCAGGCTGGACGCACGTGGGTCACGGAGGGGACACCCCGCGCTCCCAAGTGGCATTTTCCTCCGCGGGAGCCAAGCCCCGCCCCCAGGACCCGGGGGCAGAAAGGGCCGGGCTGGGAGAAGCAGCCCTTGGGCTCTGGCTCCACCTCCTGCAACACCGAAGGAGCCCCGCTGCCGGTTCGCGGAATTGCTGAGCAAAGTGGCCTCTAAGCAAGACCCACCGGCTCAAAGGTGCAGGCAAAGAAGCCGTCCATCCGCCGGGACGGGAGCAGCCCGGGGAACGGGCAACACAGAAAGGCAACGACAGGGCTCCAGGAACGAAACCCAAAGTCGCGCAAGACCGCGACTTCAGTGAGAATTGGAGATCATAGTTACGAAGAAACTCAATGAGATTCCAGAAAACTGAGTGAAAAAGGCAGTTCAGTGAGCTCGGGAAGCAACTGGTGAACAAAGTGATTATTTTTCCAAAGATAAAAAAGGACCGAAGGGAAACCCGGGAGCTGAAGCGCTTGGCGAGCGAGGCGAGGGACGCGGTAGGGGGCGCCGGCGCGGAGCCGCCCGGAGGCGGAGGGAGCGCGGCGGGCGCGGCGGAAGCGGGGCCGGAGGGGGCGTTACCCCTGGAGAGGGCGCTGGGACAGCCGTCCCGCTGCGTCAGGAAGAGCAGCCCAGCCCGGCCGCTGAGGCTCGGCGGGTGGGCGGCGTCCTGCAAACCGGAAGGTCGCTGGTTCTCCCCGGCAGGGCGCAGGCCTGGGTCGCGGGTTCGGTCTCTGGTTGAGAGCGCGCTGTGTTTCTCCCTTTCTCTTTTTCCCTCCCTTGCCCTTTCTCTAAAAATAAAGTAAATAACATTAAAAAAAAAAAAAAAAAGAAAGAGCAACCTAAGACTAATGGGTATATCAGAAGGATAAGAGAAGAGGGGAACAGAGAGGCCATGCAAAGTGTGTGTACGTGTATGTGTGTTTTCGTATAAAATTCGCGAGTGTGGGAAACAGGAGGAATGGCCGCGACCGACAGCCCGGGGCTGGGCAGGGCGCGGGGCCTGGGAGGGTGGGACAGCCACACGGGAACAAAAGCGGGGACCCTAGCGAAAACCCCTCCGCATCTAGAAAAGGGTTACCTCGGTATATTTATATGCAGTTATGTGTGTGTGCGCTTACAGGAAGTTTAAAAATATAGCATCTACCGCAGTGCTTGCTGTGCTCAGAAACTATACACTTGAAAGTGTTAGCGCCCGCTTTGGCAACAAAGTTACACTATAGAAAAAGCATCGTTTATGGGGACGGAAGTCTTAGGTTCAAGCCTTGGCTCCGCCTCTACCGGTAACAGCTGTGTATAAACCGCTTCACTCATCCAAAATTAAGGACACTAACACCTGCCTCGCCATGTTTTCAGGCTCAAGGGAATTAGCCCTTTGTGAAAGTACTTCCAAAAGTAACATTATTGTTGGTTTAAATAAAATTTGTCCGTTAAAACATTCCAAAAGTCCAGGCTTTATTCTTACGGCCAGCAGATGCCGCATTTGTCAAAAGCAACGGTCGCGCTCAGAGTGCACGGCTCCCCCGCCCCCCCGCAATGGCCACGCGGGCCATGCTGCTCCCAACCCCGCGCAGCGAGTCACTGGAAGCTGGAGGCCTGGATCTCCGTCCGGCAGCCGCGCGACCTTGAGCGTCCGCTTGGCCGCTTCAAGATGCCGCTGTGCCTGCGCAGTAATTGTTGCGCGCACACACCTTGGGGCTGCTGTGCGCGTGCGTATGCGCGCAGAGCTGTTTACAAAGCTACACTGGCTACAAAATTGGTATCGTTTTGCCATGTTGTCTTTAGCTTATGCTTTCTTCGTGCCCCACCACCAGAGGAGCGGACCTGCTGGGCCCCAGAGCAGATGGTAAGAAACTGCGGGAAGGAAAGCGCAAGAGAAATAAGTCCTATATGGAAATCAAGGTTCATGAGCAAGAACGTATTTCTTCCCGTAAGCGAAAAGGAAAGCACATCAGCTGTCTGCTCTGCTGAACCTGGAATAGGCTCTCAGTTGGTTGATAAGTGCTTTGGAAACCGTCGTGCAAGCATAAAAAGGGAGTACAAAGGATTCTTCTGATAGAAGATGATCTCCCAACCGCGGAGGCCCCAGCCCCCAACCCAGAGCACCCGCGCCCCAGGTTCCCTTGTGGAAGGAACTTTCTTTTTATTTACTTTTAGAGAAGGGAAAGGAGAAAGGGAAAGAAACATCAGTGTGTGGTTGCTTCTCGCGCGCCCCCTGCTGGGGACCTGGCGCACAACACAGGCAGGTGCCCTGACTGGGAATCGAACCGGGGACCCTTTGGTTCGCAGGCCGGCGATCAATCCACTGAGCCACACCAGCCAGGGCAACATCGGGGAAGCAACTTTCCAGTGTGTGTGTGAGCCCGTGTGCACCTCACAGACAACGCTTGGGAACGCTGGTTAGGAGCCTCCGTGTTTGCCTAGACCGGATGAAGCCTCTGACCCCAGCCCGCTGACAACTTCGGGCCAGCAGCACCTCTGGCGGACGCCGCGCAGGAGGTCCGCCCGGGTGGCTGTCTGCGTCCGAGAGGTTGTTGGACTGACTGCTCCTGCGGTGGAGCGCCTTCCACAGCGCCCCCCTGCGGTGGGCCCTCCCTGGGTGACTGTTCTTCTGCTAAGTCCTCCAGCCTGACCCCCTGCCGTCACGCTCTCCAGGGTCAGCCTGGGGCTGCTCTGCGACAGCCCGCGAAGACTCGCACGGGCGGGGGGCCTGGGGGTCATGCCTACGGCAGGGGGTCCCAGCCGGCTGCCTCCCGCCCCGCTGGTCCTGCAGGGTGACGGGCGCGCGGCTGCTGCCGCGGCAGCGGGGCAGGGCTCTAAAAGGACCAGGGGACGCTTTCCGAGCCGCTGGGGCCGCTCAGAGCAGGCCCCGTGTGTTTCCTCCGCATTCTTGTCGCCAAAAGAGGTTACAAGACCGCTCCGCCAGACTGAGGCAGCGACCGCCCCTCGGCCTCTAGGCGGAGGGAGGCAGAGTGCATCGCTGTCACCACGCCGGAGGGATAAACGACCGGGGCGTGGCACAGCGGGTCTACCCCGAATGAATAAGCCCAGGAGTCCCACTGACCTGTGGACACTCAGTCCCTTTTCCTGGCATTCAGCCTTCGCAGGCCTAGCTCCCCCCTCGTCTCCATGTTCCACCAAAGCCCAGCTGAGATTATACATAGAGAGATATATACATTTTCCCACCATGGAAGTGAGGTGACACTATAGGGATTCCATGAAGCTCCCAACACCAGAAGCCGGAGAACAAGCGGCGGAACGAAGGCAAACACAGTCCTCCGTGTCCAGCGCGAGCGCCTGCGGCGGAACAAGAGTCGGTGGCTCAGAGGCCCGCAGCTGGGCCCGAATGCGTGGTTTGGGTAGATATGCAGGTATGAAGCAGGTAAAAATGAACAAAGGGGTTCTTTCCCTCTTTAATTACTTCTTAGTACAGCTATGACCAAGTTTAACTTGACATACATTTCAGAGTTGAAAACCCCAGAAACCAACACATTTTTGCAGTTAAACTTGAGACACACACATTCATTGTCCTAACACTGGAAACACTTTGTTACTCTTATTGATAGGTCTGCCTTTTAGAAGTTTTCCCAGGAGAAAACACAAGAAAAAAAATTCTCTCTGTAGGTGGCCCATCAGTCTTTGACTATTACTTAGGAATAACAGTCTTAAAATCGCTCAATTTTGAAAACCACTGACAAAATACTGGAGTGTGAGTTTTACCTTTGGGGTGTCTTTGTGAAAAAGAATGAGTATTAAACAATCTCCTCCTGGTGCTGGTGGGACGAGGCGTGTAGCCTCTGCTCACAAACCCCAGTGCGCAGGCCTTCGCCGGCCGGGCGGTGCGGAGGGGCCTGGCGCGCACGCGGTCTCCGCAGCCACGCGCCCGCCGCTCCCAGGCTTCGCTGGGCATCGCTGCAAAGGGCGCCCGTCCTGTGCGCTGACGGCCACTAACCGGACTCGCCCTGCGGATGGGCGGAGAGCCCGCCTCTTCGAGAGCTGCCGCCTGCCTGGCCGAGGTCCTCGGGGGCGCCCAGTGCGAAGGCTCCACCGCGCGTCTCCATCACAAGCGGCCCTTGGCGTCTCCTGCGGGCCCATGACGCAGCCACTGTGTACGAGAGCCCTCGTGGCGTGGGGCCGCGCCTGGTGAGCACCCTGGCCCGTTCCCTGAGAGCTGGCAGCTTTCATGCCGCGGTGACAGCCAAGCACCACGCCCACACGCCTCCCACTGCCCACAGTGGCGGCCACCGAGCTCCACGTCCAACGTCGCCGCCAGCGGACGCTGCAGCCTCCCCAGAAAGGACCTTCTTTCTCATCTCCAGAAACAATGACGGAGGAAGGTTTTGTTCCAAATACATTGTAATTAGAAGTTACTTGGAGTTTCTGACAGGGTCAGAGGCACAAAGTGTGATGCTTACTGGTCCCCAAACGCGCACACGCATTTACAGAAAATAGCTGTCCACGTCTCGGTGGCCTCTCTCACCCACGGTCTGTATAAAAATAGCTCTGCCTCCTGCAACGGGGTGAAAACCCGCAGCGTGGGTGGCGCGTGAGGCCTCACACCGAGGCCCCGGAGAACCGCTGCTGCCTCTGCTCCAGGACATGCTGGTTTAGAAGCTGCTGCTGCCTCTGCAAAAACTGCACCACCTCGGGGCTCCTGAGTAACGACTGAAAAAGGAAAAAGAACACGGATTAACAGAGTTACGCTTGCGGGTCAGATCGCAGCCGGGCGGAGGGGCGGGGCGGGGCAAAGGCGGGGGGGGGGGGGGGGGCGGGGGACTGCCGAGGGTCAAGCCGGTGCGTGCGTGTGTGTTTGTACAGGTACAAGTACTGACGAGTGCCTTACCAAAATCTCAGAAAAGAAGTTCGATTGCTCTAAAACAAGCAATCCTTTCAGACATGTTTCACTTTTGAATACAGTGTAATCATGTAATAATGGGCAGTATAACATTTTTTTGTTTTAATGAAATACATATACAACCTCATGAAGAAAAACAACTTTGGCCCCAATAAATTGAAAAAGAGAAACTGAATGAAGTAGAAATATCACTAAACACTGATTTTAAAATTTAACATTATGACATTGTACATTTTCTATTTGTTAGTTTTACTTAAAACGTAGTTGTAAAGGCCACCTAACATGTTAAGTTATATTCACTATGCTATTACGGTCGTCCTGATTCCCCCCCCCCCGTCCCCCCGCCCCGTCCCCCCGAACTGTCCATGTCCGTGGGCCATGTGTGTAAGTCCTCTGGCCGCTCCATCTCCTGTGCTGCACTTCACAGCCCTGTGGCTAATCCGTAACTACCTCTCAGTGCTTCTTAATCCCCTCGCCTCTCCACCCATCCCCCACCCCCTCCCATCGAAAACCCTCTCTGTATCCATGAGTCTCTGTTCTTGTTTGCTTAGTTTGTTTTTTAGATTCAGTTGTGAATAGATTTGTATTTTTTTGCCATTTTATTGTTCTTTGATCTTTTTCTTAAATAAGTTCCTTTAACATTTCATATAATAATTGGTTTGGTAATGATGAACTCCTTTAGTTTCTTCTTGTCTGGGAAGCTCTTTAACTGTCCCTTGATTCTAAGTGACAGCTTCGCTGGGTAGAGCAGTCTTGGCTGTAGGTCCCTGCTTTTCATGATGTTGAATATCCTTGCCACCCCATGCTGGCCCGCAGAGTTTCTGTGGAGAAATCAGCTGACAGTCTTATGGGAGCTCCCTGGTAGGTAACTGCTTCTTTCTTGCTGCTTTCAAGATTCTCTCCTTGTCTTTAGCCCTTGGCATTTCAATTCTGATGTGTCTTGGGGTGGGCCTCTCCCGATCCATCTTGATTGGGATTTTTTGTGTTTTCTGGACTTGTATCTATTTCCTTCACGAAGTTAGGGAAGTTTTATTTTTTTCTGATAGGTTTCCAGTTTGTTCTTTCTCTTCTCCTTCTGGCACCCCTATGATATGAATGTTGGGCCTCCTGAAGTTGTCCCAGACGCTGCTTATACAACCCTCATATCTTTGGATTCTTTCTTCTTCTTCTTGTTCTGCATGGTTGTTTCCTTATGTTCCAAATCATTGATTTGATTCTCGGCTTCACCCATTCTACTGCTGTTTCCCTGTAAATTGTTATTTATTTCCATTGGTGTATCCTTCATTTCTGACCCAATTTTTTTTATGCTCTGGGGTCCTAAGTTCCCTGAGCATCCTTATAGCCAGTGTTTTGAATTCTGCATCTGAGAGGTTGCTTATCTCCATTCATTTAGATCTTTTCCTAGAGTTTTGATCTGTTCTTTCATTTGGGCCATGTTTATTTCTGTCTTCATTTTGGCAGCCTCCCTGTGTTTGTTTCTATGTATTAGGTAGAGGTGCTAGGACTCCCTGTCTTGGCAGCGTGGCCTAACATGTAGTAGGTGTCCTGTAGGGTCCCGTGGCACAGCCTCCCCCATCACCCACGCTGGTACTCGAGGTGCATCCTTCGTGTGGGCTGAGTACACCCTCCTCTTGTAGTTGAGCCTCGGTTGCTGTTGGCAGGTCAGTGGGAGGGATTCACCCAGGCCAGTCAGCTGCAAGGACTGGCTGTGACCACTGACCACCAACCTCCGCCCTCCGGTGGAGGATCCGCTGTGCAGGGGCCGGGTGGGGCTCCAGGGTGGTCTGTAGCTGACCACTGGGTGCGCTGGCCCTGGGGTTTCCGGATGGTACGCCCCCACCTGTGTTTTGCCCGAGGCAGCCTCCCTGAGCCATAAAGCGATCTGAGGCGGCTGCTACTTGTGCTGGGCTTGGAGATTCCCAGGTGGAGCCAAGCTGTGAACCTGGGCTGCTGCGGCTGGCGCTGGGCCTGGGGCTCCCTGAGGCCAGCTGCCGCTCGTTTGCGAGGACTCAGGACTTCCGGAAGCAAGACCAGCCATTCCTGTGGAGCAGCAGCTTGGGTGGGCCCGTAAGTTGGGGGCGGCCGAATCTCAGCATCGCCCAGTGTCAGCCAGGTTGATGGGGACGGCCCTTGCAGCTGCCCCAGCCGGGGCGGTGCAGCCCGGGGCCCAGCCCCAGCCCCAGCCCCAGCCCCAGCCCAGCCCCAGCCCCCGCCCCCGCCCGGCGGGGGGCGGGGCCCCAGCCCCCGCCCCGCGAGGCACCGTGCGAGGCTGATGGCCAGTCTCACAATTGTTAAACTCTCAAAAGTTGTCGTAACAAACAACTTTTGTTAACGGGTTTGTAAATACTCTACAGACACTTACCAGCCTTTTTTGATTTAACACTTGTTCCAAAAGCGTCGGTCTCGCCGGCCGATCCCCACAGGCTCCTGTTCGTTTGACGATGGAGAGGATGTTGTCTGCGCTTTCCTGGGACAAAGGGTAAAAATGCAGGTAGGATTAACATTAACACCGGCACTTCCGGGATGGAGACGATGGTCCCGACTCTCTTCCTGCCTGTCCGGACCCCAGAGGCGGCGGGACACCCCGGATTAGACCTCAGGCAAAGCGCTCTTTTCTCGCTTTCCCTCTAGGATTTCCAACCCGGGATCTTCAGTGTCTTGAAGGGTCTTAAAGTCAACAGCGGGCCGTGGTAGTGGTGTGCGGGGAGCAAAGAGTTACTCGCGAGCTATTTTTTTCCTTTTTACATTGGCCTGAGAGAGAGGGGGTGGGAAAGAAACGTTGATTTGTTGGCCCACTTATCGCTAATTGGTTCCTCTATGCGCCCTGACCGGGGGGTGAACCCCCAGTCCTCACGTATCAGGACGGTGCCCCAACCAACCGAGGTACCTGGCCAGGGGGCTGTTTTCAGTATTGTAAAGACGCGCCAAGTAGAAATCGAACTTTCTCTTCATAGAGAGCTGTGCATAAAAAAAAAAAAAGTCTGCCGGCCTCCGGATGGAATACAGGACCTCAAAGGCAACTTACATGTTGCTGGAGACACTCCGATGCTTTTTTGCCCAATTAACAGCAAAAAATAAGGGGGGAGGCAGTCAAGCATTGCTTAAGGAAACAACGGACAAGGCTTTCAAAATTTGGAAGTCACTGGGAGAAAAAGGCCGACCCGGCTCTGCGGACTGGACACCACCAGCACGAACACAAGCGGAGGGCGGGGGGCCCTACAGGGACACCACGTCGGCCTGAGGCCTCACTCCCCAAACGAAGTCGGAGGCGCGTCCTACCCAATACGCGCACCGCCCCGCCCCGTCCCCCGTTAGCGGGCAGAATCTTAAACACTTCACTATCCCCGGCATAACCAGACATCCCAGGTAACCGACACACTCCTATGAACACGCGACGCCACGGACCGCGCCCAAGCCTCCCGCCCACGCAAGCGGGGCGCCCGCAGCGCGCCGGCCGGGAGCCGCGCCCGACGGGCATGCGCTCACCGCCGGGCTCCCCGTGTCGGTTTTCATCAAAGCTGTTTTTCACTCTGGGCCTTCTCTCCATTGGCTTCGCTACCTCTTTCATTATAAGTTTACCAACCTGTTTTAAAAAGGTTCAATCCCTACACATGGTAGGCCTCAAAATGTAAAAATCTATAAAAAGAGGATTCTAATACCAAGAGAAAAGTAATTTCTCCGTCCTCTCCCCATAGAGTTAACTTCATTTATGGGGCCGTTTTTGTTCATTGACTTTACTGGGATAACGTGGTTAGTGCCGTTCTAACACTTCAGGTGCACCACCTTTTAATAGGACACCTGTCCACTCGAGCGTGTGCTCGCCGCCGGACGCCCAGGCTCCGCCCGTCCCCACGCGTTACTGAAGCCCTGTGCCCCTCCCCCACCACAGGCGACCAGCGTCCGAGGGACTGCAGCGTTTTCGCGGGCACGGGGCAGGGCCCGCTCCATGGCAGAGTCCCCTGGGCATTCAGAACGTTAGGGTCCCAGCATCACAGAAGCCTGTGGGGGCGACAGCCTTGACTCTTCTAGGCCAAACTTCTGTAAACACCGGCATCGCCTTTTCAAAGATTCTGAACGCCCTCTGTCCTAAAGGGCAACCAGCTTTTGAGGCCCCCCCCGTGTGGCTCTGAAAAGCTCTAACGCTGAGGTGGCCTTTCCTCGGGCTCCGCTGAAATAACACGTCCCTGTGATTCGCACCCGAGTCCTCGTGGCGGCCTCCTGCCTTCCGCAGGGCACAAGCTGAAGCTTGGAAGAGTTCAGTAACCCGTCGGAGGGCACAGAGCCGCCCAGGACGGGACAGAGCTGTGCAGGAGGACGTCCCGCGTCCCCAGCAGCGGCTTCAACCGCCGACGTGGCTCCATTCCAACAGCCCAAGTGTTAAGCCCCGGCATTACTCAGTCCTTTTTCTCCAGGGGCACTAAGAACACCGGCAGTGAGGACAGGGGACTCAGCAGGGGCCTACCGAGGACAGGGTAAGATGCCTGTGGACCTTAGGACCCGGGGGACTAGGAACTGTGACCCTCACAAGGGGTGCCGAGGAGACAGGCGAAAACGGTACGCGATGGGCCCTCTGCCACGTCCCCCTGGCACCGGGACTCCCCCCGCTCCCTGCCGCTCCGTTGGGGAGGAGCGGCCAACCCCCTACCACCTGGCCTGGCCGTCCGCCTGTCGCATCTCTGCTGTGCCCGCTGTTCTGACGCGCACCCTCATGGTCCTGGAAATGAATTCCTCTAGCGCATGGACGCAACCGATGTGCTAAGGCGTTGCCCGTGTCTGCGTGGACCTGAATTTAGGGCCCGCCCTCCCTAACTTGAGCCCTCCCGTCCAGCCTCGGGCGGCGAGTGCGCGGGCGCAGGAAGGGCGCCCCCTCCCGCGCTCCGAGACCCCCCGCTCGGCTCGGATACCTCCAGTTTGGCGGTGCCCGCGCTGCCGGCCGGAGCGGTGCCCGCGCAGTGCAGGGCCTGGTCGCTTTTCTTCTTCTTGTACTTGTCCTTGTACATCTTGTTGCGGTGCTTCTTGCACATCCACGGCTTGCGCTGCTTGGCCACCTGGCTCGTGGTCTCGCTGCAGCCCTCGTAGGTGCAGGTTTTGCTCACGCCGACCCCGCCGCCGCCCCGCCTGCGCGCGGCCCCGCCGCCACCCTCGCCCCCGGAGTGCGCCTCCTCGTCCTCCAGGTCCTCCAGACTAGCCGCGCTCTCGCCGCCTCCCGGCGGATCCGAAGTGTCCAGCAGGTCAGCCTCGTCCTCCACGGCCTCGTCCTCTCCGTCCCCCGCCGCGTCGCACAGGTACCCGAGGGTCCCGCCCGCCGCGGCGCCGCCCCCCGCGCCCGGCGCCGGCCCGAGGACGCCCTCGGCTGCGCCGTCGTCCTGCGCGCCGCAGGGGCGCATCACCAGCAGGGTGACCTGCGGGGCGGCGCCCGGGACCGGGGCTGCAGCCAGGGCCGCACCCGCGGCGGGCGCGGGGGCCCCGGGGTGCAGAGCCCCGCCGGCAGCGCCCGGCCCCGCGCCGAAGCCCTGCACCTCCGTGATGCTGAGACCTGGCGGGGGATCCACGACCCCAACCTTTCAGCGGCCCCTGGGCCCAACGGCACCTCGCAAACCAGACTCTAGACCCGCGACAGGAAAACGGGCGGCTCCGCGAAGGCTGCGGGACTGCGCCTGCGCAGCCGGCGAATCCCGCCGTTCGCGTTCATACGCAGGTGCTGCCCCGGGAACCGACCTCTCCGAGGGGCGGGGCGGGGCGTCCGCCAGCGGGACTGACTGCGCAAGCGCGAGGCTGGCGGTGGCCAAGCTGACTGCGCAAGCGCGGGACCTAGGGCGGCCGGCTGCTCCCTGCCTGTGCGGCCGTGCGTTCGAGTCTGGCGGCGTGGGGTGGGACAGAGGTTTTTGTTTTTCATTTTTGGTTTTTTGGTTTTTATTTTTGTGAGGTTTTTTTTTGTTTGTTTTGCAGGAACCTCCACTATCTAAAGTTTCAAAGCACATTTGTAGTGGAACTACACTCTGCATCAATGGCCTTTTACACAGAACTAGAACAAATAATCGAAAATTTATATGGGATCACTAAACACCCTGAATAAGCACAGCAATCTTGAAACACAAGAACAAAGTTGGAGGTATGTCGCTACCAGTTGGAGGTATCACGCTACCTGACATCAAACTATACTGCAAGGCTATAGTAATTAAAACAGCAAGGTGCTGGCTTAAAAACAGACACATAGATCAATGGGAGAGAATAGACAGCCTAGAAATAAACCCATGCCTATATGGTCAATTACATTTGACAAAGAAGGCAAGACCATATAATTGGGTAAAGACAGCCTAGTCAGTAAAATATGTTGGGATTATTGGATGGATACAGGCAAAAAAAGTGAAACCACCTTCATATACCATATATAAGAATAAACTAAAAATGGAGTAAAGACTTAAATGCAGATCAAAACCTTAAATCTTCTAGAAGAAAACACAGGCAGTAAAATCTCACACATTTCTCTTGGCATTATTTTTTCTGATATAGCTCAGCAAGCAAGGAAAACCAAATAAACCAATGGCACTACATCAAATTAAAATGTCTTGGACAGCCCATTAAACCATCCACAAAATGTAGAGACAACCTGCTGAATGGGAGAACATATTTGCCAATGATACAGCTGATAAAGAGTTAATACTCAAAATTTAAAAAGAATTCATACTACTCAACACACACACACACACACTCCAATTAAAAAAATAAGGAAAGGCCCTGAATAGACACTTCTCCAAAAAGGACATACAGATGGCCCATAGACATATGAAAAGATGCTCAACATCACTCATCACCAGAGAAAAGCAAATTAAAACCACAATGAGATACCACCTCACACCTGTCAGAGTGGCCGTCATCAATACATCCACAAACACCAAGTGCAGGCGAGGACGTGGAGAAAGGGAAACCCTCGTGCACCGTGGGTGGGAATGCAGGCTGGTGCAGCCACAGTGGAGAGCCGTATGGAGACACCTCAGAAAATTAAAAATGGATCTGCCTTTTGACCCAGTGATTCCAGTTCTGGGAATACAGCTGAAGAAACCTGGAAGACTAATGCAAAAGACTATATTGTGCTAAGTGAAATAAGCCAGTGAGAGAAAGACAAATGCCATATGATTTCACTAATATGTGGAATTTAATGAACAAAGTAAATAAAATAGAAACAAACTGACAGATACAGAAACAAACTAGGAAAAAAATGCCAGAGGGGAGGGGCATGAGGGCTAAGTGGAAAAGATGAAGGGATTAAGGGAAAAAAACCTCACAGAGGCAGAAAACTGTGGTGATGACCTCAGGGAGAGGGGGTAGGGGCGGGAGAAGAAGGGGAACAGGAATAAACTGTGACGGAAAGAGCCTTGCCTTGGGCTGAGGAACACAATCCAATATACAGATGACATGCTGTAGCATTGTACACTTGAAACCTATATAATTTTATTAACCAATGTCACCCCAATAAATTCAATAACGAAAAAAAGAACGCAGCAATTCCAGCCAAGCGTGTGTGTGCGCGCGCACGCACACAGAAACCAGGCTGCCGTCAGTTCAGGCGTCAGTGGAAGCAGAGACGTGGAGGCACGTCTTTCGGAAGAGCCTAGATAACCCGGGGAGGAGAGAGCGAAAGCTGCTCTGGAGAATGGCAGCCTCGCTTACGTCCCCGTTACTGCTCTGCCTGCACCCTTGCCCCGCCCCCACCCCCTGAGCCCAGGTCCCAAGGCCTTGACACCCTTAGCACCTGCCTAAGCCCAGGGAATGCCAGAGGGTACTACAGCGAAGAGCACCTTTCCAAACGCGCTGTTCATACGTGACAGCATTCTTTGACCGCACGTTTGTCAGATGTGAGAGAGTGAGTGTGGCCTTTAGGCAGGAAGGAAGAGTGGTATCGAGATTAGAATAAAGCATCCGTCTCTCTTAGCTATATTCTGGAACGGAGTTAACACTAGAGCAAGGAAAAGACACCCCATCACAAACGGATCTGATCATGCTACATGCTTTTGAACAGTTTATGTCAGATAGTGTGAGCTCCGTCACGGATGATAGGACGATGCATATCGATTTCATACAGCGATTGCTACCTTTAGGCCTTTCCCATGGCAGTGTGATTGAAAATCAAGTCCTAGGGAGAAGCTTTGGGAAAATGGAGTATAAATGTCTCCAGGACCTTAGCTTGGCTGGGATCACAAGCCAGACAGTTGCTGGAAGGAGCCCAGCGCGCTGAAGAACAAGCCGGCAGCTGTCGCTGGTTCTGAGCACTGGGTGGCCGAGGCCCGGAGGGAGGGGCCGGCGTGTTCCCAGGACACACGGAAGAAGCCAGCAGGGTCCTTCGGGGCGAGCAAAGGGCGGCATCGGCGGGAAGGGAGAGGGCGCGGCCTAGAACACATGGTTTTCACAAGCTGCAGGGAACCTGGGCCAGGAGGCCGCAACGTCTCCGAAGGGGAAAAAGAACTTCAGGCAGAGCCGTGGATTTGGCTCCGCGCTGTGGACAGTGTGGGATGGGCCGTGTTCAGGACTACTGGGGCTGGAGGGCAAGTGAGCCGGAGGCCCTGCGCTATTCGCCGGAAGCCGCCCACGGAGAGCTGCAAGGGGCTCGGACAGGAAGGGAAGCTGAACGTCTCAGCGGGGCCAGGTTTGCTGAACCGAATTCCGATCAGCCATTCGTTGGTCTTTCTGGTCTATTGCCACCTCTGTGTGTCCTCACGGTCAGGCTCACTGGGTACCGCGTGCTCTGCCGGACCACACTTCCACTCGGTTCAAAATTCAGTGATTCAAGCCATGGCTACACATTTTCTGCACTGACTTCTCTTCTCTCGTTCTCTGAAGCAAAGGAATATTCGCTGTAGTGTCTGTGAAAAAATGGACACAGGGACGGATGCTGAGAAGGCCGTTGCGTCCGACCGCTTCCATCGATTTTTGTAGACGGTGCTGCGGAGTCGCCGTGGCTCAGGTCTCACCGGCTCGAGGGCTGTAACGCTCTCTGTCCTTCTCCTCGGAGTGGCGGGGATTTGCTCCTGCCCAGTCAGCCCATCTGTCGCTCCTTCATTCATTCCACAAACATCACTAAGCCACCCGGGTGCCCAGAGCTGGGAAAAAATAAGACTTTCAAGTGTGCAAGCACTTTCACGTATATCGTTGTTCCAACTTTAACGTAAACTCGCGAAGCGTGTGCCCACGCCATTCCCTGGAAACAAGCGCTCAGCCGCCACCCCAGTGACGGCATGTGGCCCGGTCCGGCTGCGGCCCACACCGGTGGAAGTCCTGGCCGGCCGCACCGCCGCCCCCGCCTCTGGACCAGCGCTGACTAGCAGTTCTGTTGTCTTGGGGCCGACCGCCGGGAGCCAGCCCCGCTCCTCAGACGTGGAGCTGCCTTGAGGGTGCGCTGGAGGTGCGTGGGGTGAGGCAGAGGGGGGTGACCTTCTCAGACAGGGCCACTTTGTCCTCGGTCTTGGATCTCAGGTTCCTCCTCTCTATGCCAGAGGGTAGCAAGTCACAGGCTCTGAGGTGCCGGTCAGATGCCAGGGCAGCAGGGATGGAGGTGTTGCACCCACAGCGGAGGACCAGGAGGCTCCGAAGGGCGTCCTGAGCCCCCCGACCTCGCGGCCGGTGCTCCAAACGTTGATCACATGGATGCTGGGTGACTCCTCACCCCCGCTCAGCCCCTTGGTCCTCTGCGCCTTTGGACTTGCTGTTGCTACGGCCACGCCTTCTCCGGCGCCCATCCGCAGAGCGAGGGGCCGGCCCGGCACCCTGCACCTGGGGGCAGGCTTCTGCCTCCCTGGGTCTGCTGTGCCTTCGACTTGCACCCAGCAGGGGCGTCCAACCTTGTGGCGTCTCTGGGCCCCGCTGGGAGAAGAAGAGTCATCTTGGGCCACACAGTCAATACATCACAACATGTAATCACAAAAAAAATCTGATAATGTTCGAAGTAAACGTACGATTTTGTGCTGGGCCGCGCTCACAGCCGTCCCGGGCTGCATGCGGCCCGTGGGCCGCGGGTTCGACACCCCCGCGGGAGCTAATTTCACAGTGAGTGAGTTCTAATAGCAGTTGGCTCTCGCTTCTCGCCATTCGGCTGAGGCTGCGTTGGGCTGACACCAAAGCGTACGTTCATTTCTAGTGTGAAAACTCGCCCGACATTTGGAACCGCGGAGCAAGAGCAAAGGGTTAGTACCATTTTAAACCTGCCGACCTCCATCCCCACACGTGCACCCTCGGCGTGAGCGAGCAGGGCCCGTCCCGGGTGTGAGGAATCACTTTTTCTGTTCCTTTTTTCTAGGCTACTCGGTGGAAGCTGCTTTGATGTGTGGGCTTAGTTCGGCTCACTCTGGAGGTTCCGTAACTATTTTTACACCGTAATCTTCAGATGACCATGTTTTTTGAGCCGTAATTTCATTTGGGGGAGGGACGGCAAAAGAATAAAATAACAGATGCTCTTTGGAATGCAAATGGCATCTCCCCAGAAAGGTCTCCCTCTCCACGCGCCCCAGCGTTTGGGTGCCCTCACTTCTTTCTACCCCCTTCCCCCACTGCATGTTCTCCCGTGCACTG